CCTCGTAGGGAGGGCGCTCGTAGGGGGGCCGTTCCGCGGGTGGAGGGGGTCTGTCGTAGGGAGGGCGGTCGTAGGGGGGACGCTCGTAGGGCGGGCGTTCGCCGTAGTAGTCGCGGGATTCGCCGTAGTAGGACATTGTGGGGGATGGGTTTGGAGGTGTAGTGAAGATGGGAGTGAGAGAGGATATCAGGAGAATGGAGGATTGGGGACAGGACAGCATGCGCTTTAAATAATGTTCTCCAACTCGGAGGGGAGATATGGAGGGGCATCAGGCTCCAGAAACACGCAGTCCCACATGTCGATGTCTAATTTCAGCTCGCATCTCCAGCCCGAGTCTCCTAACCCCTGTTCTGCCAGCTGTACGCGCCGGATGCATGCTGGATCAGTTGAGTTGCAGGTGAAATTGGCCTTACAGGGCCAGCACAGCCATTCGTCACAGGAGATGTCAGGAGGCAGAGCCGGCGCTAGCAACGGATGCATCCACAAGTTATGGAGTCCTGTCAATAGTCCAGTGGCTAGTGATCACTATCAGTTGCAGCAGAATAGGCAGCAGCATAACGGCCCGAACATCCCCTGTGGCTTGCTCTTTTCGTGGCACGAGCTGCAAGTTGTAGATGTCAAGCAAACATCAAATGCTCCCTGGACACCGATCTGTGGCATGTCTCTATAGTATATACTTCAGAACAGGCAGTGTCTATACTCCAGAATAGTGGCAGTGTATACTTCAGAACAAGTGGCCTCAGGCTGCTCGGGCTTGGCGCCATACAGGGCTTCCCTCTCCAGCCAATCAGACAATACACGCACGCACTAGCCACTTCTCCTGAAGCACCGCCACGCATCACTCAGTATGAAGGGCTCCAGCTCATCAACCTGTTTCCTAGCGTGGGATAAGGATGTGGCCATGGAGAAGCATCCCTGACAATTCCCCTCAAGCCACGTGTATGTTACTGAGTGGCTGTGTTCGGCGTCTATGGCTAGTGCCTAGATGAGCCACATCTCATTCCAACGGCTTCTATATCCTTCCAAAAAGTTCTCTGGAATTTGGAGACTCAGAGAGAATGACATGTAGGTTACCAAAGTGGTTTGCCTGGCATGAAGGCGTTGTTCTTCTCTTGCTGCGTCATAGGGATGATCTCCTCCCTGGTTGTATATCGCGGACTACCCACAGTTTACCCACTTTCGAGCGTCCAGGTTAAAGATGTTTTTGTCAGATCATTGGGCGCATGCCCGCCTGAGCCCGCAAGCCAGAGTGTAGGAAAACCATCGCGTCTGCACCCGTGTTTCTGTTGCAAGACAGCGGAGCCAGTATAGTTGCACGTCGACGAGGTTGCATGTAGGCTATGTCGGGTCTGTAGCTGGGTAGATCCCAGATACCCCTCGATATACCGCCGGGGACGATCAGGAGTCCTTAAGCTGTTTCAGCCTTGGATCATCAGGGGTTGTGGAGAACTCCATTCATCCTTATAAATCCCAAATCCCCCTGGCAGATCGTTGTAGAAGAGACACAAAATCTTTACAGAAATCGAGCCGCGCGGGGAAGGAAGCTCCTTAAGTACACGCAACCCGAAACCTCAAGGTGGTGTGTGTGTGCAAACGGGCGCTGGCGCTCCTGCCGTGGAAGAGGCCGGGGGTCGAATCTCCCCGTTTGCACAGGGCCAACTAGGGATTCCGTTGGAGTCACCATGTACCTAACCTTACGTACTTGAGTAACCATAGGCCCCCGAGCTCAGATGCTGTAACCGCAGCTGAGATGCGATGCTTGACATAGCCCCCGTCATCACTGCCCGTCAAATGGCGTGAAACGGACGCCGTGTTTGGGCGGGCCGCGGACATCACTCGGCACGTCGTGCAGTCCACGTAGTTTAGAGCGGCGATCTACGACCTGGAAGAACGGCACCGCCGCACCACGGGCTTGAGCGTTGACGGGTACGAGTCGCAATCCACCTGGGAACCGGCTCGGGGGTTCTGGAGCAGGGCAGCGGAGAATGCTTAAGCCAGGCCCATGGCCATACGGGGTACGGAAGTGTTGTCGATCAGTCGTCCACTACTATCAGGATATAGGACTTCGTTGGGACGGCTCGGCAAGCGTATCTGGAAGCTATGCTCCGTGCTGGGAAGGCCCGGTGGAAGGGGATGGAAACCGACGGGGGGCTTCTAGAATGCAGGGCGGAGAAGAGCGGAGAATGATTAAGCGTAGGTAGCACGGAGTATACGGAGTACGTATATGTCGTCGATCAATCGCCCACCATCAGGAGATACCGTAGGACTCGATTACGATGGCCAAGCAGGGGTATCTAGAAGCGTTAGTGGGGAAGGACTGGTAGGGGAATGCTGATGAGCGACATGACAGGGATCTAAGGGCCTGGTCTAGTAGACGAAACCAGGTCCCAGGTGTTCCGTTGTAGAAAAGGTAAGCAACTTCAGCAAGCTACAATCATGGGGTAGGTATCTGCTGCCCGGTTATTAAACTAAGACTAGAGCACTGAGGCTTTGAGTATGATAGTTAGGGCTGATAATATTTCGTGCACATAGATGCTATAGTACAGTTTTTCATGCCAGCACCGCCTTCATACACGGAGTATCTGGCTCGCCATTAAGATTATGATAGGATAGGAGAGTAAGGGAGCGTCGATCGTATAATATGGTACAGAGGAAGTCCTCAGTCCTCAGTCCTCAGTCCCCAGTCGAGAACGTAGAAGGAAAAGAGCGTCGTGAAGGTCATGCTGCATGCATGCAGATCTTTTTGATTCAAACTGTAATCAAGTCAGGACTCTGGTCTGTTTTAGTACAATTGGAGAGGCATCGTACATCCGAGAGCGTCCCGTCCGTCATAACGACTTTCGTAGCTGTGGGTAGTAGAACAGGAAGAAGACGACGACAGCCAGCAGAACGACCAGGGTCGGGATAAACATGAATGTAAAGAGGAACAGACTCAACCCGAAGGCGAGGCTCTGGCCGCTCTGGCCGGGGAAGACCCGGCGCGCCATGATGATGTGTTCGGCGAGGGTGGTGAGCATGGGCATTTGCGGTATACCAATGATGGAGTATGAGGTGCGTGGAAGATGATAGTATGGTTTCTCACGATCAGAAACCCAGAGGCTAGACTGGATGATCTTGATCTCTAGGCTCTGTAGAAGGCTGCAGGGGATACGGCACCCGATGCTTATATCCACGTCAAGGCTTGAATTGGTCTTATTTGCAGAGGATGGGCATGAACATGGATGCCTGTAGGATCTCCATTACATTGGCAACAAGGCCATCTAATTCGCGGAAAGTTGTGCATCTCCACCGCCGGCTCCACAGCATGCGGCTTGTATAGCACAATGCAAGGCGATAGGCAGCAGGATTCCCGCGAGGCGAGAATGAAGCATTGCACTTGTCTCTGGGAACGAGAATTGCCATGAGGCAAGCGTCCCGACTCGCCGAGGATACTCCGTACCATACCATTAGTCCATGGAGACGAGTAGCCTGGTATCCTCAAGGTTGAGCGTATGCACAAGCACCAATGCACCAGCGCCCGCAGTCACAGACTGAGCAACCGTCCGGCCCCTCCGCAGGCAACCACAAAACCATCTGTAGCACTAGCCCACATTGCTCCGTAACTGCCAATCCGTCTGCATCTGGCACAAGCGAGAACCCGCGGGCGCCAGGGCGATCAACCGCATTGGCCGAGCCCTGTAGGGCTGACGAGCTTGACTCCGTTTCTGCGCGCTAGACACGACAAGCAGGGCAATCAGATCCATCCGGAGTCGGAGTATGGAGAAGAGAGAGACGGCGGTTGTCTATAAATACCCAGAGCCGTGAACCCCCGCCTTCTTAAGCGCGGTCCCTTCGCTCTTTCCCTGCCCGACCTTACAATCCAACCAGCTCTCCCTAGCATTTGCAAGACTGAATGGACCCAGTCGCTCCTTTACAGTCTATCTAGGCTGCTGCTGTCTTTACTCTCCATTTCTTTCTCAGTGTGAGCATGAGCCTCTCGCCTAACTACAGGCCCGGGCAGGCCCAGGCCGAGCTGGACAACTTCGGCGTCGACTGGGTCGTCCACTACCAGTTTGACGATATCGGTACTTACCACTAATTCCCTCGACCCCAATTGCGTACGCTTGGTAGTTAAGTGTAAGTCCGCTAATATCACCAGACCCCAGCAAAGCGACCGAAGAACTCTCGTCCCTCCTCGCCCACCTCCACGAAGCGCATCTCGAAACCCAAGTCCGACACGGGCACGGCTCCTCGCTGCTCATCTTCATCAAAGTCCCACGCATGCACCTCGGCCGGCTCGTCCACCAGTCGCGCGTCAAAGACTGGCTGTACGGGATCATCCACGAGCTGCCCGCCGGCGACGACGACACGATCGCCGACGCCGAAACACCCGCCGAGGCCCTGCGTTCTGTATACCACGCCGTCACCTGGAAGAAGGCGCTGGGCGGCGCGCACATCACCCCGGGCCACGGGAAATGGAAGCGCATTGCGTCGGCGTTTCCGCTGCACGACCAGGCGGCGAATGCGGAGCTGCTGCGGAAATGGAGCAGGACGGTCCTGTTGACGGCGGAGGACCTTGATGCGATCCGGGCGCTATTCGGCGAGAAGGTCGCGTTCTATTTTGCGTTTACACAGAGTTACTCGTCGTTTCTGGTGGTGCCAGCGGTTTGGGGCGCGGTGACGTGGTGGTATATGGGGCCGTACTCGGTGACCTTTGCGCTGGGGAACTGTCTATGGGCGCTGGTGTTTGTGGAGTATTGGAAGATTCGGGAGACGGATCTTGCGCTGCATTGGCAGGTGAAGGGGGTTGGGGCGTTGAAGGTGACGCGCAACAAGTATGTCTGGGACAAGGAGGTGCGCGATCCGATCACGGGCGAGACGGTGCAGGTCTTTTCGCCATGGAAACAGTTTCTGCGGCAGTTGCTGCTCATTCCCTTCGCGTCGGTTGCTAGCCTGGCTTTGGGAGGGTTGATTGTGGTCACCTTTGCGATGGAGGTGTTCATTTCCGAAGTCTATGCCGGATCGCTGAAAGGATATCTCGAGTTCCTCCCGACGATTCTCTTTTCGCTGTGCTTGCCCTCTATCACGGGGCTGTTGACGTCCATCGCGACGAGGCTGACCAAGTACGAAAACTACCGAACTCAAGACCAGTACGACCTTGCGCAGACGGCGAAGCAGTTTGTCATGCATTTCATCACCGCGTTCCTCCCCACCATCCTGACAGCATTCGTCTACGTCCCGTTCGGCGCGGCCATCGTGCCCTACCTGGATATCACCCGGCGTGGTGGAGACAAGCAAGACTTTCACGTCGACCCGACCCGGCTGCAACAGGAAGTCATCTACCTTTCCATGACAGGCCAGGTGCTGGATTTTGGGACAGAGGTGGTACTTCCGTATGTGAAGCGAGTGATCTGGCAGAGATGGCGGGACTACCAGGAAAAGAAAGAGGCCGTGAAGTGCAGACGGCGCGTGTCATCGGCCACCAACCAGGTTTTGATCGATGACCCCGACGAGAGCGCTTTCCTGGCCAGAGTCCGCAACGAGGCCGAGGCTGACGAGTATAATGTACACGAAGACACGCTAGAGATGTGCGTGCAGTTTGGCTATCTGATGCTCTTTGGTGCGTCGTGGCCGCTGGTGGCCTTGGGCTTCCTGCTGAACAACTGGCTGGAGCTGCGTGGGGACTTTTTCAAGCTCAGCCTCGAGTGCCAGCGCCCTCCGCCAATCCGAGCCGACTCGATTGGACCTTCCCTGCAAGGCTTAGAGGTGCTCAGCTGGCTGGGTACGTTGTCGACGGCAACAATAGTCTACCTCTACCGCGGCGGGATGGCCGAGGTCCGCGTCTCGTCGCTGCTGCTGACCGTCCTGGCGGCCGAGTGGGCGTATCTGGGCATGCGGTTTGCAGTGAGCACAGGCCTGCGCACGATCCTCAGCACAACGCTGCGACGAGAGTCAGCCAAGCGGTATGCGATGCGCAAGGAATACCTGCAGGCGTCCGCTGGGGGCAGCCCGCCACGGGGGAAGCTCCGAGTGCGCTTTCGCGACCGAGTCAGCGTGTACACTAGTGCGACCGATCCACCTTCCCCGCAGCGAGACGATGTGCTTCACGAGGATACGCTGGACGGCGAGCGAAGGTTCTGGTCGGGGGTTGCTGTGGAGGACGGAATGCGCATCATCAAGGCTCTGGCGCGAAGGAAGGGCGGGGAGAAGCAGATGTAACTCGTATTGTTCTTGATACAAGTACGGAAATATTGAGCAATGAGCATAGCGCACGAAACCACTGGACTGGTCTCAGTCTGGGGCGTAGGGCTGTCCAACCGCAGCGGACGCGTCATTCCGGGTGTCAGATCGTCTCAAGCAGGATTCAGGCCAGATCTCGGCAGCTGGGCTGGCTTGGCTGGTGTAATGAAGGATCATCCTGGCTTGGATTGCTGCAATAATGCGCTGCACCGCTAGGCAGCGAGATTCTTATTCCTTTGACGGCCAGTGGGAGGCCAAACATGTGTTGCACGAGGTCCATGGTTCGTGCAGCGGTGCGCCACTGGCCACAATCACAATGTTTATTGCTAGCAATCATAACAGGAGCAGGAACACAGAGTGTACTGCCATCGCCTGATCTCGTAGAGGAATCACAGAGTACTCCGTAGAGTGTTGAAACCCGGGGCAGCGTGTGCAGTGTGAACTGTGAAGCGTGTCAAGGCAACGTCATTGAAGCCAGGATGGAGCAATTTCAGAATGGAGAGCAGCAAATTGGCCGATCGGCGCTGGGCTGACGCTGGACCCGCTTTTCCTCCCCAATCTGGCCAGGGAATGGCGAAATGGATCAGGGCACAGTGGCAAGGCAGTGCCTTCTATTCGGGGAGTGGCGCAGTCCCCCTGAGCATATAAACACGCTCTCCTCTCTTCTTATCGTATCAGTCTATCATCACTGCACACTACCTAACACATCATATCTATCACCACTATCATATCAACCTATCCAATCACTTCTCCTCGACCTCCATCAAGCCAAGTCCAAAATGAAGCTCCTCCTCTCCACCCTCCTCCTCGCCGCCCTCGCCCGCGCCCAAGACAACAACAACAACGACGACGACAACTCCCTAGGCGACACCATCGGCGACGTCGTCGACGACATCACCTCGGGCGCCGAGAACATCGGCACCGCGATCGAAACGGGCGTCACCTCCGCCGTGGACTCGCTCACAGACCTGCCCACGGACGTCTCCTCTTGGGCTGAATCCGTCGCCTCGGACGCCTCGACCTGGGCAACGGGCGCCTCGTCGGACATCGACTCCGCATGGTCGTCCATCTCGTCCCAGGGCGAGAGCCTCTTCTCAACGGCAACGGACGATGTCTCGAGCGCGCTGAACACGATTTCCTCGTCCGTCGACGCGGCCGTCACGGACGCATCGGATTCGATTTCCTCGGCGGTCGACACGACCACTGTTCAGACGACCACCACGGGCGATGACGGGCAGGAGACGACCACCACGGCGGAGGTGACGACCACGACATCCGCGGACGCGAGTGCCACGCAGAGCGGCGATGAGAGCGAGCCCACGGACTCGGATGACGGTGCGGCGTATGCGACGCCGTTTATGGGTGTTGCGGGCATCATGGGCGTGATGGGTGTTGTTGCTGCTCTGTAAGCGGTAGCAATACACCCCTCCAACTATACCGTAATGTCTTGAAAACATCCCGTGGAAGGGCTTGGGCCCTTTCACCTATACCCGTCATGATGCGATGGGATGGGATTGGAGTGGAGGTCATCCGTTGGCTTGGATTTGTTTACCTGCCCTACCTGCGGTACATAGGATCCTACCATACTTGTACATTTACAATGCTTGTCTTGTGTGTCTGTTGGTTGTATATGATATGAATTGAACGATAATTGTCGATATCAATATTTCCGACCTCCAATGTTCTGCTGCAGTATACTTAGCATTCCTAACCTACCATTACCCAAGTAGGTTCTTCCATGTCTTCTTCTACCGACGAAGTAATGGTACCTGGCTTCCATCTATGAAACTAAGGACTAATGGTCCATGCACGACTGGTCCGGTTCGATACCTATTCCTCTACGGTCGCAATGTCTGGTCTACCAGTACAGTATACCATCAGTCCATACCACTGACCTGTACAGATCTAGGTGGGTGGGTAATGGGTATGGATGACGTCGTCACATCGCTTTCCTGTAAGGCTGGCTCCACTTCCCTCGATTTTAGATTGAGTCGCCCCGTTATGACATTGATGGATCATGGAAGCATGGAGGCTTGTCTTGAATGTAATCGTTTACAGTACTAGAGTCCGCCAATCAGATATCGTCATGCGATGCTAGAATACAGTAGAATATCCGTAGTCCTACGTATCTAGCCAAGAAAAGCACGTCACACCCCGACCCCGTCTTCAAGCTGATACACTGCACCGACGGAGGAAAGATCCTGGCACCCAACATACAGCCCCAGCATCTTCGAGCGCGGACTCGGCGGCGCATAGACAAAGTGCTTCCCTGGTCGTGCTGTGCATCTTCTCGCCTGGGCCTCGTCTTTGCACCATGTCCCTCGCCAATCAAAGTGCTGATTCTGAAGATCGGGGCCGTCCTGCTCGGCTGATGGTGTTATTCTAACGCTCAGAGTTTGGTATCGAACGGCTATATTGACTTCTGATGCTGTTCTTGTGTGCTCGTGGGGATTTGCCTCGATCTCAAACTAAGGTAAAGAGTTGTGCTGTCAGTCACATCATGGAATAACAAATCAAAGGTTATGCAGGCAGAGCATATGTTTTGTCGCTTGTTTGTAGGCTCAAAGAGCTGATCAAGACACACATGAAATTTTGCAATGCAAGGTGAATTACCTGTAGGTAGTGGATATCCCCTTCCCTTACACCAACGTCCATGCCAACAACCCGGCCATGCTCCGGAAAATCAAGCATCTGACGACTGCCCCCGGGGACAATATCAGAATCGCCGATCTGTGCTTTCGCACCGGATTTGTAGGTGAACGTGAGTCCAAGCAGTGCTCCTTGGTTAAAGCGCGCCTCAGCACAGACGACTTGGTCCTTGGAACCATCGTTGCAGGGCCTTTGAAAATACAGTTTCTGCACTTCATCGTAGGGAGGATACAAAGCCCGTACCAGTACGACAGGCCCAACGGCTATGTCGGACTGGGACACAATTGCGCGGACTCGGTCATATGAGGAGTTTAGGATCCATTGGATATCAGTCTGCTGAAATGTCAGAAGGCCACCTGTATGAAGGAAGAAAGGGATACTGACAATTTCTTCACCAAAGCCGCCTCCGTACTGGTGTTGCATATCTCTTATCGAAATCGGGCCAGCTGCAGCCGGATGAAATAACACTTTGTGACCGCCAGTTGTCGTGATGCGGACTGCCTTGACGCGGCCTAGTCGTAGAGTAGGATATTCCGCCGATTGGGCCATGAGGTTTACCCAAACGGTGAGTGAGGAGACTGTCTCATAGGGAGAAAGCTCGAAAACACCCTGCTCGTGCGCATCCATCCATTGTCCGACTATCGCGGGTGCACCTTTGTCGTAAACAAACTTCAAACCGGAAATGCAATTCGGGGATCTGGATGAGCCTTCTATTCCGATTGAGACCTCGATCCTCCGTACGTTCTTCAATGTGGCCCAGGTCTGGTAGTTAGCAGACGATCTTGGACAGCTTATATACCTCGAGAACTCCTTGTCGGAATCGAGATGCCTTTCCAAGGCAACATGGGATGATTCGGTTGGTCTCTGTACAATTTGGTCGAGAGGTTCCGAGGATGGTTGATTTTGGACACCTAGTTTGGTGAAAGGGTCCCTTGGCTCCTAAATAGTATTATTTACTTTGTCCACCTGCGTATAACGCAAGGCACCTACCTTTTGGAGGGCAACAAGACCAGTGATAACGTGCTTAGGCTCGGCAGTTTGTATTGAATCGACACTGATCTTTAATGTCGATGAGATTGGAGCGACGGTGAACGTGCGGCCGATATCCGTTGTGATCTAAGCGATGGTCAGCTTCAATCATGTATGATCATCATACAAAGCAGACCTGTAAGCCGCAAAGACCAAGAGAGAGAGTCCGGCTTTCTTCGCCCGGCCACGAGAAACTGTTCTCGGACCACCCCAGTGTACCAACCTGATCGATACGTTCGCCGTTCACACTGTCGATCAGAAAGGACAATGCGCAGCCAATTTTCCGACCGTAAAGAACAGAGTGGCCTTCATTGTAGATTATCTCTATTCCAACAAGCGGATTTGGCTGCGATTCCATGTGAAACACAAGCCTTGTTAGAGAAGGTAGAAGCGTGCCACCAGGGCCGCCAAAGTCGATGTTGTGAAGAGGTTCGAATGGTAGACTTCCCTGGCGTGGTTGAAGAGTGCTAATCTTTAGTTTTTCGTAGAGGGGCGGACAGGGCATCCACAAATGCCTTTGTGCTGGCGAAGTGATGGTACCAGGGAAGACGTCGGAAGGGCCCTCAAGAAGTTGGCCGACCCCAAGCGAGACCATTTTCAGCAGCTGAGTACGGTCTGGTCAGCACAAAGTTGTCATCATACGAGAGGCATGTCAACTCACATCCAATCCAGCTGTTAAGTAAAATTGTGCTTCTCCGCCTCGGACAGCGAGACTGCCTTGCGCAACTCCCGGTCCATTAATGACGCCAACCCAGTTAGACGACTCCGAGGTTGTAAATGTGAACTTCACTCCCGTAAGGCCCTGCGAGCAAAACGCTACCCCAAGCGCTGACAGGGAAGAGCCGCATGGTACTGCGATCCACTCTGCGGTGGCAGGATCGTGGAATCCAAGTATGCGAGAACCCTTCCCCAGTCGATATGAGGGAAAGAAACCAATTCCGGACACAAAAGTCCTTGCGCCAATTGTGCGGGTTGTAATTGCTATGTATCGGTGTTCTTTACCAAAGGAATGTTGAGGAAGTTGCGCTCTGCGATGGATCGTACGACATCCATCGACAAGTGGCTCGGCCGCATCCACAGAGGCGAGTTGGCCTGAGAATGAGTCAATTTCCTGTAGCAGTTTAGGTGGGCCGTCGATGCTCGAAGACTCGGATAGTTGAAAGCAATCCGTTTGACCCTGCGCCAAACGGAGAGTTGAGCCGGATAGAGTGGTTGGTGAACGCGAGTCCAGCTCCACAATGGCAGCGAAGGGCTCTATAAGTTTCCGAACTCTCCTTCTATTAATCAAAGATAGGCTCCCCTGGTTTCGTACGCAAGCCCTAGTCCCCCAAAACAGGCGGCACCAGTCTCGCTTATCGCGGAGATTCGGGAAAAGAAAGTCGGCCTCCTGGCCAACAAGGAACCTGCTTCGCCAGAACGACTGCGGAAGGCTACCAACAGCCGCCAGGTTAGCCAGTTCTCGAGACACAAGCCTTAGCGTGGCAAGCTCTTTGGTAGACATATATGATAATATCTCGTGCTTGATTTCTAGTGAGAACGAGCCAAAGAGTTGCGGGGTGCATCCATCTCGCTGACGATTCCATGCGGCGATATCCAAAGGCGCGGCGGCTTCCAAGTCATCGAGAGAGAGGAAAACATAGGGATCAGCGTAGAGATGTGAGTCCAAGTCGACTGGTTTTGGGCGCCCAGCTATCTTATGGGTGTGACTGGCTCCGTCGTAGTCATGACCGAGATCGAATGCAGAGGAATTCCGACAAGGGGTGCAGAAAAGCTGAGAGAACACAGACGCAGCAACGGCAGGTTCACTATGCTGAGAACCGAGCCTGGTGCGCAATAGTCGCCAGCAAGAGTTGTGGAACCCGAAAGCCCAGGATCCTCGAGAGGTAGTTGACAGTCCCCATTGCTCCAGCGCCTCGGTATCTGTGTACGAGAGTTCACTATCAACCGGGGCAACCAGGATGTTTCGTCCGCTGATAAGACCTAGCCCCGTGAGAGAGATGCTCTCCATCATGACCAGCCCGCGGATCTCTGCGTACCAGGGACGAGTGCGGCGTGGGTCCGCTTCGGGATAGGGATCCTGGAGTAGGATAACTCCACAGAAGGGACAGTAGACGTTGGAAATTGCCATCCATGCATTTCCAAGAAAGTCCAGAGAAAGGGTGCAGCCTCGCGGTCGCTGGAAAGATCGAAGAAGGCAAAGGAGAGGAGGCAAGAGCTTCGCCATGTTTGTTACCGTACGGTACGGTACCTAGGTCTGTCACGTGATTTCTGTCGGGAGGAAGCAACCAAGTCGCTTAGGAAGATGACAGGTCCATCCATCCATCCACAATAATACGAATTGCTGTTGGCGCTTAGGTGTTGGATAAAAATGCACAGCATCTACTATTTCCGAAGAACAGACGGGGATTATAGAGCGGCCCATCTTCCCGAGGGCAATTGGCCTCTGTTAGAAGGAGTCTTTGTCGCCCCACCTGGAGCCTCGATCTCCAGATAGGTACAACTCAAGATCGTTTCAACCTCACGGATGGCGGAGTTTATAGGCAATAGCTTCAGAAGCCAAGATCAGACAGACCCGCTTGGTCTTCAATCATTCGCGACGTGATCCCGCCAGTTCGGTACGGCGTCTGGCAAATCGTCTCAGGCTCGGCGGCTCGAGAGAAGTATCACATTGTACGGCGGCACGGCTGTTGGCTGGCTCTCATACACCTACACTCTTCATGAGAGGCGTCGCAACCGTGCGCGGGATGAATCCTGCAGGACACCACGGCGTCAATCGATTGGCACTGGTTTACAGTTATCTTCTGGTCCCGCAATCCTCCTCAAGGAAGTCGCAATAGCAGCTACCCGCGACAGCGCCATATAAACGAGCAAGATGCAGCCGATGATACGACTTGATCCATCAATCAGCTCATCAGATCTTCCCATTCTTTCAGGTTATCATCTATCTACCTTCACCCACTTTCTTCGTCATCCTGTCTACCAAGATATCCAACCTCAGTCCCTCCGCAACAAAGCTCTGGACCCAACAAAGCTATCACATGGCGCTGGATGCAATCAAACCCAACAGCATCGAAAATTCAGTGCAGGACCTGTGGCAGTGTATCATCGGTCTTTATTTCCCGTACGATCAGTCCTACAGGCATTCGTACAAAGCGTCAATCCTGGCCAACAACAACATGCCGGACGTCACCGTCATCCAGGTCCTGGCCACACACCCCAATGCCGATTTCAGAGTCGCGGCCGACTGGGCCGAGCGCCATATACTGATGATCGAATGCAAGCGGCCGTCGATGGACACCCCGACCCAATGGGACAACACAATCGAGGGCCAATTCCTCGACGATCTCTTGGAAAACCTCAACGCCTCGTGCAAAATCTTCGGAGCCGTGGCTATTGGCAAGAAGGTCAAGTTCTTCCGCTTTGATGGGAAGAAACCCACCGGCCATCCCAATCAACTCGTACCTCTTCATCAGGACGTGATCGATCTCAGCGACCATTATCAATTTCCGCATCTTGCATACTGGTTGGACCATATAAAAGGGAATGGTTGGCAGTGGGCTAGCTCGTGATGGAGCGTCTTCAAAGAATATTTTACTGCGAGTCTTTCCATACTGCGCTGGGATACCACGCTGAGGTGGAATATATATGCGCGAACAAACTCCCCGGCCTAGGGCGAGGCGACTTTGCGATGTTTTGTTATTGTATCTCTTGTTATATATCGCGTCTATAGCTTCATCTTCTGTGGTAATTATCATGTATCTGGATATATATCCTATACATAGTTATAGTTAGCAGTTGCTCAACCCACGAAGCCTTGGCCGATCGGGCTAAGTCACCTTGTATAGAAGTAATTCTACTGAGTTATGAGGATGTGTAATTATTGATGAAGACAAGGGGAGCCTTGGTTAGGGCTAGCTTCGAGATGCCCTTGCTCCATGTCTATCTTCTTTGAATTAGGAAATGTAACCAAACCCCGGAGAACTTCTCGATCATAATTCATCACTGGGTAGGTACTTAAGGCGGCACTTGTCCAGACTCGCCACAGTCAATAGGTACGTGGTGACTGCCGTATCATATGTATACATAGGTAGCGCACTGGCAAAATTGCCGGAAGTCGAGTCCTAACGAGAAAAGTAAGAAGTTCCAACAGGTTTCACCAAGAAAACTCGTCTTTTCTCCCTCGCCTTACTGAACCATCACTCGTTTCCTCTACTCAGCCCCTGTCATGTCGTGACGTTTAGTAGACTCAAACTCCACGGCTAAGCTGGCTTATTTATGGCTTTTCCTATCCAACTTCATTCCGTAATACAGTATTCAGACGCTCCCGCCCTGCGGTCGGTTTTTAATCATCCATTTGGTCAGGTCCGTGGCCATGAAGCGCACGGGACAATGCGTTCCGGAATAATTCGCCCTTACCGAGCATTGAGACACAGTCTACAGCGTTTCCAGCGCAAGGAACATGACCATCTTGCGGTTATTACTAGGTGAAAAGTCCTATTTCCTGAATTTATTAAGCAATAGAGCACGCGTGTGAACTGGGTGATATTGAAGTAATTAACGAGCAACATGTGGCTCTGTACAATCTAGCCACTGAAGCCCACGGTGCAAGATTTGCCTTTCCATGAAGCAGGAGCTCTATACTCGCTATTTGAGAAAAACAACAACATGTACCCCTGCTCATCAAATTTCTTGCCCAGGTTCAAAGACGTACTCAGCTGAATACAGGGCAAAACCAACCTTCCGGCGAGAAAAACAACCTTGGAACAAAACAACCATGAGAACGAAAGAAGGCAAGGAAAGACGCATTGTACCCTAATCAAACCTCCAACAACTTTGAATACAGACAGAAATTCCAGAAAAAAAAAGACATGTACCCCAATAAGAACTCCAGTCCCAGGCGCAAAGACTCATTTAGCAAGACAAACAGTGAGCAAAACAGTAATAAGGATGGCAATAAGGGAAAGGCATATAATCAAAAACTGTCACCAACCAGGGACGACTCAAGGTAACGGTCAAGCCGTCAAAGGGAGGCTTGGATGCAGGTATCAATCACCGCTTCTCTCTCCGTCCTTGACTCGACTAAAGCAAGAGTCGAGTGGCAATTTCGTCGGTTTCATCCATCGATCATAGCAAATTCGTTCGCTTTGAAGGACGTTGAGGTGAAGCAATCCACTTTGTTGCGGCAATGGCGGCTTCACAGAGCCCGCTATTTCGCACCCAACGACTTGATACTGCTAATTGAGAGGTTAGTATTACGGCAGGCCGGACGTATGGCCAAGTGGCGCTGTAGAGTAAATATTAGAGTGCTGATAAGACAAGCATTACTCTAGGGGACAAGAAGAAATTACTAGAGTAGGGAAAACATACACGAAATAGATACAATGTGCACGGTGATATGAAAGCATAAGGATGTGTCGAGGGCGACGGTGGGGAGTAACTTTAAAGACTTCACGGTTTCTCAACGCCGCCAATGTAACAGATCGCCAGCGGAGTATGCAATATTATTATGATTAGGCGCTATTCTCCGCAAATGACTGGCTATGACGGTAAAGCCTCTACCACAACAAAAGGAATCAAGCAGCAAAGACCAACGATCGGTCCACAATTCCGCACTTGACTAGCCAGGGCTCCACAGTCGGAGTTGAAGATTAAAGCGCACTTAAAGAAAGTATTTCTCAGCCGAAGACCTGATACGGCAAAGGGGGAATGAATCAAAAATGAGAAAATGAAAAGAGCGGATAGGATTTGAGCAGGCTGACGAGACGACAGCGAAAAGACGACAACGAACAGACGACAACGAACAGACGACAACGAACAGACGACAACGAACAGACGACAACGAACAGACGACAACGAACAGACGACAACGAANACGACAACGAACAGACGACAACGAACAGACGACAACGAACAGACGACAACGAACAGACGACAACGAACAGACGACAACGAACAGACGACAACGAAAAGACGGGATGGAAAGACAGGATGAAGGTTGGACACTTCCAAAGAGGTGAAGATGAAGTCAGAAGAAAAAAAAAAGAAATGGGAAGTGCGCGATATCATGTATGCATGGGAGAATCAGAGAACATGATGAGATTCGAGAGATGATTCAGTGAAGAGGGACTTGGGGTTCACAAGAAGCCTTTTTAATCCGCCTTTATAGCGACAATCAACTCAGCCAAACCAAAGCCAATAGTAATTATCCCAATGAGCACTACAGACCAAAAGGTTAGCCATCTTGGGAAGGACCGTTGGTCCCAAAAGACGCCCTTGAGCGTGTTCGGCTCCTGTTGCTTGGTGTAATCTCGAATGGTGAGGAACCTCGAACCATATCTTGGAAGGTCGCCGCGGACTGAAAAGGCTTTCAAATCTAAGAGCTGGCCATCATCGGCTTTGACGGATTGCGGAAAGAGTCCAGGTATGAACAGCGGATTCGCCTCTGCCCGTCGAGAAAACAAACGTGACCTGCCGCAGACAGAAAGCGATTCCAAGTCCCAGCCCTCGCCGTTGTTGTGGGGCTTGGTCATGCGTTCAAGAAAGTGGTCGACGTGTTTTAACTTTGCTAATTCCTTTTTCAATAGTCGCTGTGAAGCCGGCGTGGAAAATAGTAGCTTATAAGAAAGCATAACCTCTCGATAGAGGTCAAGAAGACCGTTTACTTGATAGAGGTCAAGAAGACGACCGTCCATGGCAAGAAGCGCTAATCTGGATCCATCAAGACAGCAAGATTAAAACCTGGAGATTTGAGTAAAAGACAAGCAGTTGAGTAACATACTTTGAGATCCCGTTTTCGCAGCCTTTGAGAATATATCTTGCGCAGAGAGTTGGGTATTTAAACACGGACAATGTTTGGTGCCGTTTATCGAAATGCAAGTGAGAGGGCAGGTCATCGACCCAATGGATTCTCAACTGCGCAAACATTGCCAGAGAGGAAGCGTTCACATCTTCTAGACGTAAAATGTCATCTTGGGAGGCTTTAGGTTGCGAAATCTCGGCTCCCGTGCTGGGCCGCGTACTATAATCAAGCTCTCTGAAATGTGCCAGCACACTCGTCACAGATACTATGTCCGAGGCTTCTACAGAGTAGGGGCGACCGGCGTACTTGGCCTTCAACAAGTAACGAGCGTGACCTTCTGGTCCAGGCTCAACGGGGTCCTTGTTGCGTTCCATGGGCGTCATGGACGCGGTTAGCAAAATAAGCGTGCTCAAAACTGCATGGTGGACAGAAGCTATCTGATTTCCTGTGGCTCCTGGGGCCAGTTTTTCGCGCAGTTCTCCAATTTTCGGATTGGCCATCTGTTCACAATGTTGCCAGCAGTCAACGACAGCGCAACACCAAGTCCAGCAGTCGGGTTTCAAAGGTCGAACAACCAGTTCCTGGATCTCACGCAAGTCTGGATCCAAGAAAAGTTTTGTGATTTGCTCCTCCAAGTGTTGGCAAAAAGCATCGAGTCCGGGATAGTAAGGGTCTGTATTGCTCGAACCAAAGAAGCGTTGAATAAAGTCACGACGAGTGGGAGATTTCTGGTATCAAACGCGACCAGGAACTTAGTCATGCTTTTTACATTTCAGGGCTAACTCACAGGAATACTGCTGCTCGACATTGCTTCTGTAGCGTTTGGAGACTGTGGCTTGATGAGATGCGTCGTGGCTCTTGGAAAGCGAGAGTGCTTTCGTTCTTGATTGCTCTGGTGAGAAAGGATCTGAGTCCCGACAGCGTGTGCCTGATAACTATGAATGATAGTTGTAAGAGCGCAACAAGCGAAATCCACGAAGATGCGTCCTTGAGGGGAACGGGAAGCTTGGGGTATTTCACCGTTTACGAGCCAACGTGTCTTGCTGACAAGACGAGGTGAAGCTGGGCCAGATTCCAGGATGTCTAAGACCGGAAGGATGGATTGCATCGTTGCCGGATCGTGCGGCCTGCCTTCTCGTGGACTCTGAATCTGGCTCGCACCATTATATGCGCTTCTTGATTTGAAGCTCTTCCTGGCTTCTGATGCCTTGAGTAATTGAAAGCCGTAGTATCGGTCGAGCAAGGTCGCCGCGATTGCATCGCATCGCATCGTATCCCTTCATTCGAGCTGGTCGCTCTCGATCTGGCCAGGAGCACAGCTCCCGTTCCCTCGCCCTGAGACCGATCCTTCCCCCAACGAAAACCAGAATCTGAAACTGGCCTGGTCAGCTGCCGTCAGCGGACTGGAGGCTCTTCAACGATGCAAATCAGACCCTTACGAAGCCATATCCTGCGCCGGAATTTCAGGCAGACCTTCTCGCCTAAGTGCTTCTTGAAGAGCATCGATTTGGTCCAGAGCAACTTGCTTCAATCTGCCCGTTCGTTCAAGCGCTGGGGTTGAGGTCTGCCGCAGTGCTTCTCTCAGCAAGAAGAAACGCCAATGTGGTTTCGGGAGCATGCAGGTCCCGTTCGGTAGGTGGCCTATCACGCATCGTGTTTGCCAGACCTGGAGAGACAAGGCCTCGTATATCGCAGGGAGCTGGGCAGGAAAGGGGCTGCTGACAGCACTGAGCGGTATGAGCTTGCGCCAGCGAGGTTACGAACTGTTTGGAGAGTCGGTGAGGGAAATTCGCGACAGACGAGACGCATCGAAGACGCCCACAGGGACTGAGATGGAAATAAGGTGGGAGGTGGAGGGAGGCGCTGCTGGAGGGAGGGCGGAATATCGGTACGAGATCCTCCAAGCGGCCTTTCCTTTTTAGGCCTAGTGTGCTCTGAGCCGGCGTTCGCTTTGAATAGCTTCATTCTTGAACATCCCCACAAAGTTAACTATCCTGGTAAGCAGGGCGGGGCCCTATGGGGTTAGCTCTAGGCCAACTAGCTAGAAAGTCTGCGCGTACGTAGGAAGAATATGGCTCACTAACGACCATTTTGGCCCGACTTCCAAGGCCTTTGAAAGCGGGAGCAGATGAGTAGAAGTGGAATTGGTAATTGCATATGTACGGTGCAAGCAGACACCCTTGCTAACTATCTTTGCCGTCACCGCGATAGCAACACATTTATTCGTGGCTCAAGAGCAATGAGTTTGAGGATACACAGAACAGATAACATGAAACGCATACATAGTAGAAAACACAGAGTTAGGTGAGCACTCGGAGGTCCGTAGATTGGTCGGCAGTCAGTTGAGCTTCCGCAGCAAGACGTGTAATGGCAACCATTCCTCTGTATTTCACCGCTAGATCTCCGGCTCCAAAGATTGCATCCTTCCTTGCCACGTTGAATGTCAGCCAGCGAGCACTTCTTGCCTCCAGCAGGGGAACCCCCTGGAATGCACTGGCGCATCCACTTTTGGCGAGTTCGTTGACTGCCTTGATCCAGTCATTCAGGGCTTCCAGACTTGGTGCAGTGACTAGGTGGCGGTCGTTGCGGGTGAATTTTGGGAACTCGTCTCCAGCTTCCTCCTACCAAAGGAGCAAGAGTTGGAAATTACGATCAAGTATAGGGTGATGCGGGACATACTTCGAAGCCGAAGAGGTAGACGCTGACAGGTGTCTCAGACTTGTATTTCTCAGGGGTCACCTCAAAGTCCATGATCAAGTCGCGGGGAAGTCGGAGAGACGAAAGTCAGAGGAGTTCGGAGGGTTCGGAGGGTTCAGATGGTCGGGAGTTCAAGAAGTTGAGGTAAAGGAATGGATACATAGTCCGGGTACTTATGTTTCTCCTTCGCATGTCGCGTCAAGATTCCATGGCCATCTGGAGTATGAATCCTCTCAAGAACGACAAAGAAAATGCTGAATCAACGGTGGGATCAACGTTGCTGATTATTTGGTTTGGGTCGTCCTCGGTAAGGCTTGCCCGATCCTAGCAGCGATTCGCTCTCCAAAACAAAGGAAGAACAATCAGACATATGAACCAATACAGTCGAGTTCCGTTGGGTCTGAATAGGTAGAGCTCGTAGGCTGGTTCCCATCCTTGATTGTCGGAGTCTCTATTGAAGCGAAACGCCACTCCATTCTATAGGTGTCCAGAGATCGGTGATAGTAAAATCATGTCTCTATTTCTATTGACAGGGTCAACGGCAAATCTTGGCCATCAGGTGTGAGATAAGCAGCCTTAATAAAGAGATCGTAACGCAGAGAACCATGGGCTCTGAGCTACATGTGAATGTAAAAAGGACAAAAGAAATGGTCCCAGAGGGTCGACGTCGACTCTGGCGTAACAATCGGACAACGCAGCCAGATCTGCTGCTGTGGCCATGTAGCGTAGCGGTGTTCTGGGTCAGGCATTAAACACAGGAATAGGCTGTATGCAGGACATACGTCGATGCCAGAGGTAGACACTGATGGGCGGATCGGAACTGTAGTCTGCATACTCAATTTGATGGGCATGATTAACACCCAGAAAGTCTGAGATAGTCCGGGTGCTTACCTAGGTATGCTTCCTTCTCCTTCGCATGACGCGTCAAGGCTCGATGTCTGTCGAGTAGAGGTCGTGATGTTACACTTACCAAAGCCGCCATTCCAATCCTTGGGACTGCTGACTCGTACCGTCTACGAGGCCAGGAGACAAAGAAATGCAGATGATTGATTAACTTGCAGGTTCTGATCTGGGCCAACGGCATGCAGCAAGCACGTGCTAAAAGCAATAGCGGTACCCAATAGTATGCATGCTAAAGAAAAAGTGTCGTCCATCCCCAGCTCAGCCGAACGGATCCCACCCAGACGGTTCTCGCGAACGAATACCCGATCCGTCGAACAAACATTGCAGCATTCTATGCTACCATAAGGCTCCTTGCCCAGTGCCTGCTTTAGGAGAACCCTTGCTTCCCCTGACTGGGAAAACAGCAGACTGTATGAAAGGAGTATCTCCTCGAATACTCCGTTGTCCGGCACTGCGTTGCTTACAGGGTTAGGGCGTATGGAAATGACGTCGAGCGGCGTCTTCGGGAGCACGCGAGCAACACTGATAGGTCAGTAACCAAGTCAATGTAGCGAGAGGGTGGTCCGGGACATACTAGGGACCGAATTTGACTTGCACATCTCTCCGGAGATGTGCCAAACACAGCGATGGATATCGAAAAATACAGAGAACGCGGCTTCCCCCACGAGTTTTCAGAGTCAGATGCTCAATGAGAGAGTCCACTAGTTCCAGACCCAGCCCTCCGCATTGGTTCAGGACCCCGAAGTCCAGGATCCGAGGGTTCTCGTCCAATTCTCTATACTGTTCGTCTGTCCCCTCTTGGATATCGAGGAACAGGTCTTCCCTCATAATATCGAATGGCCAGCGGATTGACATAGTTGGATCAGCCGTTACGTAGAACGAGGCTCCGTCGGCGTATTCCACCGCAAACTGGCTGTTCCCTGGGGCTATTATTGTCTGCTGGTCCGGCGGCGTTGTGGGATCAACCAGGCCGCTGATGACGCATATGCTGTTAAAGACTGCCCTGGCCAGCGTGGCTTCATTGGGTCCGTCGAATGGCGGAGACAATTGAGAGATGGCTAGGTCGAAGTTTGCATCTAGTCGCTGGTTTACTGGCAAACTCATGAGCGCCATGACCAAGCGCGAGCACCAGATCCAAATGACTGAGGCGTTTTCGCCAACTGGGAGCCACAACTTTCTCTTGGAGTCATCAGACCACAGTCTATCCTCGCCGGAATACCTTGCCCAGTGACAAACGGCAAATTCGCAGGGGCAGAGGAACCGCTAGCCAGTTTGAATTCTTCAAAGACGAGGAAATGGCGCTTTTCGTTACCGGACTCTCTGAGGGGAGGACCGAGCGACAAAGGAGGATGCGCCACAGCACAGCAGGAAGACAAGATTAGAGAATTCTGAGCCGGGAATGACGGCCATATTAAGAGAAATCTTGACCGCTACTTCCTCTGTCTCTGTGCAGAGGGTAGCAGGGAGGGGCGCGTTGTGCGCTGTTGGATTTCAAACGGGACCAGGCAGTAGCAAACATCGCGAACCACGAAGAAGCTGGCATTTCCAGTCCTGCCGGTGTCAAAACATCACCTTCTGACCCACACACTTCGTGGTCCCGAAGACCTGAAGATTCAAAACCGGCCAAGCAGCCCCGGTCTTTGATGCATGAAAGACTCGGCGCAACATCAGAACGTCCAGGCTGCGCCACCATCGTGCATGCAATGTTCACATGGAAGTAAGAGTTGAACCGTGGGTTTCCTGGGTAGGGTTGGCCCACGAAGATAAAAGCCCTGGGCCTTCTTGCATTTCTTCTCCTGCCTTCATCTCCAGTCCTGTCTTTCCTTCTCGTCTGTTCATCTTTGTCCCAGACAACGTTCGCCGCAATGCACTCGCCCGCCTACGCCTACCTTATTAAAGTTGAGGTGAGTGATAACCTGACCACAATATTCATGGGTCCTTGGTAGCTGAGTTGCCCACCAGAGAGGTCACTCGAGGCATTGGGGGAGAGACCGACTGCTGCTCGTCGCGGCCGACAAGGAAACCATCGACCAGTGGTTCAAGAGATTTTCACCGCTTGGAGACAACTCACCCGTCAAAAAGGTAAACGATTGCTGGTATACCTATACCATTCCCACCGGCGAGTCTCTCAACAATGTGATCAACCTCGATGATCCCGCTCTCTCCGGCAAGATGACTTTTGCCCGCTTGCCTGATGCCGACCCGTCCTTGTATTTCACCCCGAGGGCCAAAACGGCGGTCCCCGACCCGGTCCCCAAAACGACGGACACTCCCAGTTCTCTCCAGCAAATGTGTCTTCCTTTCCCCACGTTCACCAACAAATAGTCGGGACAACCATCTAGAATGCTGGCAGACTGGTCCATCTGTGGTTTCTGTGATTTACTGTATTTACTTGACTTGTTTTGTTTGTCTCAGGCTAGCGTTCAGAAACATAACCCTTCAAACTTCCCAGCTTCCATGTGTAGAGGCATGCCGTTCACTGGCCTACCTGATCATTGCTTTCATTCACTTTCTATGTTGCTTGCAGTGACTTTTCAAGTTCATTAACTTCCTCATCACCCCCATCAACTTTGCCTCCTTCAGTGCCTTCACCCTTCAATAAACCTCCATCCACCCATAGTATTTAATCATCCCCGTGCCTATCAATATAACCAACTGGGACAGAACTCGGGGCATACTAGATGGTGCATAGAGAATATTCTTATTTCATGATACCCAAGCACTGGCGCTGGATGGGTGCTCTTTCCTCTTTTTTGGTTTCTCTTTTTTATGTCGGGTTATTTACTACAAATAGAGAATACCTCTTATTGTATTTCTCTTGGAATTAGAAGCTCTGTCGCCGTTTTTCTGTACATAGAGTGCATGTCAAGACAAGACCGCTACATCAACAGTACCGAGTACTACACCGAGTACTACTACTACCATATCACTACCTACCCAAACACAATCTAGAGTCTAAAGCGAAGGAACAATGTAGTAATATCCTTTTCCACAAGTACGATTCATGTCCTAGAGGACTAGCATAAAAGGTACAACATGCAAAACCCTCTGGGTTTGTTCTTCTGGTTCCTGGGGTTGTTCATTGCACAATGGGAGGGGTAAGGCTTCCAGAGACCATCGCAAGAGGGGCCAGGCTTTATTCAGTACACCCTCTGGCCTGCATCGATCGATACCCACACGTTGAGGTCCACTTAGTAAGCTGCTAGCGCCATGTAATACCTAAACAGTAAGTTTGTTATTTAACTCTCTCTGCTTATTTCTAACACTTATATTAACTTTTTAGGAGCAAAGAGTTGTAATTATACCTCCCTTTTTTATAGTACTATTTGTTACTTATAATTTACTTAGCCTATGGCCTATTATTCAGAATCTCTATGTAATTGTATGGATATAATAACTAGTGGCTGTTAGCGCTGTGGGGCGGCAGCCTGTGGGTATTGATCGATGCAGGCCACAGGGTGTACCCATGCTGCATGCTAGCCGTCCATGGGCCGCAGTTGTTCTGACAAGATCGTTCCCCGCTACCTAATCGCCCCGGCTGTTGTCCTTTTGTTTCTAACCGCGGACGCGGCTGATATGACGACAAAACGTGGTTTCTGATGTCGCGCTTCCTGGATCCGCTCTTTGCCGTCGAGGGTGGGACTTATCCTGCCTTCTTACAAAATGAATAGTTGAGTTACATAGCAACCTTTGCGTCTCGGTTCCAAGACGCGGTGGCGATTCAGAGGGACACCAAACCAGCTCTACGGCTTTGCATCGAAGACTGCCAACGCAGAGCAGGTAATACTCAAACTTGCCCAAACTCTTCGCAACTGCAGATGGCTAGAGTTGTTCGAGTTATCAAGTCTTAGCTTCATGACATGGTCCAATCGCCGAGAGCCGAGAATGGAGATTTGCATTTGAGCTTCTGGGCAGGCGGGCCGGCAGAGGTACCGGGATTGTGCCGAGGGAATGGAGGTATGGTAGGCATTAGGTATAGCTACAACCGACGAATATTGTAATTCGACGTCCTAACACGAAGAACGTCGATAAAGAGTATGAATTTCGTAGAGAATGAAGGTAAAAGGTGCTGGGAGTTCTCATGGCCCCCGTCGCGCCTGCCTACCTAGCGGGCAATGACAAAATCCGACTCCGTCGGTCGCCTCCCGTCAGCATGTACCAAGGTCGGGGTATCGCCATGCGCCATATGCACAGAGCTCGGTATCTGTCACGCCGGCTGCGTTTTCCATGGATGGCTGGGCCCCGGAGATGTCTTACTCCGCGCTAGACGGGTTACGCCTTACGCCGCGGAGGTCGGGTCACATCTATCTCCATGCAAGGGCACACACATAACTGCCGTAAAGATGGGACAAGAATGCAGTCGGCGGACCTGACCCGACGCGTTCAAAGGTTGAACGATATGAGAACGAAACAAGTTTGCTCTGGAAGTCTATAATATGAATAAGCACCCTAATGCAAGTCCGATTAATATACAAAAACAGACGCCTTGGCCGGCAGAAGAAGAGAATCACGTATGTCGTCGTCAGGAAAAATAGCGATGGTCAAAGTATGTACAAGAATCACCAGAAGTAGGGGTTGCCGTAGACGTCCTGGTAACACTGGAAAACGTCGGGGCAGCTGAGTTTTACGCGGTTAGCGATGGATTCCGAAAATCAGGAGGAAAACGTACTAAACAGGCTCCTGTCCAAAAATAATATGCCATGTGTACTCCATCACTCCCGAAGTCATATCGTCCGGAAGGTCATTCTCAAGCACCCAGTTGTAGTACCGCTGGTAATCGCTCAGCGGCCGCTTGAGGACTTGGTCGCGGGAGACCGCGAACTGCGAGCAGCACGGGGCTCCAATGACCTCGGGGACGTTGGTGTTTTTAAACAGCGCCTTCCAAGCGTCCGCGTAGTACTTCTCGACGTTCTTCCCCTCGCGTGGAGGATCGCGGGTCGGTCTGATTTCGTCGGGGCAGCCGGGGGTTTCCTGGCACCGGAGGTTGGCGTAGCCGTTGCGCTGCACAAAGTCGATTTGCAGCGAGCGCACCGATTCCACGTTGCTGTAGTCCATTGTGTCCGTGTGCCAGGCGCCGGGCCACCCGTCGCGGTGGCTATGGATAAAGACCATCGTGGAGGGGAGGTCATCGTAGTGCTCAACGATGTACTGGAGGTAGGCGAGGGCCTCGCGGCCTTTGTTCATGGGAGTGTGGCGCGGCGCGTTCGGGTCGTCGACGACGTAGATGTAGTTCCGCCAACTATTTGAATCAGCACATTACCCGCCTCCTTGGCTTGTCAAAGACGTACTCGGCGAGATCGGCGCTGACCCAATTCGTGTCCTCCGCGGCCAATTTAGCCATCACGATGATCCGGTCATTGGGGACGATGATTGGTGTCGAATCGTAGGTCTGCGGGCTAACACCAGACTCTGCTGTCGACCATCGCGACTTCCATGAAGCAAGTTCGGCAGGATCTGGTCTGCCGCCGACATTGAAGACCCAGGGCGTCCGCGGGCGTGGGACCTGGGGACCGACGTTGAGGAGACGGCCCAGGAGGAAGATGAGCGTGACAAGGAGGGCGGCCGCCCCGATGCGGTAAGACAATCTCATTTCATAACCTCAATCGCAAGAATACTAAAAGAGTGTGAGGAATAAAAAGACAAAAGACGAAAGAACAACAAGGGCGGCGTTGGGCGTGGTCGAGGGGAAAAGGAGAAAAAAGATGGAGGCAGCGGCCGTCAAGTGAGACAGGCTTGGGGGTCCGCCCCAGACAGCGATTGGTCGATCGGCAGCGTCAGCTTGACTAAGGCAGCGCAGCCAGCGAGCTCTCCATCTACAGAGTCTGTTATCGCCTAAAATAACTTCATGTGGAATTATGTCTTGGTTCAGCAATCTCGCCATCCTCTCGGCCGATGAGGTGTATAAGCCCCTCGGCTGAAAACGCGACAGCCAGACTGCAGAGCACCCCGACTCTGAAACCCATACTATGCATCATTATCGTCCAGGGTCCGATCTCAACGGGCCCCGAGACCGACTAGGGTCCATGTCCTTCTTCTCAGGTTGAGCCGTTGAACGATTTAGTTCTTTAGGGTCCCCTCTTCAGACTGGAAGTATTCAACTGATAATCTATCTAATATGAGCGAAAGACAGTAGTATAACGGGTCCTAACTCTTCCAAGACTGTCTAGTCCTTGATCAGACGCGCGGCCAAAGAGATTTCAAGCGAGATCGTCAGCGCTCATTTACATGCGACGGCTCTGCCTTGGCTGGACTGCCAGATCGTCGGCCGCTATCATACTGCGATGGTCTAGAAATGTCAGTTCAAATAAATGTACCCATGCATTATTCAAGTCATAACTACATATCTTGGCCATCATGTCGTGTCTGGGTGCCAGCACCCTATATACAAACATCGTACTCCGTATATCACAACGCCAACCCAACCAACTCACGCTGCCTGCCGAAGAAACATAAAGAACGCATCTAATGCAGCCAATAACCTGATCAACAACATCGCCCCCTCCGCTGTACAACCTCCACCGCCTCTTCCCCGTCATCGCCAGCACTGCTCGGCGGAAACATAAGCCAACTCCGTCTCTTATCGCCCATTCCAAGCCGGAAACTGCCTCCCCCATCAACACCTCCAACCCCAGCCCCCGCAGAAGACGGACCCGCGTCCAGCGGCGTAAAGGGACCACCCCCGGGCGACAAAACACCACCCGCGTACATGTCGCGTCGATTCCGCTGCTCCACCAGCTTCCGCGCAATCACCCGAAACACCTCCTCGACGCCCTCGCCGTCCTTGGCACTGATCTCATGGCAACAGTCCCACCCGATATCCTGACCCCAGAACCCGCTGTTCCGTTTACTGTCCACCCCCATCCCCACCCCGATCGTCGCACCCGATGACCGCGCATATCCCGGCGTCATAACCGGCGTCGCAGTCGGCGGCGGCGTCGACGCACGGCTCGGATACAGCTGCTCTGCGATGTATGCGATCGTCCTCTCAAATGGCACGCGCCGGCGCCCGGGGTCATCCGCCACGATATCGCTCTTTGTGCCGACAACGTGGATGACGAGGGGTTCGTCGTCGGACGCCAGGTTCCGCTTCAGCTCGTGCAGCCAGCCCGTCATCTCGTTGAAGCTGGACTCGTCGGTGATGTCGTAGCACAGCAGGCAGGCGTTCGCGCCCCGGTAGTACAGCCGCGATATGCTCCGGAAGCGCTCCTGGCCGGCCGTGTCCCAGATCTGCAGCCGCACGAGCGTGTCCGACGTACTGTCGAGCACGCGCTTTGTGACGAACGAGGCGCCGACGGTGGAAGTTGTGGCGGATGCGTTGAAGGCGTTTTTGACGTACCGCTGCACGAGGGAGGTTTTGCCGACGCCTTCAGAGGGTTTGTCAGCTTGGATTCCGAGAACATTGTTAGGAAGACGTGGCTTGGGGTACCTTGAGCGCCGAGGACAACGATCTTGGCCTCGAGGGAGGAGCTCATGGTGGGGTTAGGCGGGGCGGGGGAGCTGGATTTGCATGATCCAGCGGCAACAAGAGAAAAAATGTCGAAAAGTAAACGATAGTAAGAAGCGAGAAGACTAATATTCAAGGAGCGTAAGGAGAAGAAAAGGAAACCAAAGAGCGGAGGCGGGGGAGGGGGCTGAAGAGCAAGTGACGAAACGAGAGGCTGAAACCTGAAAGAAAGCGATCAGCCGATCGCAGCGCAGGCAATCAGGTGTTCGTCCGCTTGGTCCCCTTGCTGCCATCTTCATCCCTGCACGTATGCGCAGCTCGCCAGCCACGATCCCAACGCAGTGCATCGCCGATCGTGCATGGAGTCGATGCAGAAAACCTTCTCTCGACCATTCAGAACCAATGGATGGACAGACCCGATGAGTTGGCTACGAATCACCTCATGATTGTGGCTGTGGCTTCCCCGCCAGCAGCTGGAATCGAAACGAGACTGCTTTGCCAGGCCATTTTCAGCTGGGGGGCAGCCAAGACTAGGTAATGTGTTCTTGTTGAAATAACAACTTCGCTTATTTGCAGATACTGAAGATACATCTAGGTTGAATTTCAATCGTCCAAGACACGGTATATACTCTAAGAACAAAAAATAATCGCACCGATCCACGGGTTTGGGACTCTGGGGTATACGAAAGAAAGCAAAAAAAGTCATCCATCCACAGCGCATCAAACCCTAGCGACTGTACAAATCATAAACAGTGAAGCAGAAGAACATCATCCGACGTTCGTTGGCACCCACCAAGTACGTCATGCGGGTTCCAGGTTTGGTAGGCACCTTGTGTCGAGGTACCCGAGGTAGAGTGCGAGTTTAAGCACGAGGTCCTGCATCCTCACTGGTACTACCAGTAGGCGAGACATGCCCCTTCTCGACCTCGGCCTCGGTCTCGGGCGTATAATTGTACTTAGCAGCCTCGGCCTCGATCTCGTCGTCGGACAGCTTGGGCAGCTCGTGCGAGGCACGGACATAACTGATGTTCTCGTGGTATCCCTTTGCGAAAATAAGATCGATCTCTTCGAGACTGCGGTTTGCGGTCTCGGGGTAGAAGAACCAGATGACGGGAATGAAAAGGGCGTTCCAGGCAGCGAAGAACAGATATGTACCCCACCCGATGGCGTCGACCATTACAGGCGTGAACATCACGACAGCAAAGTTGAACAGCCAGTTGTTGCAGGTGGACACGGCGTTGGCCTTGGCTCGCGTGCGCACGGGGGACAGCTCAGCTGGATACAACCAGGGGAGGGGCAGCCAAGTGGCACCAAAGGCGGCCATGTACAGGAACAGACCGAAAACAGCGCCCTTGGATGTTTCCTCGTCGCCGGGGATCAAGCAGGCGAAAGTGATCACCATGGCGATGGTTTGGACGAAAGAGCCACCGAGGAACAGCTTGCGGCGTCCGATTCGCTCAATGAAGAACCAAGAGAAGGTGGCGAAAATGGCGTACACGATCATGTTGATACCGCCAATCAAGAGAGCCATGTCGTTGTCCTGGTGCAAGTTGGACTTCAGCAGGACAGGGAGGTAGTAAATGACGGCGTTGCAACCGCCGAGTTGTTGGAAGACCTGGGACGAAGAGCCAACGAGCATGCGGCGCAAGTGCTGACTAGGTCCACCAGTCAGGAGATCGCGGAAGCTAGTCTTTTGGCCGAGAGCGCCAGAGGCCCGGAGTGACTCGAGAGTGAGCTGTTTCTGAACCTGGGTCTCGCGGTCGTGGACTTCGCAGCCGGCCAGGGCGGCAAGGACGTATTCGCCTTCTTCGATGCGGTCCTTGGAAATGAGGTAGCGGGGCGAGTCGGGAAGGAACCACATGCCGACGACGATGATGAGACCAAACAAGATCTGGAAGGCGATGGGGAAACGCCAGACCAGGTCGTCAGGGCCGTAGTGCGCACCGAAGTCGATCCAGTAGGCAATCGCAGTGCCGATGGCAATGATGCCACCTTCAATACAGATGAGGAGACCACGGTTGCTGGTCTTGGAACACTCAGCCTGGTAGGTAGGAATGGTGGAGCTATGCACGTTAGGTCAGTCCATCAGAAGATCAGGGAATCTGAACTTACGTGTTCATGCCGTTGCCAATACCGGTAATGACACGACCGAAGAAGAACTGCAGCAGGGGGATGTGGCCCACGAAGGAGGTGACCTGGATGATCACACCGACGATCATGACAATAGCGCCAGTGAAGATCATCCACCGTCGTCCCATGCGATCCCCAAACACCAACGCATAGATAGCTCCCGCCAGACAGCCGAGTTCGTAAACGGCCGTCACGAGCGCTTGCATTGTTGAATCGCCTTTTGTGGCCGTGAATACATTGTTAAACGCCTCGTCACTGATGATACCGGACATAACACCCTCTTCAGCACCGTTAGCCTCTTCATTCATCAAGGATCAGCGACCAGAACTTACGGTCATATCCGAACAACAAGAACCCCATAGTGGCAACAGTCGAGATAGTCAGCGACAGTTTCCTGCCGGACAACCCCGCAAAATTCGGTGCCATGATGATGGTAAGGATGAGAGCCGCGCCAGATCGAATAGTAAGGACCGTCTTCCCAGATACAGCCGGTTTATCCTGGGGAAGGACACAAAGGAGTGAATAAACAGGTAAGGAGGAGGAGAAAACACCAGGAACTCCAGACGCGGAGAATCAAGGGGTGGGCGAGACGGGGTATTTCTACATCTCCATACGAGCGAGCCCTCGAGCCCTAACACGGGGGAGGCGAGCCTCCGCCAGGCTGCCCTCAACCTCGAGGCAAGGAACCAGCGCATTGCAGTTCCACGGCGCGACAACATGCCAATAAGATGCACACGGTGCAGAGTGGGTGTGGCGACGAGACCGATTCCGTCCAACGATGTTAGCCATCAGCGCCAGAGGGGTCCCAAGTGTATCCAGCTCCCCACGGCGGTGCGTGCAGCGATTGCCCATACCAAATTTCAGCGAGGGTGGAGACCGACGTCGATTCGCAAGCATCGAAGCTGTGGGCTAAGCATCGTGCTAGGATCCACCATGACATCAAGCTTCGCGACAAGATTTTTCGACCGGGATTCCTGAAGAGTAACTGGCCCGAGTTCTGCGCTCTGCATTCATCATCGCCGTGTCATTCCTTTCCTATCTTATAACCCCTTGCGCGGCATCGGCATCTGTCGCCCACGTTGACGGTTCAAAACACAGCGCTAGCAGCTGGATCTCACAACCAAGTAGTATCAACTGACTCGTTCTGTCTAGTACTACTCAGACTCCGTGCGTGCGCTCGTATAGCCTGCCCAGTCCACCTGGCCTTGGCAGCTTCGGCATCCATCGGCCCAGCTGCAGCGTTCGGGAGTTATTCGGGAAGCCGTTCCCGACGCCTCTTCCGCCGCCCGGTCACCCACGGACGTCATTGCTTGGAACTAGTGACAGAGCGTATCTCTCGCCTCTATTCAGCCATGGCATATGGCATATGATCGCCTGCCCTCCTGACAGCAAGCGCCGTCATTATCTCTGCCATGAAATATTCGTCTGTTGTCCTTTTCGGTCGGACTCCGGGTCACGATTCCTACTCGGAGACTGGATCACTACTACTGTTGAATAATATGACACGAGGAAACGGCCCACCCATGCATCTAATCTCCAATTTCTCCAGTTTACTCGGTCCCCGAGGGGGCCCGGGACTTGGTGGAGGCAGTGGGAGGGGATGAGATGAGATGAGATGTCTCAATCAATCTCTCACCGTATCTCCAGCCAGGACCAGAACACCCGGGGTAGCATACAGTCCTTATGGTGTCGAGAGTGACAGGTGCCAGTGATATCTCCGACCGTGAAAAAAAAAAAAAAAAAAAAAAAAAAAAAAAAAAAAACTGCAGGATATCTGGAAAAACAGTGCTCCTTATAGACAGAAGTCTGATACTCCAGAAGGATCCCGACGTCGAGGACTCTGCCGTGCCCGTCGTCTGTAACAGATCGGCAGTCGGACGGTACAAGCGTCAAGCAGGCTGCAGGTGTCTTACCCTTGAGTCTTGACTCTTGACTCTTGGCTCTAGTCTACGGAGTAGCTCTAGTCCAGCTCATTGATTTTATCAATGTCATTGGTCTCGAGGCTCTCCAAGCTCCATTAAGACGACGTCCTCTGCCTGTGCAAAAAGCGGTCGAGGCACCAGCCATATGCAACAATATATGAATGCCAACAACACCCCACGAGCATTTAGCACCACCACTACATTTCCACTCCCGGTGCACTCAAGGCACATTGGATACGAAACAAGGTAAAGGCAACTATTTTCACGGGGTGCAGTGTACTCCGTAAGTAGGTACATTCACAGACTAGACAAACTACGAGTAATTCTCCGTCACCCAGGACTACCATACGGTAAAGTCAAAGCCAGGCCAGATTACTAGTCTACTGCTGTGTGGACTACTCCTGCTGTGCTGTGCATACCATACGCGAGCCAAGGCGCTAACAATCTTAACAGAAACAAGCCCGCGCCGAGAATAATGAGATATCACTTCAAAAAGAGAGTCATTATTTGCAGTTCGCGCATTATTGGGCCACGACTGGCAAGCGTGGACTGTGGCGTGGGCCCAGAGCCGGAGTTGGAGGTGGACCCTGTGGAGTCTGCGGGACTTTCTGCGCGGTGATCAGACTACTACGGAGTAGATGCGATCGACGTCATTTACCTAGATTTTTCTGGGTTGTGGTTCCCTTTGAATAAAGAGGGCTTGGAGCACGAGCCCGAGCTGTGTGGTGGTGATGATGGCGGTGGTAGGTGGTGGTCGTGGTGGTGGTGGTGGCTCGTGGAAGGCTTGATTTGGGGTTGAAATCGCGTGGACTGGCCTTGGGGGTGGACTGGCTGGAGACTGGGGATTGCATTGGGGAAGTACGGAGTACGGAGGATATCCTGACGGACTGCATCCGGTATACTGACTCAAACAGTGACGTAGAGCAGACTGGCTGAGACGATGTTCTTCAGACATGCGTGATTCCTCCGTATAGCGTCCCGTCAGTAGTCTCTTTGACTGTGTCAGTCCGTACGCGTATATACATCTGCGGCGATGATGCAGAGAGATGCTACAAAACTACCACTTGTGGCTTATTGCCCAGCCGGCCTGAATCGCGGTACATGCATGCAGCATTCACCATCCATCCACCCCGATTCTCGCCGCCCCAGACTTTGGCCCATACAACCCCTAGCACGCCATATGTCAGCACCCGGGCGGCGTCAACCCAACCGGAGACATCGAATAGATCGCGCAGGAGTCCAAAAATAGAGTTGAAGCGCGACCCCGGCGCCCGGGGTCGACGAGAAGTGCAGATGCGTTCCCATGCCTTCTGGGCGTCATCCCAGTAGACAGGCTCCCGACCGTACGCAGCATGGACGTGTCCGAAAACATGCAGCGCGGGCCGAACGCGCCAGGACTCTGACAAGAGGAATGGACAGCCGGTGGAATAGACTGGAGATAAATCGAGATGGGATTGCGGAGGAGTGTGGGTAACTAGGATATCGGTGTTTGCGGGGATGGTTCCTGACCAAGCGTCATGATGGGCGGGGTATGCGAATGCGTGTTCTGGGCCAAACGGCACAATGGCGGGTATTTGGGGCGCACCATAAATCGTAAGTGAACGAGGCCGGGAGGCCAATAGAGCGGCAGAGGGGGAAGTATTTTGAGGTGTGGGAGGAAAGGTTATAGTGACAGAGGAGTGTTGAAGATAGTGGATGTCGGCCCAGTCGATGCAGTGCGGGGAATCGAAGTCGTCAACAGAGCGGAGGGAAGCTGTGGATGAAGAGATAGCGGCAAATGACTGATCGCGATCTTGGGGTAGTCTCGACCGGATATCGAAATAGCTGTCGTGATTGCCGCAAATGACAACCTTGTGTGGATGGGGAAGCTTGCGCAGCCAGTCAACAGCCGCTTGGATCTCCCGAGCGCTACCATCATTGCACAGATCCCCAGCGTGGATCAGGAGGTCGCCGTCGGGGACGTCGGCCCATTGCAAGCTGTGTGTATCGGAGATGCAAACCACTCGAATCGGACGGGCGTCTGGGGGAGGCAATCGGGGAGGACCGCGGAGCCGCAGCAGCAGGTGGTGGAGGGGGTAGAGGAAGGCGGCAAGTGGAGATGCGAGGAGGTAATCAGGAAAGGGGCGGCGATGGAACGGAGATGACATGGCGGCTAGACAGACGTAGACAATCCAGCTGGGCTGGGGTTGTGCTATCGGGAGGGCGCTGTTTGAGGTGTCAAGCAAAAGAAACTCGGGAACTGCCAGAGACGGGGTGGCAGATCAGAGCGGTGAGTGAAGGCGGGCTAGTGCGGCAGAGCGATAAGATAAGAAGCAGATAAGATAAGACACCATAGCCCTAGTTGCCCTCTCTGTAGGTGACGAGAGTGCAGAAGGGCTGAACGGCAGGGCCCTACCTGTTCTGGTTGTGAGTTCCCTGTCTTCTAGAGCCGCTTGCATCTTCTAGCCTGGACAAATGCTAGCTGGCTCCGACCATCTACCACCCCCAACACTGTGGCAGCAACGACTATTCGTGGAGCAATGCCCAACTCCTCCAGGCCTGGCCCCGTCCAAGTATCCTGATTGATGGAGACCATACACTGCAGCAAAGCATCAACCAGTCCGCGCTTGATGTCAGCAATGGCAAAAGTCGACCTAGTCGATCCCCTCCGCAGGTCAACTAAAAGGACATCCTATCATATCACATTCGTAATCAATGACGATCACCACACTTCTTCTCAGATAATCAACGGTGCCACTTTCGCGGAGGCAAATGAACTGCGTAGGCACAAGGCCTAGTGGCCGGCGAAAGCCTCTCCATAGTCCATTCCATGTCATGCGTAAAGAGGTGGGCATGGTAAACAAAGTCCGAGGTCCGTCAAACTAGACCCAGTTGTCCTGGTACATCTCCAGGTCCATATTCATCTCCGGGAAGTTGATCAGGCAGTGAGACGCGTGAGATATACGACATGCCCTTAGGCCGATTGCATAGACTTTGACGATGGGAGGTGTCATTCTGGGTTGAGGCGGTTCGAATTGGGAGACTTGGGCTGGAGAAGGTGTAAAGAGGGACGGGATGGGGAAGTGAAGACAAGGCGAGACGGAGGGAGGAGACTCAGCGTATTTTTGAAAAGGGGACGCAGGGTGGTGGCTCCTATTTATTTTGGCCATAGGGAGAACGATGTTTACTAGGGCTCCATCCTAGGTCCACTATTGCTGCTCCGGCTTGGAAGATGTAGGTTGGGTGAAAGAAACCACGAATCAACCTTTTTGCTTTTATTCTGTAAGGCATTTTTGATTCGACAGATGATGGTTTTTCTTCCTGCAACCCTGCAGAGACCCCGAAACATTTGCTGGTCACCACAAGGCCGTTAAACTGCGCTTCTAGTGACTTTCAGATTACAATGTGCTCGAGTACACACCATCCGTCAAGTAGCATGTCCTGTCTGCAGCCGTAGATGGGAAGAGGAGGGTGTGATCAATCAGATAGATGAGACTGTCCTCCGCGATCAGGACTCATGGATCATTGCTATGGCTGCCCATTCAGACAATAACCGTCCAGAATGGGCCCAGCGGTTCAGATATACATAATGCTTGAATTAGAAATATGTAAAAATGGCTAGAACAAATAACATGCATAAAGATAACGGCCTCACGACAACGGCCTCAAGACAACCCCATCTCAAAGAAAAATGACACCTTTTCAATCAAGAACTTAACATTCGCCATGCACTGCACTACTGCTGCTTCTTCGTATCCGGCTCCGCCTGGCTTTCGATGATCGAAGCCCCCACCCGGGCACTCTCGCGCCACCCCTTCTGTCGCATCCAGAACCGCTCCTCGGCAACCGTATCATGCTTCGACCAAGTGCGCGCGTCGTCCTCAAGCGACTTGCGCGTTATATCGGATAGCTCCATGGACTCGTCCTTGGCTGTGACGTCCTCCTCTTCGTCGCTGCTGCGCGCGCCAAGGGTCGACTCCAGGTACCGCTTGCGAAGCATATACTGCTCCGTCTTCTCGCGGCGGACGTTGTGCGGCTCGAACTTGGCAATCGTGGCTTGCACGACATAGCGGACGATGAGGTAAAGGTGCTCCGCGAAGAAGATAGTCAGAAGCAGCGCCCATCCCTTAATGGCTGAGGGCTCGCCGTTTGGCCCGTTGGTGCTTGTGTTAAACATGTAAACCAGTGCTGCACTGGTTATGCTTCCAACCCAAGAGAGGAATCCCAGGGTGTCCAACCAGGGTCCGATGGTATCCACGCGGATGGGAGTGGGTCTCTTGCACTCGACAATGATCTTGAAGAAGTCGGACCGGAGCTCAACCCAGTTGTTGATAAGGAAGGATACCGGGACTAGCGGCCAGACTGGAGAGAATAGGGCCAAGTAGCCGAATTGGATGCACATCTCGCGCAGGTCGTCGGTAACGTTGTAGTCATCAAGGTCGGCCTCTTTGCGGACCCGGGTGAGGAATTGGACTTCGTCTTCGTGGTCGTCATACGAGTGCTGCGGCTCCTTGTGCTTCTCACCCTCCAGGCCAGAATTGACACGCCCATACTTCTTCTTCTTGTACTCCTTGTATTCGCGAGCGAAACGTTGCTTCAAGAATGGCACAATGGTCTCCATCGCAAACCCAACCACCTGGGCCGTGACAGTGAAGTAGATGACTTGCTTCCGCAGCCTGTCGGGGTTAATGGTGAAGTTCTCGTGTGCGGTCGTTGCCTTTTCTTTCGACACGAAAGGCCGGACGGTCAAATGAAAGACATCGAGATGGGGGACGATCAAGCTCGCGAACGGTATATATACAAAGGCTGTTAAGAGGATCGGGAGGTACGATGTAATGAAGTTGATCACGAAGATCTTCTGCGTCAGCGCTGTGTCGTACGCGGTCTGGGTTTCGTAGTTTTCGTAGTCATTAAGCTTCGTCGCTACCTGAACAAGTACTCCACTCATAGTCGGGATGAGGGCGGAGAGCAGGATAGTCGGGATAAAAACCTAGAAAATCAGCACACCATAGAAAGCTTGCGATCGGTTTTCTCACCAAATAAGACTTGAGCGGCCCAGTATAGACTTCAGATATGAATATCTCAATCGCAAAGCATGTTGCAATGATGGCCCCTAGAGCAATCAAGGCCACCAAAGCAAAAGGGACTTGGAGGAGCTGCCGTTGCAACCGGGTCGTCGCCGGGAAGACCCCCCGTGTTTCGCCAGTAACCTGGTCATATACCTCTGTCTCCGGCTTGAATTCCCGCCTCTTGGAGCGTACAACAGAGACACCCTTAGTCTGCCATCGGCAGCTTAGGTCCTCTTCTTGCCGCTTCCAGTATTCAATGAATATGACGCCCCACAAACAGTTAACCACAGTGTAAATTATAGAGAAAGACCCAAGCAGCAGCCAGCAAGAGAATCCGAAGGTCGCAGGGAACAGCAGAAATTTGAAGTAAGATTGCAGGAACGCAAAGTAAAAGCCGACCTGCAACGTATTAGCTCAGCCCGACTGACGACGGGCTAGGACACGTACGCTCTCCCCGAATTTACCCCTTATCTGATCAAGATCTTCCTCCGACAAGAAAGTCTTCTTGCTCCAATCCGCCAAGTATTCCTTGTTCTTCTCCTCGTCGTGGAGCGGAAAGACCGCCAGCACATTCTTCCAGTGGCCATGCTTAGGGGTAATACCAGCACCACCCGCGTTATGCTCAAGCGTGATCATATGGTAAATGATGCGCAGTCGCTCGGATTCCGTCTGCGGTTCGGCGGAGGATTCGTCCTCGGGCTCGGAATTGCGGACGCCATGCAGCCAATCGCGAATGCTATGCGGCAATATTAGAACAATACTGAAGTGAGCAACTGTACTAGCACATACCGTGACTGGTAGAGAGCGCGCTGCAGGCTCTTTTTCCTCGACGCCCGGACAAACACAAGCAGATTCGAGTCCTCGCCCGGCCTCACCTCCGCCTGCAATCCCACCTCCCATAGTTTCCGGAGCAAGAGCTCTAGCTCTTCGGAAGCCCTCGTCGGATCTGATCGGGTCAGCATGTACTCATTGTCCTTGCGACAACATTGTTCTCACCCACACCGGCATAGCTATACTGAATGACGTAGTCTGCATAGAAGTTGTTATGGGAGCCGCTCTGGGCGGAGGAAGCCATCTGCTCAATGACTGTTCCACGGCCTAATTTAAGCTTAGATATGTAGCGCAGATCTGGAAAAAGAGAGAGTTCGAAAGACGTCGCTTTGAGGGCCGGTGATAAAAATAAAGGAGATGGGGGAAATGATGTCGTCATCAGCCGAGCTGGACACGAAGCTTCACGAGGCTTGGCGCCGCCGGGGACTCGATCGCTGCACGGGCACTGCCACCGCCGCAAGATCTACATCTGACACTGTATGATCTCACTGATCAGAAGTATGCAAGCATCATACAGATCAGGTGGCGCATATTGGTGGCATCATTGTCCTTCAAGGTCCATGGCTTGGATCTGTGGATTGCAGGTTCAAGTTTTAAGCATCGCTACAGAGGAGCTGGCAGATGTTTGTTGTTAGTGTCAAGAAGGGATCAACTCTTCTGTGAAGTGGAATAACACCTGATGATAAGATAGGTACTCCGTATAAAGCTTGGTTCAGGGCAGCAACGAAATATATGCACTTGCTGGGTCTAAGCCCTACGTACGGTGTGAGTACCAGAGAACTACAATTACGGAATATGGTGTAGAAGACAAACAACCGCAACAACAAGTTGGTTCCGTGGCTCAGCTGGTTAGCGCGTGGTGCTAATATCTGATTAAACATCGGGTAAACGCCAAGGTCGAGGGTTCGATCCCCTCCGGGACCATCTGTTTTTTAATTTTTCTTCTTCCAAATTTTTTGCTCATTTGGCAAAACCTGAGCTGAGCACGCGCCCAGTTACGGGGTGAGTCAAGGGGAGGAGAACAAGAGGTGGTATAGCTGAAGAGTGGGTTTAGCGTAGGCTTGAATGGCACGATAGGGGAGGTTAAGGAAACAGCAATAGGTATGGAGCTACCTACGTATACTCATCTTACAAATCATAGTATATGTATGTTACATTATCAAGCACGCTATCTCTAACAAATCACACATATTGGCTCAAAATACCGAGCGCCGATAACACCGAGTCCGTAACTTCGTGATGAGAGCCGCTAGCTTAGATGCTGGCACGTCGAGGTGCGAGGGTACGCTGAAGCTTCTTCTTCTCTTCCGTTTCCTCCGGAAGTGGCAGAGATCCCTGGCTCTTGAGTTTCTGCAGGAATTCCTTACCATAGACATAACCAACCTGGTAGATTTCATCAAAATTGCCGAACTCAAGAGTTCCATACCGATCGATTGGAGGGCGCATGTAGAGACAGCCGGGGATGTTCTTGGCCCGTTCGAGATTATCAATAGACGAGACGTACGCTAGGCGTGCCTGGATTTCTGATAGGGTTGGGGGATTTGGGACGGACGAGAACGGATTCCAACGGTTGACGACTGACCACATGCCTGATAGGGAGTCGCCATAGCCTTGAGGAGTATTGTCGTCGATGGAGCCAACATCGATTGCGAAAATCACGTCTGCGCCCAGTGTCTTCATGTGGGCTACGGTGAGGTTATCGATGTAGCCACCATCGAGAAGCATGCTTCCCTCATCACAAATGGGCGGAAGAAGACCTGCCAATGACATTGACGCGCGCACGTAACGCCAGACATAGCCAGAAGAGTGGTACTCAGCCCGGGATCGGCTGATGTTGGTCGTATTGCAATAGAACTCGAGCCAGAAATCTTCGATCTGGCTATCCCCGAAAGTCTTGAAGATACCGCGGTTGAACTCATGGCCGGTGGTGTACGACACGGACGGGTAGGTTAGATCCAAGGCAAATCGCCACATACTTCCCATGCGGCCGGCGAACTTCTTTGCTCGGCCGTACATTGGAACTACATCTGCATCTCTGGCATATAACCCGCCAATAAAGGCACCGATTGATGTCCCACCAACAATGTCAACTGGAATTCCAGCCTCCTCGAGAGCTTTGATGACACCCACGTGAGCGATACCTCTTGCACCACCACCTCCGAGAACAAGACCAACGGCCCTGCCACAGAGGCGACGTGCCAAGCGGTGAAAATCACCTTTAAATGGTGTCTGGGCCGAGTAAAGCGGCGTCTGTCGAATGCGACGAGAGGTATATTTCTGAATCTCGGCCTGCAGAATCTGAACTCTTTGTTTGAGTACCGTGCCAAGTCGTTTCGTTTGAGGATGCGACGGCTCAGCTGTTAGTCTAAAAGCCATTTGAATATGGTGGTGCCCTCCATTAATCCACACACGGTTTTTGAGCCACTTGCGTGTAACTCCAGGGGGGCAGTATCTGTCCGCATGTAACAAGACGAGCTCTTTCCGTGCTGTAGTCTTCATACCGAGTAGAAACCTCTCATACTCGCCCACGTTTGGAGAAGACTCCGCAAGACCTACCAAGAGGATACAGTCCGCCTGGCTAATGCACGTCTGCGTCCATGGTGAGTTCACGTTGGTGTCAGCAATGTATAGAACCATCCCATACTTTTCCTCCAAGTCGGCTAGATACTGCGAAAGCTTAAGCTTTCCCATCCTGCTAAAAGCGTGCCGCCCAAGGTGGTTCAGAATAGCCGCTTGGTTCAAGGATGTTACACCGTCGGTGACCCCGATTTGTTGGAGAGCATTCAGTAGCCGATTGCCGAATTCCACGACTGGAACGCCAGTGGTTATGGGAAGAATGCCAACTGTACGCAGGTTGAGAGTTGATGTTGCAGTCTTGACACTACCTGTATTGCCAGGCTCGCCTTGCTCTGTCATGGGATTTTCGACCAAATCTCGCATTCGCTGAGCAATGAGCTTGGAGACCTGGATGGTTATCCCAGTGTGCTCCTGCGCAAGGCTGTTGAAAAGGGACCGAGGGAACTTCGCCAGCTCGGTATCTCGTATGGCGTGCAATGTGGCGGGCCGTGTCGATTCCGTCATGACTTCCAACTCGCCCACACTTTCCCCTTGTCCATGTTCGCCGACCACGGTCATTTTGCCTGCCTTTCCTTCATGAATTGACCGAAGACGGCCGTTTAGAGTGATATAGATAGCATCACTCTCGTCACCCTGGTGATAGATGACTTGGCCGGCATTCACCTGCACCCACTCCAAGGCGAAATCGATATGGAGGAGGAGGCGCGGAAGAAGGCCTGTCAGTCTCTTTGCTAAAGTTAATAGAGCAATTGGATACCGCTCAGCCAGTCTCTCTAGGGACGCGCGCGGAAGGAATCCAACGTAGACATCCGTCTTAGCCACGACGTCGGTATAAGAGCGGTAGGAAGCCATGGCGCCAACATATCCCTGCATTCCTCCAGGTTTAATCATGTAAAGAGACTTCCGAGAAGGTCTTTTGCGCTTATATTCATTGGCGGGAGCTGCAGTAGTGGCGACGCGTGATGTAGCCGTCTGTGTTCGTTTCAACGTTGGGAATGGTTCCTCCTCAGGTTGCGCATGGCCCGGCCTGGACGTCCCGACAAGATCCTCCCCCGTGTCATTAACCTGGACTCCCACGTCTAGGAAGCCGTCGATCACATAATAGAGACCCGGATGTCGTTCACCCTGTTCCACTAGGACTGAGCCTCTAGGAAAGTAGACGATCTCTATGTCGTTGAGTAGCTCTTCCCTGAGATTAACAATCGGTGATGTACCACCAGCACTCGTGACGGACATTGACATCATGGACTCGGTTTCGGCATCCCCAGACCCTTCATAGGCATCCATAAAGCCAAACGCATTGTTGCTGAAAACAGCTTTTTGGCGACGTGAATCATACGAGACTAACTTTGGGGATTCGCCAGAATGACTCCCTTTTCGAAGCGCATCGTGTGAGCGGGGTGTCAAACCGATGCCATTCATGATACAGTCTAAAATCGACTCGCGGAATAGGGTATCTTCGTCGACTGAATCCTTTCTCTGGAGTGAGGAACGACGGAGAGGCGAGTGTTCTTTCTCGGTTAGTGGGGAATGGAGTCTCGGAGTGGTAGTAAACTGCTCATGCCTAGGCCCAAACCTAGAGAGCTGAATGGTGGAGAGTAAGTCCCCAGGACTAACTCCAGCTGTGTCGCGCTCACTGGGAGACCTTTCCGAGTTTACAAAGGAAATAGGTCGCCTTGCCGTCGGCAACTTGGCTTTGAGAGCAGCCTCTTTTCTCATGAAACTGCTCGACCGACGTCTTCTGCCGGCATAAGGGTTGTGTAGTGCAATCCCTCTGGTCACCTCTTCGGAACCCAGACGGTCCTTCTCTTTGAGGAATTTGTCTTTCAGCCGATCTAGAGCTGATCCGCGTATATCATTTGGCAAGTCATATGTTGTGAACCTGGTCATCTGCTTCTCAATTCCGAGGACCTCATCCGTGAGGCCAAGATAGGAGTGGGCCGTTGCGAATGTAACTCTCTGAAGTCGGGTAAGAATCACCTGGACGATATGGGCAGTTGCTCTAGGGTAGAGCCGCGTCAAGCGTCGGAAAGCACTAGCAGGAATAATCGCGATGGTTGTGTCTACCATTGCTCGTGCCACGATGTCGGGGTGAACTGATTTCCTGCGGTTCCCATGCACCCGTTCCGAAGTCGAGCGGCCGTTGTGGCGGTAAAACGAGGTACGGCTTTCTCCTAGATTCAGGGGCGGCACCGGAGGTAGGGATTCCCCGTCACCATTAATGGTTGAGCTATCATCCTCTTGATGCTTGGAAACCCCCATAGGCGATCCATTTAGCTTGCCACCTGGGCTATCCATAAACGGCACGGGCACCCGGGCGGGACTTGGCTGAACGCTGGACATACTTGACTGCGAGTCCTCACTCGCCCTCAATCGGATGTCCTCGGTGAATAAGGATAGTATTGAGAACAAGGATGACATGGAGGCGCCATTCTTCACTTCCGTGAGCAGCTGATACCCTTGTCTCCCATCTCGAGCTTGATCCTCCTCGTCGGAAGACACCTCAAAGACCTCGCTATTCAGGTTGTGCTTTCCACCCCGCATGGATTTGACGAATATCTGTACTAACCCATCCACGACTAGGCAAAACCCTTTCTCTTCCTCAAGTTGGAGGGTCTCGCCCGCAATCAACTTCTTAGTTTGCATTGTGCGTGTCAACTCGTGGAAAACGGGTCTCTCGAGATATCCGAAGACTTTGATCGCGCTTAGAAATTCATCTAAGTAATTGGCCAATCCCGGCTTCGAGTCGCCCTCCTGTACATCGGGGAACAAATCGATTTGCGGTTCCTTGCGCTGAGGCTCCGGGGGAAGGCGACTGTACATATTCAGGAACCGATAGCGGATGAACCAACTGATGGTCGAGACTAGGCCCAGCACGATCAATAGTCTAAAGGTGTTTCAATCGCATGTCAGCAACTACTTCCGCGGGACAATTGTTGAACGCGTAGGGGCAGTAGCTCTTACAATGTAGTGAAATTCATCGTAAACGTCAAGCTCATAGAAAAGAGTGTGAACAGCCATGTTGGCAACGTGATGGTCGAGAAGGTGATTATCCAGTATAGAATACTTGGAATGGTCTGGAAAACCAGGGAAAACACCCAACCGATCCACCCCACCATGGTTGTAGGGATCGAAAGGGACAACACCGGCGGCGGGGGAAGATGGGTAGAAAGGCGTGGGAAGCCGGAGATGCTTGCGCTTATGGCGGGAATCGAGGTCGACAGGGAGGGGGTCGTGGCGACTGAGGTGGTGGTGTCCGGGAGAGAGGACAGTGACGCATGTAGAGAGCCTAGGTCCGGGAGGTTGGGCGAGGGAACACATGCTCCACTGTCGGCCATTCTCACGTCGAAGCTTGGAAGAGACGACGCTAAACCTGGCAGCTACTAGGCAAAGGCCACAGGGCTGCTCCCCCGGCAGCGCTATAATGATCCGGGGTCCAGACAAATCGCGACACCATCGTCAAGGCGAGCCGCAACGTGCCCGCATATGGCCCGTTGGCTGGCTGTCGATCTGCGTTCCTGCGGAGTTGGTTAATCGCGAGGGAGGATGAGCTCGTGATGATCGAGACAGGGCGCGTTGTTATCGCAAAGCCTCCAAAATCTAGAGAGCCACGCGACCCAGGTCTCTTGCTTCTCTTAGTCCAGTCTGAGAGGACTGCAGTGTGGTTGCGGAGCGAAAGACCTGGGCCGTTGATCGGGAACTCCTTCGGCTGGTGCAGCTCACATGATTTCTTTATCATAACGTCTAACAAACGGCCTGCCGAGCAAATCAGTATGCCCAAGTAATAGAATGACAACGATATTTTCTTCATGCATGGCTTTAAGCTAAGCAGGTTGATAATTACTTGGAGTTACACACTATTTAGCTATCGCAACAGAATGTATGTTGCACCTTTGCGGACTATCTAGGTAGTAGTACCTAGGCAAGAGCACCATACGGTAAGATCCGCAGCCACATACATTCACATGAGCAGCTTCGAGGATTTATCCCGGAGCATTGCTACAACCAGAACTAGCGCAAAGAAAATGATACAACAACCGTCAGAAGTGGACTATGGAGTAATTGACCCCACATCAACATTGAAAGACACTGGGCAGTGCCGTTGTGTCTTGGCCAGACTTTCTGCCACTCCGGCCTTTCTCCGCCTGGCCACGTTCCTTGTAAGTTGTAGACTGTCGCTCGGTTTGAGCTCATGCTCTTCCTTCTGCCAGTCTTTTACTTGCTTCTCGCTCTAGTTGTATTATTTCGTCTCTTTCTCTTCTGCCTCTCCCTATTAGTATCTGCTGTGGCCTTGGCCCAAAGGCCCGCCACAGTCATGTTTCAGGTACGTTCGTCAACTCGGCCGGATTTGTCTACTGCTTCTCCGCTCCGAGAGGCTTTGCGGCTCATAGGACTAACAGGCGATGGATTGGATAGCGTCTACGTGAAGCAATAGACTCGCGCATAGCGGAGGAACAGGCTAGACAACGATCATCGCAAGAATCTCTCGCCCGCTCCAACTCCGCTCGACGCCCGCCGGGTCGCAACACCTCCCCAAGCAGACGACCTTCCCGCCCCCGGAGGAATACAGGAACCCCTGTGCGCGGACCCGACCCTACCGAGTTTGAGCAAGAATTCGCTATTGGGGATGATGATGCGTCGAGCAGGTCCGCCACTCCCCTGCCGGAGTCGACGGACACCCCTGAGAACACTCAAGGAGAGAATGCCGAGAAGGCCGAGGGTGCAGCGGATGCAGCAACCGAGAAGGGGAGCATGCCCGGGACAGAGGCAAGCCAGCAGTCGACGGAGTTATCGCCTGAGGTGAAAGCGAAACTGCGCCGGCTGAATAAAATGGAGTCGCGTTACCAGGGTACGTCATGTGATAGAGATGGGTGCTCACCAGACTGCTAATGTCCTCCGCACACAGAGCTCTTGAAGGCATATCGGGCGGCCCATTCTCGTGTCTTGTCGATCGAGCCCTTTGAGGCAGCCCTGCGGGAGAACACGCCGTTGACTTCGATCGCCGATCCCAAAGCGCTAACTGAATACTTCAATCAGATTTCGCTCAAGGGAGACTTGGTGGCGGAGGAGCTCAAACGGGTCACAACTGAAAGAGACGAATTCAAGGGTAAGTTGGAGTCTGCGGAGAGATCCGAGAAGGCTGCGCGGGATGAATTGAACACCTTGAAACAAGCCGCTAGTCGCGAAGAGCAACCGAAAGATGATAAAGATCGCACCACATCGCCGAAGCAGTCTTCCAAAGAAACCAAGGAGGAGTCCGAGGAATTCTTTTCCTTTGACAATGAAATCCCCCGGTTGGAGTCTGAATTGAAGGAGAGGCAAGAAGAGATCGAGAGTCTCAAAGCTCAGACGGAAAACTTGAGGCGCGACTTGTCGGTGGCACGCGAGTCCACCGAGGGTATGGTTCATAACCTCGAGTCTGCTACGCGTGAGCTTACAGAGCTGCGTGATTTCAAGGATAAGCAAGAATCGGATATGGAACAACTGAGGACCTCCAAGCAAAATGAGATGGATGAACTCAAGTCCAAGCTTGAAGCTTCAGAAGCCGTTGTGACCGAGACCAATGCGGAACTCGAGAAGCTAAAGGAGGATTTGCAGAGCAAGACCGCCGAGATAAAAGAGCTACAGGCGCGGGCCAGCAAGTCTGAAGACGCTGATCAGCAGGCAGGGCTGACATTGAAGCTGGACGAGGTCAAGCAGGAAAAGGAGGCCAATGAGAAGCGGCTTGGGGTGCTACAAGGGCTAGTGGACAGTCTTCGAACTCAGCTCAAAGAATCACAGGAAACGTTGTCAGGTCTAAAGGCAAACATGGACCAGAAAACACAAGATTTTGAGAAGTTGAAGAAGGTCATTGACTTCCTTGACGGAAACCTGCAGGACAACGTTAAATGGCAGGAATCCAAGGACAAAGTCACGAACGGCCGGGAAGCCAACTTCGAGGAATTTCGACAGACACTGGCCCCATCGCAGGTCTCGGAACCAGCAAAAGAAAAGCCCGAAACCACATCACAGCCTCCTGCTGCTGCTGCTGCCACAGGAGGAGCGGGCGCGGGTAAGAAGAAAAAGAACAAGAAGAAGAAGGGCGGCAAAGGTGGCGAGGACAACGGCAAGCCGGCAGAAACCGCTGCTCCAGAACCCGCTGAACAAACCGTTCCAGCAGCGGATTCGAGCTCGACCCTGATTGAGCTTGAGAGGAAGGTTGTGGATCTAGAGCAACAGCTGAAAAGCAAGGAAGAGGCAATCGATCGTCTTGATGCCAGATTGAAGGGCGAAGAAGATTTGAAGGAGGAGATTGAGTCTTTACGTGACGATCTTCTTAATATTGGCCAGGACCATGTCGAGGCCAAGGACAAGATTAAGGAGCTTGTGGCAGAGAAGACAGCTTTGGAAGGAACAATCTCCAAGCTGGAAGCAGAGATTACAGATCTTCGAGCAAATGACGCGAAGTCGGCGGATTCCGCGAAAGCTCATAGCGACCTTACGGATGAATACGAAAGTCTTAAGGTGAAGTTTACGACAATTGAAACAGAACTCTCTGCTGCACAGCAGCTGGCGACTACAAGATTCAAGGACGTTACTGAACTGCGCGAGTCCATTCAGAAAATCCAACCAGAGCTTAAGAAGTTGAGAGGCGAGAGTGCAGAGCTCAAGTTGACAAAGGATGAGCTAAAGGCCAAGACAGCAGAGCTGAGAACATTGGAAGGCAAGCATGACGATTTGCAAGCAGAGTTGAAGAGCCTTAAGACTTCAGTTTCGGATCGCGAGACAGAAATAAAGACTCTTAACCAAAAGATTAAGCAAGAGTTGGATAGTCGACTGAAAGCGGAAGAAAATCTGACAGTTGCTCAATCTGACCTGCGTTATTCGGAGAGTAGAAAGCAGGAGGCCATTGAGGGCAAGCAAAAGGTCATGTCGGAACTCACAGCCGCACAGGAGGAGTTGAAGGCAGCGCGGTCACGATTACGTGAATACGAGCAGCAGACAACGCAGCTAAACAAGGATCTGGATGGGCTGCGGGAGGAAATCCAGCTGAAAACAGCTCAACATTCCAGTGCGCAGAGTCTGATGAACAGCATGCGCGATCAGGCATCCGAAATCGGCATGCAAATGAAGGAAGCTCGGGAGCGATGCGAGAGCCTAGAAGAGGAACTAGCAGATGCCCACCGCCTCCTCAGCGAACGGACACGTGAAGGTGAAACCATGCGACGCCTCCTCAACGATATCGAGGGCCGGGCTGAGGCCAAGACCCGCGATTTTAAGGAGAGGATGGAGGCGGCCATTGAAGAGCGTGACCGTGCTGAGGATGAAGCAAGTGCTCAGGGTCGACGTCGGGCCCGCGAACTCGAGGACCTCAAAACCAAGCTTCGTGAGATGGAGAAGGCGTTACGAAGCGCAGAAGAGGACAAGGAGGAGCTGGAGCACTCGCAGAAGGACTGGAAGCGGAGACGTGACCACCTTGAAGCACAGGCAGAGACGGCCACTCAGGAACTCCACGATGTTCAGCAGGCCATGGCACGATTGCGCGAAGCCTTGGATGAAAGCGAGAAACAGGTCCGAGATCTGGAGAAGGAGAAGGCTGAGCTGCGTCGGTCAGTGGAGCAGACGAACACGCGGTTGGAGAAGATGCGCAAGTCAAGTATGCTTGCCGATGATAGCCGTTTTGGAACAACCCCTCAGTCTTCACGTTCATCCATTGATTCTGGATCCCGGAAAGGCGTAACGTCTCCTGTTCCAAAGACGCGCAGCCCGTCCACGCAAAGAAGCGATACGCCCACTGGCAGTATCGACTACATCTATCTCAAGAACGTGCTCCTCCAGTTCTTGGAACAAAGGGACAAGAATTATCAGAAGCAACTAATCCCCGTCTTGGGGATGCTTCTGCATTTTGACCGGTGAGTTGCTCTTTTACCCTGCCTGTACCTCATCACTGACTGGAAATAGAACGGACGAGCAAAAGTGGATGGCGGCCATCACCTCGAAGTAGGCGAGACATAGCCTGCTTGCAGTATAGACACACTAGGGTACATAATTCGTTCTTGTCTTGTCCTATTAATTTGGAGTATTTCAGCATACTTTCAGGATAGAAATGAGATACCAGGCTTCCGATTTCCATTGCTTCCTGTCTTGCAGTACGGACTACGGAGTGGAGCAACGAGCCGATGTCATAGGGCGGAGACCGTTGGACGGATCTCCAGATAAATTCTCTCCGCATTGCTGATTCAACGCTTTACAAGTTACATCCCTTGCCTCTTTCAATCCTCTCCAGCGCATCCTCACAATCAACACCAAGCCCACAATGTCAGACAAGCCAACAATCAGACTCGCCACAGCGGAGGGTAAGACTCGCGCGCGCATTCGCCCCCCACCTATCTATCCATCGCTAACCAAACCCCCTGCCCCGCAGACGTCCCTCTAATCCTGCAATTCATCCGCGAACTCGCCGAGTACGAAAAAGCCCTGCACGAGGTCGAAGCAACCGAGAAGTCGCTCCTCGCAACGCTCTCCTTTCCCGACGACGAGCCAAAGCGGGGCTCCGTGTACACAGCCCTGATCACGCCGCCCGCAACGGCGCAGAACCCCTCGCCCTCCCCCGTCGGCATGGCGCTCTTCTTCTACAACTACTCCACCTGGCGCGCGGCGCCGGGCATCTACCTCGAGGATCTATATGTGCAGCCCGCGGCCCGCGGGAACGGGTACGGGTTCAAGTTGCTGCGGTGGCTCGCGGCGAAGGTGATTGAGGTCAGGGGGCGGCGGCTGGAGTGGAGTGTGCTTACGTGGAATGAGCCGAGCATTCAGTTTTACAAGCAGGTTGGTGCGAAGGCGATGGATGAGTGGTTGAAGATGATGGTTGAGGGGGAGGCGCTGGATCGCTTAGCGGACGGTGCGTGAGCTTGGCGATGGGCGTTTGCATATTTTCCAAATTTCTTTAGCATACTATACCGGAACATCGCGGCTTTGAGGCCGAGGGGGTCCACTGTCTTTATCTTGATGCGGGGGGTCTGGGGTTCTGGCTGGCGTCATTGCAGCATAAGTCCGAGACCGCGCTGGAAATCGATTTCCGGCCGCGCCCAGGGTCGACGTACAAGAACACTAGGGCGCCCTGGCTTGGATAGATATCTAAAACAGACAAAACAGACAACACTGGAGCCTCTAAAGAGCTCGAAGATCAATACAATATTGACTCGGGCTGCACCCAGCGCATTCCCCTTCCCGGAAAATAAGGCCATTGGGGCTTTCTATAGAAGAACAAGCCTTGGAGAATCCATGCCTCTCCCAAACAACATCGCAGTCGGCACCTCCTGCCTGGGCCAGAACCCCGCCCACAGGCTAGACGACAAGATCCGTGCCGCGGCGCACCAAGGCTTCCAGGGCCTGGAAATCGTTTACACCGACCTCTCCCGCTACAGCGAGAGACACAACATCCCCATCCTCACGGGCGCGAAGCAAATCCGGCAGCTCGCCGACGACCTCGGCGTCGTCCTGATCTCGCTCGCGCCCTTCGAGAACTACGAGGGCACAAAGACCCCGCTTGCCGAGCGGCTCGCCTTCGCCGCGCACTGGGTCGATCTCGCGCGCATCCTGGGCGCTTCGTACCTCCAGATCCCCTCGCAGTACGGAACAGACAGTGTTGGCGACGAGGGGGTGATTGTCTCGGAGATGCAGCAGCTCGCGGACCTGGCTGCTTCGTCCTCACCTGTTATCTCCATTGCTTATGAGCCGCTGTCTTGGGGGGTGTGGTACTCGACGTGGGAAGATGCGCTGCGGCTTGCGACGCTCGTGGACAGATCGAATTTCGGCCTGTGCCTGGATACCTTCCACGAGGTGACGAAGTTGTGGGCGAGTCCGTTCACCGAGTCGGGGGTATACCCCGATGGGCCGGAGAAGCTGGGTGCTTCATTGCGTCGCTTTGTGGAAACGATCCCGCTCGACAAGCTGTTTTACGTGCAGCTGTCTGATGCAGAGCGCTTTGATCCGCCATTCTCCGAGAACCATCCCTGGTATATTGAGGGCGAGGCACCTGAGTTCACGTGGTCGAAGCACGCAAGGCCGTTTCCCTTGGAGGCGGAGTTCGGTGGGTATACGCCTGTTGTGGATGTGGTGAGGGCCTGGGTTGTTGAGAGTGGGTTCGGGGGGTGGGTGTCGATGGAGATCTTTGACCGGCGGATGCGCGATGAGAAGTATAAGACTGAGATCGCGGCAGAGAGGGCATGGAGGTCATGGGAGAAGGTCCAGGCTGAGGTTGGGAGGCGGAGGGCGAAGGTATGAAGATTTGGGAAGCTCTAAATCCATTTTTCTTCACTCCATTGGCAATACAAGCATATCTCGCTCGGGCCAGTGGCAGTCAGTACGAGATGGCACCCACCGCGGGATGCCTTCCCCAGCCGCTCTATAGCCATAATCCATTGTAGGATCCGAGCCAGTCTTCCGGTAGACCTAACCACACGCCCAGAGGACAATACACGAGGTCAATAAACCTTGCAGAGCTGGAACTATAAGGGAACTACTAGAAGCAACCTGCAGCTGGCGCTCTGGATGTCTAACCTGACACGGCAGTCAGAGTGGCTCGGTGCCTGCCTTGAAGATGCTCTGGAAACATGAATCTGCATGCAGTCTCAGAGAGTTGTTATTTTTTACCTTTCGTCAATTGGCGAAAAAAAAGAACGAAAAAAAAGATGGTCCCGGAGGGGATCGAACCCTCGACCTTGGCGTTTACCCGATGTTAGTCAGATATTAGCACCACGCGCTAACCAGCTGAGCCACGGAACCAACTTGTTGATTTGCAGCCCTTCGGTAGACTTTATAGGCTATAACAAACTCTTTAGGTAAAACACGGGACTCAAACGCTCATCGTAGATCCAGTATTGCTGACCCGCGCTTTATACAGTGTACCACATCCCATTACCAAGTAGCAATTTATTTCACAATATACTTAAAGCTCTTCAATATGGCAGCTGGGCCGTGCTGTGTGGCCCGCAATAGCGTATGTTATGCCATATATCCATGTTTGTCTGGTGGGAGTAGTGGATATATATCGAGGGGCGAGATGAGCTGAGTGCGACAAACGGCACTTGTATATGTCCCTCCCATTCCGTACGACGGGCGACCCAATAAACGAAGTGTCACGACGTCCACAGTCAGTGTACAGAACTTGTCCCGTTGCCAATTGATTCATGTAGACAGATGGTCGATTCAGCGTCCCAACAGGTCATGAATCTGTAATCAGGTGGCCAGGCAAGGTGAGAAAGAAGAACTCAGAGAAATGGACCAAGCAATCTGAGTTTTTTTTAAGGTAAATGAACTGGCCTATTGCCGATCTTGTTTATATGCTTCCGTGGTCCATACTAGAAAACCTGTCAATAATAAGGCATACGCATTGGAATTCCCATGAGCAGGGGTTACAGCCCCAGTTAAATAACAGACAACGCAGCAGATCACCCCAGACCAAAAGACCAAACTCGTCTTCAAACCGAACAAGCGATCACTCCTTCACAGGAACACTCGACTCAGGCACAACTTGTCTGCCCTTCCCCTTCCCACTACCACCAGCCTCAGCGACAACCTCGACGCCAGAAACCACCCATTCCATCCCCGGATACGAATCGCTCATGACCCTGACATTGACACGGTCTGGAACCGGGAGACCACGGGGGAACTTGACGGTTGAATTCGTCGACACGGGACCGTGCCCGTGTCCTCGGCCCTTTCCGCTATGGTTGCCTCTGCTCGATCCTTTCCCGCTATTGCTGTGATTGTTATTACCAGTAGGCCACGAAACACGCTTAAGCGCCACCAGGTCTCCGTCCTGACCATCAGATTTCGCGGCACAAACGAGCAAGAAGAAACCCTCTGTTTGCGGCTTAGGGAATCGCGGCGCGTAGATGCGAAACTCTGAGTTATTGGGGCGGTTATTGCGCGTTAGGGAGACTGTTATGCCGCGCTCGGAGGATCGTGGGACGGACACTGCGAGTCGCGGGAGATGGCTCACTGCCTTGGTAAACTGAGATTGCGAGGGACCTGGGAGGTGAAGTTTACCCGGAAGCGATGTGATTGCTCCGTGGGGTAGGGAAGTCAGGGCGGTTAGGGTTGGCGGGAGAGGGCTCTTGTTGTCAGTGTCACTAGATGGGTTGACGCCTGGGAGGATGGAGAGTGGGTGGTCGGTTGGCCACCGGGCGGATTTAATGCTCTGCAGAAGAGTAATAAACGTGCGGCATGCAGCTGTGTATCCCAGCTCCGCCATTGCATCGATCGAGGCCTGGATGATACGGATGCTCTGGTCGAGGACGGATGTTTGATCTCCAACATAATCAGAGATGGGAAGATCGATGCGAGACATGTAGGCCTGAAGGAGGAGGAAGGCCTTGACGTGGGGGTCCCACATGGGTAGGTCGCCCATTGGGTCGACGGAGAGGGGCAGGTTCCGTGAGAGCTCGGCGTTGATGAGGTCTTCGTTGTGGCGGACGGGAAGTTCGTCGAACTCGGTGGCGGAGCACATCCAGCTGAGGACGTCGTGGAAAGTCGGTGACGGCTTCGCGTGCGAGAGAAGGTACCGGATCGTCTTGTGCGCGAGGTAGTAGTAGCTCATAATCTTGCCAAAAGGGGTTGCGTCGACCTCGCCGGTTGCCGAGTCGAAGATTATGCAGTTGGATTCCGACAGCTCGCCGAGGGACTTGTCGACCAAGTCGATCATGAAGTCTTGCGCCAATGTCTGAGCTTCGAGAGAGTTGTGCTGATCTGCTGAAATCTCCAGGCCGTAGTAGGACGGATTCTTGTGCAGACGCCGGAAGAAGAACGTCCAGGTGAGATAGTCTAGAGCATCTTGTTTGGTGGTAATAGTTCCCGCGGATACTTCGGCGCCCAAGTGGTTATCAAGGACTTTGTGAAGCGTAGACTCAACAGGGAAACCGGTATGCAAAAAGTGCTTGTAGAACGCCTTCTTCGAGTCCTGTGTGAAGATGCGCGCAATGCCGGACGAATCGAACTGAGGACGGCCAGCACGACCCAGCATCTGTAGAACATCCGTCAGATCCATGTCTTTGTAACCCTCTGTTTTGGCGTCGAAGAACTGCGTTCCTTTGACGACAACAAGATGGGCAGGAAGATTGACACCCCACGCAAGAGTGCTGGTGGCTACAAGGATCTGGATCTTGTTGTTGGCAAAGAGCTCCTCCGCCAGTTGCCTATCGGATTCTACCAAACCAGCATGATGCAGGCCGATGCCAAAGGACAGCGCCTCCCTCAGAGCATCATCCTTTACCCGTTCAAGGTTCAACTGCAGGTCATCTTCTGACATGCGAACAAAACGACGAGGGTTGTCCTCCATTCCGCAAAAGTTGATCAGATCTTTGGCAGTCAGTCGCGTCTGCCTACGAGAGGCGACAAAGACAATCACAGGCTTCTCGGGCGAGTGGTTCTTGATGGCCAAGAAAGTAGGTCGGTTCATCGACTGCATGAGAGGGCAGAAGCCTCGCTGCTCGGGGAACCCGTCGATAAATATCTCGAGAGGAACAGGTCGAACGGAGTGCCGGAAATTGTACAGCCCTTCCTTGACCCCCAGCCAGTTTGCAAGATCCGAGGCATTTGCACAGGCCGTCGACATGCCCATTAAACGGACCGACCCCTTTGACTGTGAGGCAATATAGTTCATTCGAGACACGATGATCTCGAGAATAGGCCCACGGTCACCGCCAAGCAGATGAATCTCGTCAATGATGACCAAGCTCACCTTGCGGACATAATCTCTGGTCTGCCAGCTACGGGAGATACCGTCCCACTTTTCCGGCGTGGTGATGATGATGTCTGCATCTCGGATTGTGCGCGTGTCAGGCGTGTTGTCTCCAGTCAGCTCAACCAGTTTCAGGCCCATGGGTGCTGTGACTCGTCTCCCCCAGTCCATTACACGCTCGCGAACAAGCGCTTTCATGGGCGCAATGTACACAACTTTGGAGCCCGGACGCTCCCTAAAAGCCCACCACATAGCCAGCTCTGCAGCCACTGTCTTTCCACTACCGGTCGGCGATCCAAGAAGCACATTCGCCGCGGTGTGATATAGAACGTGGAAAAGCTGAGTTTGCATCGGGTTGAAGTACTGGAAACGCTGCCCATACAGCTCTTCAAGGATGGGATTATTCAAAGCAGATATGGGAAGTGGCTGCAAATCGAGAAGATCTGTATACACGCTCTCCGTATCCGGACGGATCAAGTGCTGGAATGATATCGGCGTAACAGTCTCTGCTCCCAACCAACGATCTGATATCGCTCGAACATAGATTTGGCTCGGCAACGGATCGGAAAGAGGAATGGTAAAGTTTAGTTCGTGGTCATCGTAGAGTTTCTTTCGACTGAGAATGAAGTACTCATGATGGTAGATTTCAGAAGTTTCTGAGTTCTCGACCCAGACCCAGTAAGACTCAGACGCGCCGTGGTGTCGATCGTTCCATGTGAACTCGGGATAAAGCATCAGGCGCACGCGTAGAACATCACGGTTCAGCGGTGCAATCTCAGCCTCGACACTTAGCGTTGGGAAGTTATCCAGCAACTTCGCCAATGTTTTGCCCATTTTGTTGTTATGGACAAGTTGGCCAAGTTCCGCGGTCTCCATATCCCTCATCGACTCAACGGATGATGACGGCAGCCTCTCTTCCAGGTTCCTCAAAATCGGCTGCGGCAGGTCGAACTGGCGGAATGGGTGGTCGAATGGCCACATCTGCTTCTCGATAGACTTACACATAGAGAGAAGTACCTGGCATTGATAACCCCAGCGTCGGTTCAATGCAATCATGAACAGAGCGCGACAGATACGAGCTGCATTTTGCGCTACATACCCGGTGTCCGAGACCAAGGCGAAGTCTTCAATTTTGGCCCGAGAAATGTAAGACTGAAGCAGGATATTGGTCTTTGCTTGTGCAGAGTCATTCCCACCTTCCACTTCAGTCTGGGTTGCCTCGTCGCGAAGTCTAGTGAGTTCCTTCGACTCACTTTCGCGGGATTGGATATTATCAAATTCACCACTCATACTAATCATTCGCAAGACGTCTGCCTCGCCAGACCGGGGCCGCATCAGCTCGTTGAATATCTCAATACTTGTCTGGAGTACGTAGTATTGACTTGCAATACGTCCAACATCCTTAGCTCGGAGCTCCTCAGTCGTCTCGTTGTAGATAATCATCTGGCTCTTTTGCAAAACAAGCGCAGCCTGAATGATGAGCTGGCGACGCCTTAGGACCAGCCCAGGGTCGTCTATCATTTCAGTGTAATCGATGCCATAGTTCCGGGGCTCACGCTTCATGCGCACGAATAGATAGGAATAACCCAGCCACTGCACTGCTTCTGAAATCGACGTCACTGTTCCTAGGGAAATCTCAGCGTTCAGATTATCCACCAATCGGCTCGAGAAGCGAGATTCGATCGGTTGCTGCGAAGTTACTGCAGACAGGTAGTGGTTCAATTTATCGTGAGTCGTGCAAATGAAACCGATACCTGTATCCTGGAATTGGGGACGACCAGCACGGCCAAAGATTTGCAAGACATCCAGGATGCCAAGGTCGACGAATTTACCCTCTTGTGGATTGTACAGCTGAGTTCCTTTGATGACGACCGCTGCGGCCGGAAGGTTAACACCCCAAGCAAGCGTGGCTGTACAGCAGAGAACCTTGATCAGCCCCTCAGAAAACATACGCTCCATGAGGTTTCGGTCACTCCGGCTCATTCCGGCATGATGCGTGCCAAACCCGCTTGAGAACAGGTCACGGAGTTCGCGAGCACGAGCATGTTTCATATCTCGAAGCGCGTTGGAATAATTTTCATGTTCATGGCAACTAAAGAGCGCCTCGCAGCCATCCTGGACTGCCATCTGCTTGAGCATGCGCGCTGTCAGCACCGTGTCTTTGCGCGAGTGAACAAACACCATGACCTGGTGTCCTCGCTCAAGCATGGCCCGAACTTTCTCAAATGCTACAGTATCAATATTATCGCGAGATTGCTTGGAGCCCGGCTTCCCCTTGACACCAATAAAATGCTGCTCAAGAGGCACTGGTCGGAATGAAGAATCGAAGAAAAACAATCCAGCCATTTTATTGACCTTCAGGAAATCGGCGACGTCAATATAGTTTGGCAGGGTCGCCGATAGACCGACGATACGAATGAGCGACTGGGTACTTTCCACCTGTCGCTGGGTACGAGCCACCAATGACTCGATGACCGCACCACGCTCATCATGAAGCATATGGACTTCGTCAATGATCAACAAGCGGACCTTTTGCACGAGCTCCGTGTCTCCGGTACTCTTTCGCGTCACCACATCCCATTTTTCAGGGGTGGTGACTATGATCTGGGTTTCCACAATCTCCCGCTTCGTCAACTGCATGTCACCAGTCAGCTCACGAACTTTGACTCCGAGCCACGCAAGGCGTTTCCCGAGTTTCTCGGTGACTTCGGCCGCGAGGGCCTTCATGGGAGCCACGTAGACGATCTTGAAATCGTCCACTAGAACAGAAAACTCGGTTGCATCGGGCTGCTCAGCAGGATTTGGGATTGTGTTCTTCCCAATAGCATTGAGGATTGTCAGCATAGCAGCGTCGGTTTTACCCGCACCAGTCGGTGCGCAAATCAGCATGTTCTCACTAGTCTTGTAGGCGACATCGTACAGTAAACTCTGCATTCGATTCAATGTCTTGTAGCCCTTGAAGGTACCCCGGCAAAGGCCATCCATAGACGAGATCGGAACTAGTTTCTGTTGCTGTGCAATGGTCCCGACCCTCGCAGCTGGGACTTCGACCTCCGTATATTTTGGCTCGTCAATCTGCCTACTACCCACTGGCAATCCGTAGCTTTTTCCATTCAAGGCGAGCGTATTCCTCGAGTCGTGCGTTTTGAAGACATGCGGGTACTTAGGTCCCTGTCGGGTCTGCTCGGGCATCAATACTGCGTTTTTATGTTCAAGGTCTTGCCGCCGGAGTGCCTGCTCTCTCTCAGCCCTTGTCTGCAATCGTCCAGACGCCAACCCATCCGTCTGGGCCTGGGTTTTCCTCGGACCAGCATCTAGGCTCCCTAGTATTTCCTTCCGGTGTGCGATCAACTCGATAACGAAATCCAGGTCGTCAAATCCCACGATTTCGGCTAGGGACATCTGTAGCTCGTCATCGCCACTGTCGGTAGCTAGTGCGGCTATGATTTGCTGCGCTATTTCGCTCGAGTCCATCCCAGGTTGCTGTGAAGCGAGAACCTGGGATCTCTCCTTCAGCCACGTCTGATCGTATTGCTCGGAGGCGGGAGGGGAGGGGAGATCATCGATTTCATAGAGTCCTTCGCTCGCCGACTCATCGTCAGAGCTGATCAGGTCCCAGACATCGTCGACGGTTCCAGCGGAAGAGGAGTGCTCGTCTAGGTCGAGGTCGAGATCGCTGCCGTATGCGAGCTGGGTGTTGGCGGGGTCTTTGGTAAGGTTTAAATCTGCGATGGCTTGGCGCATGGCAGCTAGCTGAGCCAGCCACTGTGACTCGATGGATCCTGTTTCGTTCATCTTGAGGCTTGACGACGTAGTCCAAAGCAAATCTGAGAATCTGTTGAAGGGGAAATCAGGGAGAAAGGATGCGAGCAGGTGAGGGGATAAAGAGGAAACAAAGAAGAGCTGGAGCAGTCGGGGAAATCCTCGGCCCCACCGGACTGCAGTGAATGATGACTGTTGACTTAACAGAGCAGACTGATCCACAGGAGTTATAAACTGGTCATGGACCTCGCAGTTGCTTGTTCATTTTTATAATGGGTCATATAACTCAATGCCGAAGATATACTTTAAAAACTCGTTCTCCAGCCAGCTGCGGTCAGTAATGGCTCAAGAACTCAAAAAACTGAGCATAAAAAAACAGTATATATTTCTGGCCGAACTGTAGTCGCCAAGTATAGCTGCATAAGGCAGCATTTGATGGTAATTATGATATGACAATTGAGAGTCAGGATGTTGATCATACCGAGTCACTCCATGTCTTTAGTTGCTGAATCTGTGTGCCAAGCAAGGGTATGTTTGACTAGGTGGTCACCCATAAGGAATGCGATATTTCCCCATGGACGTTAAAATGTTTGAACAAAGCGAGTAGCAAAAGAGCCAACGCGAGACATGGGGCAGTAAGCAGGTATATGCTGAGAGAACCAAAAAGCTAGGGTTCAATTAAAAAGATTCATGCTCGCTACGCTGCGCTGTAAGCCGAAGAAACCTAACTACATCAACCCAAAAAACCGAAAGCAAAGAAGACTGTCATACTAAACCTGCTCAAATCACAAGGGGTATGAAACAATAATTGTATCCACGCTAAGCCAGACAGAATAAACCCAAAGCCGATCCAGACCCTCATAAAAGACAGAAAACCAGTGTGTAGACAAACCTACACTGTCTCGATACGCACATCTTGGGAAAGACCGGGCCGATGACCGTAAGCTGGGCCAGTAACCATGGGCGTCTTAGCTTGTCTCACAACAAGCCTCTCATTGCTCGAGTTTAGCTGAGGAGCCCTCGTTCTGACGGGGACCAGAACCTGCCCTTTGCCCTTTGAAACAGAGACGGAGCGCGCGATGGAGACTTCGATGGTTGGTAATGGTGCTCCATTGTGGCCAGCTCGGGATGTTGTTCGTGGTGGAGGAAAGGTGGGTACTGTCGTGGTTATGGCTTCGGTTTGACCCCTGGCCGGAGATGCTATGCTCAGTGGTGAGAGGATGGGCGAGGATGCCGATGTCGCCGTCGGTGTGTATGGGTATGTTTCTACTGAGCTGAAGCTATTCGAGTCTGAGCGTGAGTGAAGCTCTCGCGTGTTGATGGTGAGGTTTTTGGCCTTCATCGGGAAATCGGAGGGTGGCACTGTTATTGCCACCGGCGCAGGACTGTGGCGTGATACGCTCCAGAAAGGCTCCTTCATGCCGGCATATGTGCGGACCGGTTCGACTTTGTGGATGAGAAGTGGTTCGTCATCAGAGCCTATCGAGGTTGCAGAGAGAAAGGATGTGACGGAGGCCTGGGGACGGTGGGATGATAGGGCTTTTGGACGACTGTCCAGTGAGAGCTTGTTCGGCTCGGGGAGTGTCTCCTGAGATTTGGTTTGAGAAGACGTCAATGCTTGTGACTGATTTGAGACCCGTGATAAGTTTTGTGTCCCGAGAACCTTTGCAGCCTTGCTGGCTGGCATCGTTGGAAAGAGGTTGAAACTAGGGGATATTGCCGGGGAAGTGGCTCGTCGCCGTGGTGGACCCAAAGGAGATGGTGACTGTGACGTATGAGCAGAAGTGAGACTCAAAGTTGAACGACCACTACTCACCTCTTTGCCAGGAATGGTCAGATTATCCAGTGTCTTGCTTCGCCTAGCCAACAGTGAAGGCCGTTCGTTGTTTAGAAGGCCACCAAACATGACGCTATACCTTTCCATTTCAACCTGAGGGATCTCGACCTGAAGGAAAGATCCAGGATTCGGCTTGGACGCTTGTTGGTGGGCTGTAGCTTCGTTCTCCGAGGCAAGACACGGCCACACTTCTGTATTCTCAATCGGCGCGGTCCTGGTACCTGCTCTCCGTCGAGACTTGTAGTCTACCGAATGCGTAGACTCCTGCACCGGCCCCTCATTCGTAGCGTGGATCTGGTAAAACGGCTTAGTGGCATTAGGGGCGACTGCGTTCTTTGCCCTGAACAGGCCCCCAATCTTTTTCCATTTGCTCGGCTTCCGTTGCAGTGGCGATTTGGGCCGTTCGTCCTCAGGTGGTGTGGGTGGTGGCATTCGTTGTACTTGGGGTGCAATGTTATGTTGTTCCAACAAACGAGGGCTACCCAGGGCAATACCAATCATAGACTCATCCACTCCAAGGTGCGTGTCCGACGTCGTAGCTTCGATTGGTGGGCTGGTGACCCGGAAATCAAACTCGCGAGCCTGGGGTTCTGGGTTTTCTCCGAAATCACGGCCCCTGGACACCGCAGGATGCTGTCCGACTTTAACGACTTGATGTATTGGACGGCTGTAACTGATACCAGGCTGGATTTCCCGAGTGTCGTTCCTAGGCAGGGCATCTGTATATTCCAGAAGCGGCTGGGAAATGCCCGGCGCTTGAGGTGGCGAGCGCGATTTCACAAGTACTCCTCTGGCCATTCTCAATAGACGTGGTTCATATAAAGTAGAGCAAGATTCGATTAAAAGCGTTGGTTGTATGAAGAACTGAAGTAAAATAAATATACAAGGAATGGACAGCCTTCCAGAAGGCCGAGTGCGAATCAGGAATCAAAGAAGCGAAATATAAAGTCGTTAATGAGAGGAGGATGCGGCGGGCCATGATATTAAAAAGGCCCATGAGCCCTTATTTAGCTGAATCCCCCGTGTCCGCGACAAAGTGTCGGGGGGTTGGTGGGCCAAAGTCTCACATCGAAGATCCGGACGAGACATCTGAGAGTGATTAGCGCAGGGTCGACAGGGAGTGACCAGACAACAGGAGTCATGCATATAGCGGACCTATGAGCCGAATGAAATTAGCCGATCCAGTCATTGTTGCCTACGCCAGCACCATCAGGTGCCGCACGACCTGCTTATATCGGAGCGCAGATAATATGAGCGTTGTGGTTGCGCGAAGGTTAAATTATCATGACGGCAAGGCACTCGGCGCAAAATGACCTGATTCATTATTGGTTTCATCTTACTCTGAAACCGGGCCCACTCGGCCAATTAAAGACTAATCACGCCAGATTCCGATAAAGATAATCAAACGAGCTGAGAGGATGCCAGATGGAATAGCAAGATAAGGGCCGGTTTGATCGGTGGAACTGGAACTGCGAGCAAGTCGAATCTCGTGTGCCCAGGTGTTCGATGGACCATGGCCGATGCAGTGTTCGTGCAACGGTGGACCGCTGGGAGCTTGGTATCACTGTATCAAGAGTAAGATGGATCTTCATAAGATCTAGACTATCACAAGGATCTGATGCTTTCTACCGTCGTCGGCGGAGCGATCGCCATGTGCGACAAGATCAATTATCTTCCGAAGGTCAGTAACTAGACATTGCTGGCAGCATGGGTGGTGGCCTTCTTACCTACTGTATGATGCGAATACTCTCAACAGCCTTGACTGCTGGTCAACCCTATCTGGAAGGCGACGGGGTGGCGCTCTCTTGAAGCCTATACAACGGAGTTTGATAGATGCTGGCATTTCCACAAGCTGTCCTGAGTGGTAACATAAGTTGGGCCTGCAAGCAAGTTGGCGATGCAGGGACGATCCCAAAATGGCCTAGTGCTATAGCTGGAGATGATCGGCACCTGACACAAGAACACGTGCCGTGCCGTTAGGTACGGAGTAGTACACTGCAGAGCGTTGCAGAGTACATATTTTGTATGAAAACGTAGTATGTTGAGGAACTATACGTTTCCGGCCAGGAAAGCTTGGGTATGCATCTTGTCCGGAAGCTCAACTGAGCAGGGAGGCTAAATTAGGGCTACAAATACTTAGATCTTGGATAGCTGGGAGGACCCGTTGAATCCGTCAAGACCCATCGTTTCAGAGGAGGTTCGAAGCGAGTTTTGGCTTTGAAGATGGAGACCCTGCGCAGCGGCCCTGACTCGGCTGTCTTGCTGTTGCGGATGCTCTTCGGCTCACGCTCCTGGCGGCGGTGAGACTCAACTCTCGAGGCCGAGTCGTTGATCTTCGGGAACCATTCGTAGCATGTCGAGACTGCCCAGTAGTATGCCGTCTGTAGGAAACCAAGACGTTGCGAAAGGCATTTGATCAACACTACCTGCTCAGAACACACATTCAGGTCGTGATCGTATGTCAGTTACAACTTCAAGATGAGCGCTTGATCCGAGAGCGAATGGCGGGGCAGCTCTTGGTTGCCTCAGCGCTCAGGCACTGGGCTAGGTAACCCCACCCCCCACCCTACCTCACCTTCTTTCTGCTTCCCACCGCCAACTCTCTTCTTCTCCCTATCACAACAAATAATAATCCCAACAGCTCTATCGCTGGTCGATCTCTTTCCATTCCTCTGACACCTCTCACTGTCCCTTCTTTGCAGTCGTTGCTGTCCGTCTCCGAACGACCTCTTCTCCACCGTTTCCCCTTTTGCGTTCCGCCGCCTCTTCCAACCGTTACCATGGGTGCTCACTCTGCTGTCTGGCAACGTACTGTTTACCCTGTTCCTGGATATCTTTCATTATTGAGATGCGTTAGCTGACCTTTGCCTGCCTCTAGAATATGTCGATTCTAGGTACCGTACCTCCGTCATTACCCCGCCTCAACCAACATTGGAAACCCCCGCGTCCTCCGCATCGATTCTGACCCAAGAATTCTCACAGTATCATGGGAACCGGCCAATTTGACAAAGCCGCCATCTTGAGCTACGACTTCTCCAGCGTTGAGGCCCACTCTCCTGGCTTCACGGTACGCAAACTATCTGCCCCGGCCAGCCTTCTGCTTTCTTCCCGTCGTCCTGACCATGACCGCTGACGGCGAGCACAGATCTCCCCCCAGGAAGTCCAAGCTATTGGCTCTGCCTTCGGTGACAGCACCTGGGCCATGCAGAACGGTGTCACAATCGGCGGAGAGAAGTTCCTTGCTATCAAGGCCGACGAGCAGAGTGTTTACGGCAAGAAGGTATATTCTATCCAAAGCACGACTATCTGCTCGATACTGATCCCCTCGTTCTATTATAGGGCAAGGAGGGCGTTATCATCGTAAGGACGCCTTCCTGCATCTTGGTCGGCCACCACTCCGAGGCCACCCAGACTACCAACGCCGCCGCTGCCATCGAGAAGGTTGGCGACTACCTCCGCGGCGGTAAATGAGCATGACGACGTGGCATTCGGGCGTGGTTCAGACAGACAATATGCTTGCCTAATGTAAATCATGATGGGGTGCTTTCTTATGTCTTTTACTTACTCTTCATCTCCAGCATCAGACGCGTAAATATGTGTAATATGTACTCCTATAGTACAAAATGGATCCTCGGGGATACCACTTGCCTTTTACCTTCTTTAGCGCTTACGATTCTGTCAGGTAGAGGTAGACGCGCCATATTATTGGATAGGCACCGTCTTCATTTTCACCTGCGTTGGGATAATTTTTCCAAACTCTAGGCTCCCATGATATGCTATGATGTTTCCCGTATTCGTTCAACTTCTAGTACTCGGGAGTGGTCCTGGTATCGTTGTATTCTCATAAAATTAAGTGGTGCACGAGCCAGTACACCATGGTCATTATAGACATAATAATACGTCGTCATAGTAATATAGACATTATCGAAGGACATCATCCTGCCCTCCAAATCTTCGTAAGTAGGTGCCACTGAAATCCCCTTCCCCCGCACTTCCCTCCGCCCCTCTTAACCGCCTTCAGCCTGATGCAAACAACAAATGCGAATCAATCACCAGCATACTAAACCGGCAACTCCGCATTCCTCCTCCCCCCAGCCAGCGTCTCCAAGACTCGCTGAATAACCGGCCCCACAACGGGTATATTCGCGGCAAACTGGCCGATTGTGACGAGGAAGTCCCCAAAGAGAATGAAGAGGCCGTACAGCTCAATCAGGAAGCCTGTTAGCGGCCACCGGAAGAGGATTAGCATGATACCGAGCGTGAATGCGGCGGTGCCTTTGAGCTTTTGGCGGCGGGAGAAGAAGGCGATTGTTTTTTCGAGGCCGATTATGAGCGTTAGGCCGATTAGGAAGAGGATCTGAACGTGGGTTGTTTGTTAGATGCTGAGGGATGGGCTTGGTGTCGCTGGACGTACGTTTCCCATGGCGAGTCTGGCGAAGCGAATTGGTTAGTGAGGGCTAGAGTATTGCCTGGGCAGTGTATACGTACAATGAGCGATCAAAGAACATTAGTACTCCTCCGAAAAGAAATAATCCTCCTATGTCGCGTGACTGTTAGCATCTGGGTTGGGCTGCGCAGGATGAATATGGCGCGGCGCATGCGAAAATAGGGCTGGACGTACCGCCGGAGCAGAATATGACACCAATTTCTGTTCAATTGAGGCACTCGTTAACACTGACATGTCCGTAGACGACGACGGCTTTGGAGGGCCGCTTGGCGACACCGGGCTTGTTCTTACTTTGGTTGTCTGTCATCCATACCGACGGCATCTCGGCGTTGCGTATGTATGTCGATGTAAGTAATAGATGGGGTTCTAGTGCGACGTTGCGACGACTTGTAGAAAGGAGGTCAGGGCGCGCGACGAAGGTGGTTCTAGGAGCACACGAGGTCTGGTTTTGTTTGGAAGGTTAGCAAGTGGCTGATAAGGAGTCGGCGCTGGGGCTTGAGCGGAGGTTTCTGTGGTGAATGGATGCCACTTACTCGAAGAGCAAAAGGCCGTTAGGACAGTCGTATAGTCGTAGGTGCTTGTATGAGGACACGTCGTCTTGAAGCTCGCGGCGAGTCTGCCAAAATTTCGGGAGTGCTGGTCAACAACCACCGCGATCGCGACCAATCATTCATAAATTCTGCCGGGATTGTGTCTTGGCGACTGGCAGCTAGGGTGCACTCAGAAGGCGGTCTGCAGATCCTATATACGCACAACGACCGACTCCGAGCGGGAAAGCTCTTCATCTCCGTTATTCGTCCTACACCCAAGTTCAACGGTATCACCAGCTACAATGATGAAAGCAAATGATGCGAGAATCATACGATTTATCGACACTGGAAGAACCTCCGATACAATATCACCATAATTCTAACTTTGGACTTGGGACGTTGACGAAGCCAGATTAGATGCGACAACTAATTACGCACATCATGGCGTGAGATTCGCGAATCCTCTCGAATGCTAGTCTATCAAGACGGGCTTCTCTTTTCTTTCAATCCCACCTGGCTAGCTTTGCTAGCCCATACGCCGCGGCAACAGCATCTTCGGGTGCTGTAACTGACGTTCCGTTCGTGGAGCGTCGGTATGAGTCGAGTGCTTCGAGCACAAGGCGAAGATCAACCGTATAATATACAAGATCACGAATAAGCCGGAGCGCTTTCTTGAGCCTGTCTCGAAAGGGGCATGGTGGGTGGAAGAGCTTGACTGTGTTGGTCGTACATATCCGTTGGAGTAGCTTCTATAGTAGCAAGATTAGATAGGCAGTAATGACACTGAATCCAACGGACTTCTTACTCTGATTAGTAGATTATCCTTTGATGGAATGTGTTTCAAGTCAGCCAGGACCTTATTTCAGCACGACATGGGCAGCCCTAAGTTCGAGATAACTCTCTGGCACACCCTGTCCCAAGGTTCTGACCACGCCGAAGACTTCCTTGTCATGATATCGTAGCCGCGTCTTCGGATCGGTATAGGAAGCCGGCAACCCAGTAATGTCGCAGTACGGCCGTTGCTGCGACGGGTGTAGCGAAGGAGCGGATTCGATGTTCGTATAAGTCACGGACGGCCCCGAAGAAAAGGCAGCGCGTGCATTCTTCTCCAGCACAAGCGTCTGGAGGTTCTGGGCGGCCTGGGCAATGTTTGCTGTTCGCTGGTTACCCTCGGCAGGTGTTTGGCTCCCATCTGTACTGGCGGTGGCTCCAGGGGTCGTTGCACCGGAGTTTGCTTGCGTAGCAAGCGACGAAGCCTCTTTTCTTGAGCTGTCGGAGAGAAGCTGCTTGACGTTCTTGTTTCGGCGTTGCGATGGTCTCCATGTGTGGCTTCGGAAGGGGCGTGGAACAGTCGCAATGTCGAGACGGTCAAGGAGTTTCTGATGAGCTTCGCTCTCGGCAGCCGTCGGAGGAGCCATGTTGAGGCAACCGGTGAGTTTGGGGAGGGAGGTAATGAGAATGCGATATGACAAGCCGATGGGGTTGTGAACTGAGGGTGTCTGAAGGAGACCGGGGAGAGTTCGGCCTTGGCGCGATTGACGAAGAATGGACCGTCAATGACTGCAGAATCCTTCACAGCAATTGTTGATTGAGACAGACAAGAGCTATAATTCAGGAAGACAGTGAATCGTTTTCTTGAGGAATAAAATGAAGACGCAGGCCAGTTACAGATAGGTATCCCCGAGAGTCACGTGGCTGTTCCGTTGTTAGATGAACGACGACAACAAAACATGGGTTTCTTTCCAGCAACAACAACGAATTGACCCGCAACAATGGTAAGCGTGTAACAGCATACATATGCCCGCTTCTTGTATGCAAATCTGATATTTACCAGGAAAACCCCCACGAGCAACAGCAAACCCTTCTCCTCTCTCGAATTATCGAGAACGTAGTATGTTCCCCCGGTATGACAGATCTGGTTGTTCTGATACCCATCCAGCAAAAACTGAATGAAGCTGTCATGGAAATGAACCAACGGCTACAGGTACGGTTACCTAGTCCTGTATGTCCTGTCCACTAACGCATTTCATCCAGGCGGCCAATATCCAGACAATGGACGTTGAGCTGGTGGCACAGATGTTCAAAAACTACCAGTCAAATGTTCTATTCCACTTGGAAGGTATGCTTCAGATCTTGGATGGTGAGGCTATTTGGCTAACTTGGATAGCCACGGAGAACTTGCAGGAGCCGTCGTGAATAGAGCTTGAAGGATTTCTCCCCAGCTTTTGATGTTAATGAGTAAACATGATACCACTGAGTTTTGCCTATGAATAATCGAAATCAATGACCTATGCATTCAAGTCGCGTAGCCACAAGGAACATATTCTAAAACTGCTGCAATATAGTTCGTAGAGTTCGAGCCGGGGTACCTAGTGACCGGGCTTGGCGATACAAACACCGGCGGTGGCTAGACTTTCCACCGCGCCGAAGCTGGGGTTCCGCCCATCTTCTTATTGTGACCAACCACTTCCCACGCTTCGCCAATCTGTATCTCGCGCGCGAAAGTCGTTTCGATCTCAGCTCGTCCAGGTCAACGCCCCGCTGTATGCGACAGGCAGCGATGCGGTGATTCTTCCCTCGAAGCTCCTGAGACCTCCGTGACCTACGCCGCACACGATGGCGATCACATCAGTGCAGTCCGTCCTTCCTGCTCGATCCTCAATCAATTCATCTGAGCAGGGTGCTGTGAAGCCTCCCCCCAAGATCTTCGACGCCCACGAGCGTCCTTTTAAAGGCTATCAACCCCCGCAGCCCGACGGTTACCAAAAGAGCAAATCGAGGCCTGATACGAGCGCAATTGTCATTGATAATGGTAAGGGGATCTCATTCGGCCATATCTAGCTCAGGCGACAACTAATAATCTATGACAAATTAGGCTCTCACCTCGTCAAAGCAGGATGGTCATTTGACAAGAATCCTCGTTTCATACTCCCCCCTGTGATGAGCCGGTATCGAGACCGGAAACTCAACAAGGCTTGCCAATTCATTGGGCATGATGCCTACATCGATGCGACAACCCGCGGCCAACTCCGCTACGCCTTTGATCCCGGTTCTAGTGTAGTGGGAAACTGGGACGTGATGGAAGGGGTGTTGGATTACCTGTTCATCAAACTGGGTGTCGACGGGGCCAACGGAGGCGTTGACAGACCCATCGTAATGACGGAGCCTGTTGCGAATCCCAACTACCCCAGAAAGAGTAAGAAGAACGCACGCGACGTGAAGGCCGGCGCTGATGTTATTAGTGATGAACGAAATTCTGTTCGAGTGTTACTCTGCTCCATCGGTCGCCTACGGAATCGACTCGCTGTTTTCCTACCGGTATAATCGCGGAACGGACGGTCTTATCATTTCCTCCTCGCACACATCGACGCATGTCATTCCGGTTCTCAACTCTAAAGCCGTGCTCTCGAACTGTTCGCGCCTGAATTTCGGTGGCATGCATGCCTCGGAGTACCTGCTAAAGCTTATGCGACTCAAATACCCAACGTTTCCGGGAAAGATGACGGAGCATCAGATGGAAGATTTAGTGCACAGCCACTGTTATGTATCGAAAGATTACGACCGGGAATTGACCGGGTACTTGGACTGGACCGGGTTGGAAGACAGAGATCATGTTATTCAATACCCATTCACAGAGCACATTGTGCCAGAGAAAACCGAGGAGGAGCTTGCGAGGATTGCAGAGAGGAAAAAAGAGAGCGGACGACGGCTGCAAGAACAGGCTGCCAAGATGCGCCTTGAAAAGTTGATGAAAAAGGAGCAAGAATTGGAGTACTATAAGGACTTACAGCGCGGTCTCCAGTCAGAGACGAAGAAAGAGAAGACGCGTATCCTCGACGCCGAAGATCTGAAGGATGAAGCCCACTTGGAACGTTTGGTCCGGGATCTCGAGCGCTCAATAAAGAGGTCGAGAAACAAGGACCTCGGAAACGAAGAACAGGAAGAAGCGCCGGAGGAGATGTCGTTTCCATTACTGGATGTACCGGACGAAGAATTAGATGAGGCTGGACTGAAAGAGAAGCGCCATCAACGTCTTATGAAGTCCAACGTCGACGCGCGACAACGTGCTAAGGAAGAGAAAGAGCGAGAACAAGCGCGGCGGGATGAAGAAATACGGCTTGATCGTGAGAAGCGCGAAAATGACCCTGAGGGCTGGGTGTCTGAACGAAGAGCACAACGCCAGGTAGGGCTCCTGCGTTTTAGAATACAAGACAAAACTAACAAACTCTCAGAACCTCCTCCAAAGAATCAAGGAACGCGACCGCATGAAGGCTGATCTCGGCAATCGCAAGTCATTAGCCAGCCAAATGCGCATGAAGACTCTCGCGAACCTCGCAGCTGATGGTCCCAAGAAGCGACGAAGAGGAGGAGATGATGATGACTTTGGTGCTAACGACGAAGACTGGGGTGTCTATCGAACTGTGGCCACCGGCGAACAAAGCGACGATGAAGAGGAAGAGGACCTGGGCGGGATGCTCGACAACGTGGAAAAGGAGCTGCTCGAATACGATCCGGAGTTTACAGAAAACCACACTCTGGCTGCTCAATCTGACTGGACAAAGAGTCTGATCCATGTGTTTTTGCGCGGTCCGTGGCCATTCGATGCAGAGAGCCAGCGTGAGGCCCACCAAATACACCTTAACGTGGAACGAATCCGAGTACCGGAAGTGGCCTTCAAGCCTTCCATTGCCGGCATTGACCAGGCGGGAATAGTCGAGATAGCCGCGAACATCGTCAATCAGCGTTTCTCGAATCCGGAGGAGCAGTCAAGATTACTGCGCGATGTCTTCTTAACTGGCGGTAACACCCTTTTCCAGAATTTTGACGAACGGTTTCGCAACGACTTCCGGGCGGTCCTCCCTCTGGAAGCACAGTTGGCCGTCCGTCGCGCCTCGGATCCCATCTTAGACGCTTGGAAAGGAGCAGCACAATGGGCTTCTGGATCAGGGCTGGCCAAGTCATCCATTACACGCGAGGAGTACCTGGAAAAGGGCAGTGAATATCTTAAGGTACGTCATTCCTATGGATTCCTTCCAATATTCTAACATGATGAACAGGAACACGATTTGGGCAACGTTACGTCCTGGTAAGGAGAAGGCAGGCAGCACAGGCGTAGCTCGGAGTCGGGCGTCAGGTCAAGTTGTTTAATTAGACGAGGATATACTACCATATGATCATCTGCATTTCATCTGCGTTTGCAGTGACTACAACTGAGACCAAATATTTCACTTTTGGAGGTAGACCTGCCTAGCACAAAGTGTTGTAGTGTGCAGCACAATAGCCCTGCCTTGGTTCTGCGCTGAGCAAGGAGACTGCAGTCCAGAAATGGACAAAGAAACCACTCGAACCTTCATTACCTAAAGAGAAGGAGATCTTTCCAATCCTACTCCATAATGTCGTCTCTATCGGCCTGTAGGTGTGAACCCAGGATCATTTCTCCGGTCCCGTGGAATTGATGAGGCCTTTCCCACTTCCGTCCACCCTTGCTGCCCATCCTGCCCATCATCCATCCGTCATGAAATCCATCCGTCTGACTACCGAACTTGTCTCGATGTGAAGATGTTTACATCCTTCAGTATAATTGACGTCACTGGGCTCGACTGCTTCAGCCTTGTGGGCCAAATCCAGTCTTCGACCCTGTCTCTGATTCTCTGAGGAGGGGAAGAGCGGTGACCGATGTACGACCACTGCGAGTATGCGACTGCTGCGACGGTGATCAGAGCCACCGATCCAATGGTCGGCTGTTGCGTGGTGTCGGCTCGGTTCAGTCGGATCGCATCTTCCAATCTGGCCTGTCAACGACAGGTATGCCGTGGTTCCGCTGGATCCGGCAGTCATGCAACCTCTCAGAGCTGGACCTGCTCGCTCATGAAGATTCAGGTCACACAACCACACCATCAAGACTTGTCTCTGCTCGCGATACGTCAATCACTTCCGTCAATCACTTCTCTGCATTCCGCTGCCCCGGGTCCCTAGTGGTCGATCGCATGTCTTGTGTCTATGTACGCTGACATCTCTACTCGGTTTCCTGCAATGACGCAGAAATGAGCTGGAGCTTTCCCCCCCCCATCCGCATACAGCAGTTATCCTCAGCGGGAGCTCCCTGCCAACTTAGCTTCGACGAACGTGAGATAAACTTAAAAGCGAGATCATGTGTCTGGTGGACCGTGGAATAATGGCAGCCCTGCCCAACGTGGGTCTCCAGCACCTGGCTGGCATGGCTCCCGGCACGATGTCGATCGAGCATCCTGACGCAAACCCTAAGCTGGAACTGGCCTGAAGCTGGCCCGTGGCCTGACCGCGACTGGACGACCTAGATGCAATGATCCTTGTTTTTTCTGCTTCCTGGCAACTATAAAGCTCTGTTCTGGCCACCCGGTCGAGGTGTGCCGCACATTTTACTTTGTTTCCATCCATCCTCTGCGCATTCTACCGAGCATTCTGAACTCTACGGGCAAGCTTTCAGTCCAATTCAACTTTTAAACAACCAGCATGCCTCGTCAAGCTCTTGCTCGGCCGGTGATGCTCTTAGTTCGGGCCCTCCAATGGGCGAGCGCTGTCATCGTGATGGGAATAACGTCCTACTTCATCAGCAAGGGCCCGCGTGGCCAGCATATCATCTACCAGGAAGTCATTGTGCGTGTAGCTTTCATTCAATCGTGCTGCGCAGTACTAACCGTACAATGCAGGCTGTTGCCTCGGTTGTCTTCTTCCTTCCGGCTTTCCTCTCTCCATTCATGCCCAACATGCTGAGCCGATTTGTCTTCGGTATCGACGTCATCTTCTCGTACCTGTACGTCCGACCCTGCTCAGTTGAAGATGAGCATAAAGCTAACATACCATCTCAAACCAGCTGGCTCACGGCCTTCATCTTCGCCGCTCAAGACTACAACTGGCACAACTGCTTCCTCAACGCACCTCCCGGTCGAGGCTGCAGCAGAAAGAAGGCCAACGAGACTTTCATCTTCCTGGCATTGTATGTTCCATACTCATTACAACTTGAGTGCGTGTTCATCGCAGCTAATAATCTCCTTAGCATCTTAACTTTCTTCGGCATGCTTCTCGAACTCTACTCCCTCTGGTCCTACCGCCGTGAACACGCCACTCCGGTCGTAGAGAAGCATCCCCCCGGCACCACCACCGGCACCGGCGCCGCTCCTCCCCACGATGGACCTGTCACGACCGTTCCTTAAATCCGCGCGGCACAACCCGAATGCCCCTAATTCGCCGACCCTAGCGACGACGGCTTCTGCCCTGGCGCTGTTAATCGAATCGTCGAGTACAAGGTGCAGTGTATACATACCTACCCACCTAATTACTGGTCATACTGTCGCTTGAGGTATGCAGTTTGCGGAGCAGGAGACTAATGACACGAGTTTGGATGTGAGCGCGAGCGCGAGCGTTGGGTTACATTGATATGATATCCGCCTGCTTGTGATGATCTGTCTGTATGAGGATGGAGTTCTTGGTCTTCTATACCTAATTATCCCTTACGGTCATTTTGTTTGATATACCATTTGCCAGTATCAATTCGCAGTTTATATCCACTGCTACTAGTAACTAATGTATTTATTTCCCTGATGCTACGCCTCACACGTTATTCTGCCTACGCCCGGCGACTCCTTCGTTGAGACAATCCCTAAGGCTAAAGTGAATGAAAATAAAAAAAAATAAATTGTGGGTTTGACCACCATATGATTTGTGCAATATTTACATGAAGGAGGTGTCTCGAGGACCGAACTTGCTTGCTTTTCTAATTCAGTGCTTGTGGACATGTCCAAGCTAAACTTTAGCATTGACAATTAAACAGTAGAATAATTCATGATGAACTAGTCAGTTTTGAGCGTATCAGGATAACCACTGAGACCGACTCCTGAGGGTAGGACTCTATGGATAGAGTGCTGCACAATGATCATCGCATCTAATTTCCGTGCATGTTATGTTAAGTAAGGTTGAGCTGTGGTGACGGCCGGTCTACCAATTATCATAATATGGCGTTGAGTTAGGGCTACCAATCTAGATGGCAGATATGTTATGCTATATACAGTGGTTCACTATGGCCCTGTCGCGCATATCGCCAAGATACCTTTCGTTATAGGTTTAAATCGCATCTACCTCGAGACTGTGTTGGGCTCGCTGGAATCTTATTCTGTTCCCCCATCCATACCGAGGCATCAATCGAACCCGTTGAGGAACAAAACGCCAACTACAACGAACATCCACAGGTCTCAGCTCACTCAGCTGCATCCAAGATAGAGGAGAGGGCTAATCCCTCCTCCTCTGATCCTCTCTACCCCAGACCTCATCCGCATTCTTCTTGCCCTTAGTCTCCGGAACACGGAGGTAAATGAATACAGCAAAAATACCTGACATTGCCGCAAACAGCCAGTATATCTTCCCGCGTCCACCCAGGGCATCATTCAGCATTGGGAAGAATTGGGCCACAACAAAGGTCGAGATCCAGTTGGCTGCAAGGGCCCAGCTCTGAGTGGCGCCCACGGATTCAGGGCCGACCAGCTCGGAGGCCATGATGAAGGGCACGGGTCCCACGCCGACCGCGAAGGAAGCGACGAAGAGCAAAACAGAAACTGCGGAAAGGGCTTTTATGTTGAAGTAGATGCCCAGAGCTAGAAGGATAGATGTGGTGCCCATTCCGATGATGCTAGACAGGAGGCATGTCTTCCGGCCGATTTTGTCCGGGAGTGGGGAGCAAACGAGGGTCATTACGAGGTTTATTGCCGAGATTAGAACGGAGAGGAGCGCTGCGGTTGTGGGGAGGATACTCTGGAGCAGTGAAACGCTGTACATGATGATGCTGTTGATTCCGGTAAACTGCTGGGCTATCATAATTCCGACGACAGCGACGATTGCTGGGCGGTATTCGGGGTCCGTGATTACTCGTGCCATCGTGACTGGGGGTTGCTTTGGGGGCAGGTTGCTGGATGGGGGTGAGAGCAGTGACTGTTGCTCACCAGCATCATCGTCGGATCTTGTGGAGCTTCCCATGCCTTCTAGTTCGCTATGGATATCTGCATCTCTGCCGCGTATCTGCTGGAGGACCCTTCTGGCTAGATCGTGCTTCTGTCGGTCAGCGAGCCAGGCAGGGCTCTCGGGGACGAAGACGAGACCGAGGAGTTCCAAAGCTCCGATAATACCGGCGATTGCGAGTATAAACCTCCACATACTGTCCCTGCTAAGGAAGTAGCCCAGTGTCTGCGTGAGGAGGATGCCAACACAGGTCATGACCTGAGTAAAAGCACCAAAGAACCCCTTTGCAGTGGGCGGAGCAACTTCGGATACGAAAATAGGACCTACGACAATAGCTGCTCCGGACCCGACGCCGGACAATAATCTACCAAGGCCTAGTATCGGGATGCTGGGCGCAAGAGTTTCGGCCACCGGCCCAAGGATGAAGAATATAGTCGTTGCCCGTAAAGCAAACAAACGTCCATGCTTTGTTGACACGGGCCCTGCTAACAGGGCTCCCAGAAGGCCACCAAGAGTGTATATCGACGATACCAGGCCGAACTGCGAGGAGTTCATGGGGATGCATTGCGGTAGGCCGTTGGCGGAGGAATGAATGCTCTTCCGTTCGCAGGTAATGACAGCCTGAGGTGCATTAAGCTCGGCCTGTTGTATTGAATTGTTAGTGATGAAACCATAGAGAGCCACTTCCCAGGGACTCAAGGTACCTACCAGATGATACCCGAACTGGAGGGGACCCAATGTGGTGATAAACACCAGGTATATGAGGTACGGAGTGACCTTGGAATGGGTCATGTGACCGGACGCCATGGTGAGATTGAAAGTATTGCCCACGAGATTTCAGCCACGGCCACTGAGCTGAAGAGTTGATGGGCAGAGGTCGAGAGATGCAGGTGGACCGTGGAGGTGACGTTGTAGCACGGACACGGTCGGGCTCCGTCTTATCGGTTATCAGTCAACTGATAGCACGGGCTAAGTCCGTCTTATCAGTTATCAGTCAACTGATACGGAGTACCGTGGTGCTGGGAAATGCGTATGCATTATGTATATAGCCATCGCCAAAATCAGCCTCTATACTTGAACCAAGCAATATTGCATCAGTACGTGGAGACTAGAGCCAATGAGGAGACTGGCATATTACTCCGTATTCCCTGGTTGTGCTTGTCGAGTTGTCAATGTTGGGAGTGCAGTGTTGCTGACTAATCACTCCTACCTATCTCGGCCTTATGCTCACCAGCCGCCAACCACCGGCTGCACTACTTTCCCCAACTCTTCTCCGTCCATCAATCACTGTCAAACAAATTACTCCTCCCGCATCAGTTCAGTGATAGGATGCTCTAGTGGGCTCGGGCTCTCCGCGTCGTTTCCTACTGTCACCGTGCTTGCCTAGTTCATGGGCCCCGAGTTGTGCGCTTGGCTCTTGATTGATAGCTAGTCAAGCTGACCACCGGCCGGGCATCGTTGCCTCCACCTCCATCTGCCAACTGCCACTGCCGCTGGCGCTGCAACTGTGTTGCCAACGGACTGTACTCTCCATGAGTCTCACCAACCCGCCTTCATCATCTGGTCCTCTCTCTGCTACCACCAGGCCTACTGCGGCCACCGTCAGCCAAAGTCTATCTCTGAAAAGGAGTTTACAGGCTGCTGTTGAGGGTAATACCGCTTAATCCATTCTTACTATAACTTCTGTTCCTTTGGCTCTTTCCTTTTCGGGCACTTTCTATTGCCACTGGTCCTTATCTGGTTGGGTTCCCCAGCATCCATGTACACCGACTGAAGGGAATTGGATCTGTCTTTCCTGTCCTATACGAACTCAACACTTCCCAACGGTGGCTTTCCAGTTGCAACTGACTGTATCTCTTTCATCATGCTTGGAAGGAATTTTCCGTTTTTCAACTCTGTTGGCGGGTTTTATCCACGTGGTAATGGCTTTCCCCTAAACCCCTATTAAACTATTCTTGGCTTGGGGACCTCAACCTTGCTGCTATCCCCTTGTTGGCTTTTATGTTATTTTTTATTATCTAATTTGCCTTTCTTGGTTGAGCATGATTGTTATGTTGTTGCAAGTGCTAGCCTCATGATGCTGACTCGTGGCTTGCACAAGAAAACTCACGGAGACAAACTGGAACTGGATACACCAGTAAGGTTCGTGTACGGGACAAATACCACATCGTCGGCTTCATCAGCAGTGGTACTTATGGCCGAGTGTACAAGGCGCTTGGTCGAAATGGCCAGGGTGGAGAGTTCGCTATCAAAAAGTCAGCAGCCCCAGTTGTAGTCTTGTACCATTGCTGACGATAACTAGATTCAAGCCTGATAAAGAAGGCGATATCATTCAGTACACAGGCCTTTCGCAGTCTGCAATCCGAGAAATGGCGCTTTGTTCCGAGCTTGACCATGCCAACGTAGTGCAACTCGCGGAGATTATCCTGGAAGACAAGTGCATTTTTATGGTATTCGAATACACTGAGCATGACTTGCTCCAAATTATCCATCACCACACTCAGCCACAGAGACACCCGATCCCGGCAACTATGGTGAGATCGATCTTATTTCAGCTCCTTAACGGTTTGCTGTACCTTCATACAAACTGGGTTCTGCACCGAGACCTGAAACCAGCCAATATTCTGGTGACATCAAGTGGTGCGATCCGCATTGGTGATCTAGGGCTTGCAAGGCTTTTCTACAAGCCACTAAATTCACTCTTCTCCGGCGACAAGGTCGTCGTGACCATTTGGTATCGCGCTCCAGAATTGCTGATGGGTAGTCGGCATTATACCCCCGCTGTGGATCTATGGGCTGTTGGGTGCATCTTTGCGGAACTGCTCTCCCTTCGTCCAATCTTCAAAGGAGAAGAAGCCAAGATGGATAGCAAGAAGACGGTCCCATTTCAGCGCAACCAAATGATGAAGATAATTGATATCATGGGTTTACCGAATAAAGAAAACTGGCCCGGCATCGTCCACATGCCAGAATTCAACCAGCTTCAGTCCTTGGCAATGTCACGCGCCCCGAACCATATCAGCCGAACCTCGAACCTGGGAAGCTGGTACCAGAATTGTTTGAAGAATGGCGGGTACTCACCCGCGTCCAGCGTCGGCACGCCCGGCGACGACGGCTTCGATCTCCTATCGCGCTTGCTCGATTACGACCCCACTACTCGAATCACAGCACAAGAGGCCTTGGAACACCCCTACTTCAAGAACGGCGGTCCGATCTCGGCCAACTGTTTTGAAGGATTCGAGGGCAAATATCCACACCGGCGTATCACCCATGATGACAATGATATAAGGACCGGAAGCCTTCCAGGCACCAAGCGGAGTGGCCTACCCGATGATAGCTTGATGGGTCGGGCGGCGAAACGCCTGAAGGAATGACCGGGCTATAGATGAAGCCCTACATCAACCTAGAGGGTACTGGCGTTTATGGGAGTTATACATTGGCACGGTTGCATTTGAGCTTTCTTTTGGCTTAGCATGGTTTTGGCGTAGCTTGTTTTATATCACATTTTAGCGCCATAACCTATAGCACATACTATACGCTCACGTTAAGGCAAGTGGAATAGCTTCTAGATTTGCTATGTCATTCAATCTCGCTGTATGCATGGATTTGTTGTTGTACGACTCTGACGACTGTCAACACCCGGCAGCTAGTAGCATCACAAACTGATAGTATCATTGCTAATATTAGAGTTTCCCACATTATCCGCTCATTGCATGATCATTATATTGCATTGAGCCCCAAGCAGATACGCCTCGACGCCTTCGTACACCCAAACCATCAAAAATAAATTAAAAGACCAGTCGAAATATGCCCGTTGCAGGTGACAGACAGCTCAGTAACCTACTCCATGTTAGCAAGGAGAAGTAACATAACACATGAAACTCATTTACATACCGCTCTGTTCCCGCCTGCCACTACCTCCACCATCCCCGTTATCATCCTCCGCAGAAGCCTTCCCCGCAGCGGCAGCATCCTCAATATGCCCTTCGTCACCCCTAAGCTTCGCAAAATACGCCTTGATATCTTCCGCCCCGACAGCCGTCCCGCTCTCGGCAAACGGCTTTAGGAACTCCTTCACCTTATCGCGCAGGTGGTTGTAGACCATGGCGCCTTCTATAGCGCGCACGCGGTCGATATTGCTCAGCGCCGCTTCGCCGCGGTCTAGGAGGCTTCCGGTCCCTGTGCTTCCGGCACCATCGCCGTCGCCGTTCTCAGAGAGAGGGGGTTCGTATGTTTCCTCTTCTTCGCGGAGTTGGAGGTGTGGGGCGAGGTTGAGGTAGCAGGTTGGGCAGCGGCAGAGGTGGTCGCGAAAGTCTTCTTTCAGAAAGAGGGAGAAGGGAGCGGTTGGAGTGGTTTGCGGGAGGAAGGCGTGTTTGGGTTTTTGTTCTTGTGTTTGTGGTTGTGCTTGATCGAGCTCTGGTTTAGTTTCGGAGGGCGAGGCCGTGCTCTGCGGTTGGGTTTCTTCTTTAGGTCGCTTTGAGGCAGGTTCGTCGTTGACTTGGCCTTCGGCGTCGTCTTCTGCCTTGCGTTTCTTTGGGTTGTCACTCGGCTGGTCTTCGAGCCGAGTTGGAATGGAATCTGGAGCTGCTGCGCTTTCTTCCTTGACGGTGTTCTGTAGTCCACCTTCTCTGAATACTGGGGGCAGGAATCCTGGTGTTCCTGCATATTGTTTCAACCAAGGGTTGGATTCGAGGCATTTGTAGCATAGCAAGGTCTCGAAATCATCCTCATCAGGGAATCCCGGAGGCAGCGGCGTCTCGTCTTCATCGTAATCTTGTTCATTAGAGTCACCGTTTTCTGTAGTTCCCTTCTTGTCCGAATTCTTGTACCAGTCCCGTGGAAGGCCGATGAGACACTCCGGGTGCCACCAGTCTTCACCACAGCCGCCGGTCTCAGGTGACCCTAGACCAAGACACTGAAACATTGTCCCCTTTTCCTCGTGCGCGTTGTAATCCTCGCCGCAGCCGCAGAACTTGTTCTGAAAGTTGCCATTGTAACGGTTGCCAGGGTGTGGTTTCTCTGACCGAACGCCCTTTGCGCCAGTTGTAGGATCGTTTCGGAGGTTGCACGGGGCAGCGGAAGCTATACGTGTCGTCCCGCAATCACAAACAAAGTTTCGTTTATTGAAGAGCTCGACCAGTGTATGTTCTCCATGGCAGGAAATTGAGCAGGAATAGCATACGCCGGCAGGAGTGCAGGGCGCGTCGGGAGTCGCGGGTGAAGGGTTGCAGGTTAAACAGGCATAGAGTGTTTGTCGTAGCGGTCCTAAACTTTGTGTACATGAGTCAAATGACTGCATGATTAGCTTTCCGTTCGCAATCGGATCGCAGGGTGAAGGCTTACATATGGGAGGACTTCACGGGCATCAGCTTCAAGGCGCATCTGAGATTCGATGAATCTGGGACTGGCATTAGCATTGTGACATTGTACCATGCGACAATACGCGATAAGGCGCTGCGTAGATGAGGGATTTTCTCACTCACTCTTTGGCTGTCTGAGAGTTCTGAGAGCTGCAGCTTGGACGGCGACTGGCGGCGTTTTGCCCGTTGCTCGTCGGAGCATCCCTAGGGGCTGTGGCGGCCTCGTCGTTGCTCATCTTTCTTGACAATGATCGCAAGCTACCGGCGAGATTATCCTGAGATATCGAAGAGATGAATTGAGTAATGAAATGTGAAACTTGGATGGATGGTTTGCAATCAGCTCTCCGGAGTTGCGGTTTTTGTGACTCCAGAGCGATAAAGTCTCAGAGACAGCTCCCAAGGCTCACGAGCCACTCTAAGATGGCGCCCCACAGTTGTCCAGGCAATGGTGGACTGGCCTGGTGGTGTTCCAACTTCCGGCTAGAGATGTTATAACGGTTATGTAAAAGACAAAATGTTATGTTGTATTTGTCCACGCATGTCATATGTCCGACGTGGGTTGACACAAGGCAATCAAACACGTCCGATTAGCGCCCCACCTTCCATAAACAAAACGGTTTTGGCGGGCATGTAAGGTACTAGGCTAGGCAAGGAAGTTCTAGGCAAGTTTAAGCAGTTTACGGACTAGTTTGGCCTACCTAGTTACGTGTATGTATGTAAGTTTACAGTGGAGAATATGTCAGCATTTTAACATCCCTACTCCGCCCGTACCTAAGCCATCTCCCAACCGGGCATAAATTAGAAAACGCGTGTCAAACGCGCTCCAACGCGACCAAGCAAAAACTCGGCTCCTTTCTGTCCGTCCTCTCGTTTTTGCTTCAATCCACACCGAGGCTTTAGCTCTCAAATCCCTTCACATACACAAACCCGTACACAATGAGGTATGCCGCCGATATCCACTCGCCCTTTTTTTAAGTTCATTTTTTTCTAATAATCTCAGTTCACCCCTTCGTCAAAGCACATCCGCTGCAAACCGCGGCTTAGGAAATCTGAGTCGGCGGAAGCGCTCCAGAGAGCCCGATGACGATGCCTCATCCGTGGTCCCCCCTTCGAGTCGTAAGTTTTGGGGAGGCCAAAAGGAGTCATGCAGTTTCACTAACGTATACAGCCCCCCCTTCGTCCCCTCCTATGCTGCCCTTCGACGAGGACGAGGACGAGCGAGACGAGGAAGCAGAACTAGACATTGACGACATTGAGGAGATGGCTGAGGATGAAGATGGCATTGACCTTTTCGGAGACACATTTGAGAGAGATTATCGGAGTGGAAAAGACGATCGCTACCGCGGACGATATATTGACGATGACGAGCAAGAGGAACTTGATGTTGGCGCTCGACGTGCGTTGGAGGCTCAGATGGACCGAAGAGACCGTGCATTTGATCAACGTCGCCGAATGCCAGCAGCCTTCCTCCAAGACGACGAGGACGGCGATATCGATTTGACTGCGCAGCCACGTCGTCGCAGGCACGCCTATGACGAGGACCGCGATGATATTGAGATGGCCGACGACGGCCTCGAAGAGCTTTCTTTGGAGGAGCTGGTTGACATCAAATCGTCCAACATCACAGACTGGGTGACGCAGCCTCAAGTGCTGCGCTCTATCTACCGAGAATTCAAGGCCTTCTTGACAGAATTTACTGACCCCACCGGTAGCTCCGTCTACGGAAACAAGATCAAGACCCTCGGTGAGGTCAACTCTGCTTCGTTGGAGGTTTCATACACCCACTTGAGCAGCACCAAGGCTGTTCTTGGCTACTTCCTTGCCAACGAACCCACCGAAGTGCTCAAGGTGTTTGACCAGGTCGCTCTGGATGTTACCCTGTTCCACTACCCCCAATACCACGACATTCATAACGAGATCCATGTCCGAATCACCGACCTCCCCATCGTTTACACCCTCCGCCAACTGCGTCAGTCTCATCTAAACTGTCTTGTTCGTGTCAGTGGAGTCGTCACCCGCCGGACGGGTGTCTTCCCACAGCTCAAATATGTCATGTTCACCTGCCAGAAGTGTAACATGACGTTGGGTCCCTACCAGCAGGAGAGCAGCTCCGAAGTGAAGGTCACAATGTGCCAGAATTGTCAATCACGCGGTCCATTCACCGTCAATTCCGAGAAGACAGTTTACCGCAACTACCAGAAATTGACTCTGCAAGAATCTCCCGGTTCAGTCCCCGCTGGTCGACTTCCCAGGCAACGAGAGGTGATCCTGCTTGCAGATCTCATTGATACGGCCAAGCCAGGAGATGAGATCGAAATCACCGGTATCTACCGCAACAGCTACGATGCACAGCTTAACAATAAGAACGGATTCCCCGTCTTCGCGACAATCATCGAGGCCAATCACGTTGTCAAGTCCCACGACCAGCAGGCTGGTTTCCACTTGACAGAAGAAGACGAGCGTGAGATTCGCGCTCTGTCTCGCGACCCCGACATTGTTGAGAAGATCATCCGCTCTATCGCCCCTAGTATCTACGGCCACCAAGACGTCAAGACAGCTGTTGCCCTTTCTCTCTTCGGTGGAGTCCGTAAGGAAGCACAGGGCAAGATGTCGATTCGTGGAGATATCAACGTCCTCCTTCTCGGTGACCCCGGTACCGCCAAATCCCAGATTCTCAAGTACGTCGAAAAGTCCGCCCACCGTGCCGTCTTTGCCACCGGTCAAGGAGCCAGTGCCGTTGGTTTGACGGCCAGTGTTCGTCGCGACCCATTGACCAGCGAATGGACCCTTGAAGGAGGCGCCCTCGTCCTCGCGGACCGCGGCACCTGCCTTATTGATGAGTTCGACAAGATGAACGACCAAGACCGCACATCCATCCACGAAGCCATGGAACAGCAAACCATCTCCATCTCAAAGGCCGGTATCGTCACAACCCTCCAAGCCCGCTGCGCTGTCGTTGCCGCTGCCAACCCTATCGGCGGCCGTTACAACAGCAGCGCGCCATTCTCCGAGAACGTGCAGCTCACCGAGCCCATTCTCTCACGTTTCGATATCCTCTGTGTCGTCCGCGACCTCGTCGACCCCTCCGAAGACGAGCGCCTCGCGAGCTTCGTCATTGAGTCTCACCACCGCGCGAACCCCACGAAGCCTCTGCGAGATGAAAACGGCGACCTCATCAACGTTGATGGAGAGCGGGTCGACGAGGATGGATACCGCATCGATAACGAAGGAAACCGTCTCCCGCTCCGCCCAGATGAATCCGGCTCCCGGGACACGGCTATGGGCGACGACGACGAGAAGGAAGGCGAGATCCCCCAGGAGCTTCTGCGGAAGTACATCCTCTACGCACGGGAACACTGCCACCCCAAACTCTACCAGATCGACCAGGACAAGGTCGCGCGTCTCTTCGCGGACATGCGCCGCGAGTCTCTTGCTACCGGTGCCTACCCGATTACTGTACGCCGCCCCCTTTTTTCTTATGACCAAACACTAACCCCATCCAGGTCCGTCACCTCGAAGCCATCATGCGTATCGCAGAAGCATTCTGCAAGATGCGCTTGTCCGAGTACTGTTCCTCCCAGGACATCGACCGCGCCATCGCCGTGACCGTCGACTCCTTCATCGGCAGCCAGAAGGTCAGCGCGAAGCGCGCTCTTTCAAGGGCCTTCGCCAAGTATGTCATCCCGCCAAATCCAATCCTTCTATCGTGATACGGTGAACAACGCTAACGAGAAAATCAGATACACCCTCTCCCGCCCAAAACCGCAGTCAAAGCGACGAGCTGGCATCGCCGCACCTGCTTCCTTTGAGAGGAGGTCGCAGGCGGCGAGGTAGATTACCCTACTTTGCCTTGACATGCCATGCCACCATCCGCAATTGGTTCCTGGCTTTCATAATGCGGTCTGGTTCTTTTAATACATGCATACATATGATACTTATTTAACGGACGATACACCACCTGCGTGATTTGCACTTACACTCGCACTTGCGCCTCTTTCTTTGTTCGACGACGCCAGGGTGCTGGGCTGGAAGCTGATGCTGATGCTGATGCTGATGATCTCTGATTTTATCTAATCTTTGTGTTGGTATATGGAGTTAGGATACGGGTTAGAGTTTTAGGGATAAATACCAATGAAAATATGGCGTATTATTGATCAATCTGGAAACATCCTCTATGTAGTTTACCAATCCTTAGCGCGGAAGTAGGATTGAAAACTCGAAGGAAGTGGCCGAGGACGTTGCCAGTAAAAGGCTAGCTACCTCGGTAGTTATTGGTATTTTATATCTCGTAGTTGCCTCCTGGTTCAGCTGCGATCATAGCAGTTACTGGTCACGGCATGTGAAGAGAAATTCAAATGCGATGCATTTCGAAATTGGCAAAGTAGCTACAATCCACATTGAAATAACAAATGTGATCAAGTGCAGAGAGGTGAGAAACGAATAAAGGCCGGCCTCATACCGCATCCCAACCAGGAGCTGTAAAGTCAAATCAAATCAACCTCGTAAAACGCCCAACTCTCTTGAACCCTGTGCGGTGCTTACAGGCTTGCAAAAACAGAAGAAAAAAGCTCAAATCATATTGCACCGTACTGACCAGGTCCTCGCCATGCTAGTTATTGTGATAAGAGATTGTGTCTAGATGAAGCCGCATGCAAAGGTACATTCGCTGTGCTAGGGACCATCGTGGTTTCGTAGACCCAGTAGACACGCCGCGTTGGACAGTACGGTACTCTGAAAAGTCTCGATCGGGTTCACGGACGCGATTGGCGTAGAAGCGCCGTTTCAATGCACTCCATCCGTCTAGCTTTCTTCCGCCAACCATAGGTATAAACGAGGTAACGGGCATCTTAAAGCATGATTAAACAGTTCAGTCATCGGTGACACGTCTCTTGGGTTGAGGCGGCTTCCGCAGACTCTTCATGCGACTGATAAAGCCGCCGCCGCCGCCGCCGCCGCCCACGCTCTTGCCCTCGTCGAGCCCGTTGACCCGATCATCAGTATACCGTCGCTCTAGAGAGGAAGTCGCCTGCTTGGGACTGCTGGATGAACGGACCCGGCCACCCTCAGGGGCAGCGTGCGACTCTTCAGAGTTAATACGTGCACCCTTCTTATCCCAAGCATCATCGTAATCCTGGAAAAACGGGTTCTTTTCATTGCGCGGGGATGAAGAGGTGTAAGGAGAACCGTATGCAGCCTGCGGAGATGTCACCCGAGGGTTAGGGCGATTGATACCGCCGCGGATCCTTTGAGCAAGACTCTTCTTCCGCTGCAAACCTCCGGCACCATTTAGAGAGTTCTGCTGTTCAGTCTGGTTCTCACGGATAGCTGCGCGACTAGCCGGGGCACCGTCCAGGAAGGTACTGGTGCCCAACCCCATCGTGGCCGCACCGTGAATTGGCTCAATGCGAGAAGTTGGATCAAATGACCCTCCTTCAGTCTTACGGTTATCCGTGCCACTCGCAGCAAAGTCATTGTATCCTTCCTCCATTCTGCCGTGGAACCGATCGAGATCTATCTTGTCATTGTTCGGACCCGCACCACCAAGAGCCATGTTGGAAGAGTCTTTGGGGAAGGCTTGCATGGGAGTGGCGCGGAGGCCTTTGCGGTTGCGGTTAGGGTTGCAGGCATCGAAGGGTCCGTCGTGGTGGAACACTAGAGTGGTTATCAATACCAGGCTTTCAGAACGGGCAGTGTAAAGTGCTTACTCCCAGTGCCGTAGATGCTGGTCACATCCAGTTTATCAATGATATCGAGCTGGTAGTTAGCCTTCTTGGAACTGGACTTGCCATCCCGATGGCGACCCTCGCGCTCTCGCCGACGCCTTTCACGGCGTCGTCGCTCATCGTCATCATCAACAAGTTTCGGCCGCCGCTCCATGATGGATGATTCAGAGTTTCGACGTGGTCGCCTTTCCCGGTCTCGAGATTTAGATGCGGATCCAGTAGGCCTGGCTTTGCTCGGAGGATCGGCAAAGATATTAAAGGGGTCGTCGGATCGGCCTTCAGAGCGTTCTCTCGTGGGGCGCGGCGGTCGGCTCTTCAAAGGCACATTCTGCGCAGGCTTCTCAGGGCGCGGAGGCGCTGGTCGCATTCCATTGGTTTTGGGAACCGGGTTCAGAGAAAGGTTCTCCTATTCTCCGGAAAGGCGATCGGTCAGGTCTGTTCATTTCCGGATGTCAGGAGAACTTACGAAGAGGTCGCGCGTATTCTGCGTCATATCTTGCTGGTCAATCAAAGAGTTGATTGGAGCTGATTGGGGAGAAATAGGTTCGCTGTCGTCCAAGAATGGATTCGTCGACTTCGGTCGTTCAGGTCGGCCGCCTGAAGTCGTAGAGCTGGAGGGAGACAGTGTACGGGTTCGGAAAGGGTTATTGGATCCCAGGTTGACAGGGAACTGTTGGCGAGAAGGAGAGGGAGAGGCTAGAAACACAGAAACATACTGTCAGTATGCCAGAATAAAAAATAACCGACAAGAACTGGCGATGAACTGAGCCAAATGCACCACAGATGAAAGGGACCAGGGTTGTCGCGATGGCGTGTCAGGGAGACGCCGCCACTCGACTTGAAACACATCGCTGGCAGCGATAATGGATAACACTGGACAGTTCAAGGACACAAGAAAAAGAAATCAAGTAGATGACGCACCTTGCGGGCCCAGCGAGACGCCGGGTGGATAGTAGGAAAGAGTTGTTTGCTGAGATGCGCTCATTTTGCCAGCGATGCGCAAGGCAGCGACGATTCAAGAACGGACAGGGCGGGTTGATTGGAGAGAGGAGGAGATCTCATCAAAGAAAAGAAACAGATAGACACAGAGGAGGATGAGGACGGGCCACCAAATAGGAGGTCGATGGAGAAGACGAGCGAGAGCGCAAGAGGTCCTGAAACGGCGAAGCCGCGGGAGTCGGTCAGGGGGATGCGTTTATTGGAGGGGTGCGATTTAAGCACGAATGACAATAGTGGGGTTTTGGGACTGGAGAAGTCGAGAGTCGAGACCTCAAGGTACTTGCTGGCTTTTTCTCTGTGGATGTTTGATGAAGAAAAAGAAAGAAGAGCAGCAGTGGATGGAGCGAGCGAGAGCATGAAAGAGGAGAGGAGAGAGGAAGAGGCGACGGCGAGGAGACGACCCGGAGTCCGGAGATGCCCCTTGACGGTGGACAGAAGAAGCAGCGGCCAGCGATCGTCGGGGGTGCGGATTGTTGGCTCGTGATTATGAATCCGGATCTTTTTACATTCAGGACAGAAGGTTCAAAAAGGATCTTTTGGCCCTGGGATACACTACTCCTATCCTTCTTCTCTCTGCAGCTTACTCCATCCAGGGCCACCCAGACCGTCGGGACTCAACCCAAGGGCCTTCACATGTCTACGTCAGCTCCCCCAGGCACATTCCTCCTCCCGCAATGGATGATATCACTCGCAGTCAGCGCAGGCACAGAAATAGCAGGCAGGAATGCGAGCATCCATTGACGCAAGCATGTCAACTCATCCTCGTTATCAGAGACAGTTACGTACTCCGTACACTGACTTCTCTTGTGCCACCTTTGCCCTTTGCCTGAGGTGATGCTGGGTGCCCGTCATTTGGCCCAGCCCAGCCTTCGATCGGCATCGCCCAAGCAACCCGTCCCAGGCCCAATCCACGAGATTGTCATTGCATTTTCCACCTTGAGTAATTCTGCGTATCTCCGTGCCGCCTTGCGTAGAGGTTCATGGACGACGCTGGTAAGAGGCGTCGCTGAGGAATGCTGGGCTTCTTGGCGGATTGTCGACGCTTGCGTTCTTCGACCAGTTTCTCTTGGCTGGATACTAAGGCAGACTAAAGTGCTCAAGCTCTTCTGGCTGATGGCTCAGGGTGTTACATTGATGATGTGTACATGCACTTGCCCGAGAAGTTTATCATCCGACGGCTGCTCTAGCTAGCAAACAAGGTGAGGCAACATGAAGAGTTGATTGCTACTAATTGGTATATCGAAGGTAATGTACAGTTTCGACGGTTCGTCAGAAGCAGCTTGGTATGAGATAGAAAAAACGTCAGATGACTATCATAGCCGTCGTTAATCAAATAAGCCTACTGCTTGGAATTGCAGTGGCCCTCGTCGCTGTGGTTGCTTCCGCCCTTGGTCTCGGCTAAGCCCAGACACTCAGCGATGCCGAAGAAGATGTCGACAGAGTTGATGGTACCACCGAAGAGCTCCTGGCAAGGACCGCGAGCGTAAACAGGGACATCGGTCAAGGAGTGAACACCCTGGTCAGCATTGGGAGCGAGGGTCCCGTTGATCAGGAAGCCACTGACAGCGTCCTTGTAGCTGGCGTAGACAGTGCTATCGCCGCCCTCCTCCGCGGGAGTGCGAGGGCCGTCCTTGTGCACCTTGTAGTTCTCACGGTGGTCAGGGAAAGCGACGGTACCGGCGTGAATAGCGTAGCGGGGGTCCCAACGGGCAGGGAAGTGAACACCCTCGGAGTATCGGAGAGCGTTGGAGCCAGCGACAGTGTACTGAGAGAGACCAGAGTTCTGGTAAACACCGATAGCACGGCGTTTGTCACGGTCGTCTTCGTGCTCCTCAAGGTAGACGGTGTCAACGGCGCCAGTGACATCAAAACCGTGGCCGTGGTCAGCAGTGACGAGGACTAGAGTGTCTTCGAGAACACCAAGCTTCTCGAGTCTCTCAATGGTAGCGCGGACAGTGTCGTCAAGCTCAAGGAGCTCACCGAGGGAACGGTCATAGTCGAGAGTGTGCATCTGCTTATCAATACTGGCAGCCTCGGCCATCAAGAACCAACCCTCTTCACTGTGACGGGTGTCCAGGATGTCGAGAGCCTTGACGGTCATCTCCTTGAGACCGGGAAGATCATCGGCATCGCGGCCGGAACCATCAGGGTGGTTGGATCTCTCTTTGAGGTTGTCCTGGTAGACGTTACGGTCGAGCCAAGTGGGAAGGTTGGAGAGAGAGAAGAGGCCGAGAGCCCTGTCCGCGTTGGATGCAGCTTCGAGGGAAGTCTTGTTCAAGCTCAAGCTGTAACCCTTGTCGGTGAACAGCTTGTAGTAGTCGCGTGGGGCGTCCTCGCTGGCGAGGAAGTTCTCCGCACCAGCACCGAAGAGAACGTCAGGGCCGTCGAATGCAGTCCACGTGTAGTTGGTAATACCCTCCAGGTAGCTGCTGATAACGTGGTCATATTCACCACGGAGACGGGTGTGGGATGTCAGAGCTGCAGGAGTGGCATCGGCAAGGAAAGCAGTGGAGACAATTCCGATACCAGCGTTGTGCTGGCGGCGGAAAATCTCAGCAAGGAGCTCGAACTTGGGGTCATCAAAGGGATCCTCGGACGAGTCCGCATAGACACCGAGGGCGTTGACAGTGGTCTTGTGACCTCCGTTCAGCGCAGCAGCGGAGTTAGCAGAGTCAGTGATGAAGGAGTCCATCGAGTGGGTCATTTGATGACCAAGGACGGGGAACTTGTCTAGTTGCAGCTTGGTCTGATACTTTCCGTTGATGCTCTTGTGCGCAATCAGACGAGCAGCAGTGATCATATTGGTGGTCATTCCGTCGCCTATGAAGAGGACAACGTTCTTAGCGCGGCGCTTCTTGGGGACATCACGGACAAGCCAGTTGGCGACGGTCTGTTCCTCGCCGTAGTAAGTCAGGATAGCCTCATACTCGCCGGGCTCGTATAGAGCGAGGTTTCTGTAGGCCTTGGAGGTGACGTTGACCACAGAGGGCCTCTCGGCATCCTGAGCAAATAGATCTATGTCCTCTTAGTACTCAAAGCAATGAAGGCCCATTCATCAAGTGCTTCTGACCTTCGTACCAACTGAACTGCCAGCTCTCCAGCTCAGCATCCTCAATGTCGAAGAACTCGGTCACTGCAACACCTTCCTGGCCCTTCTTGCCAATGGTGAACTTAAAGTTGGAGTCGGGGACGCCATCGCGTGCCTCCGATCCATTGACAGGAGAGTGAACCTCCAGACGGATATCAAAGTGTTGTCCGGGGAGGAAATCGGCCCTGGAGACTCAATCGTTAGTGCTGTCGCACCTGCCGAAGCTGCATGCAGGAGGGGCTTACTGGTCGGGAGGAAAGACGCAGCCCAGGGAAGGGCAACCTCCCAGACGTTGGAAGTATTGGCCGAAGGCGCCAGAGGCAAACAATGCCACACCGGCGAAAGAGGTAGGCTTCATGTTGATGGTGAAGCACTGTCAACGGATTCAGACCAGCGGTGGGAGGAACAGAGACCTCAAGCAGGGGGGGATGAGGCCCCTTTATTTGTCTCCCGTCCGAGGATTAACACCGGGGGCGAGCTCCGATGGATTCTGCTCGGATGGGAGCTGCGAGCAGATTCTTAGCTGGGAAATATTCCCTACCTGCTCCCGCCCGGCACCAGGATCCAGGCCCCAGCAGCGACAGTGATAGCAACCGCATCTCCGGGGCCCTGTCTAGCAGGACTTGGCAGTGTGACGCACCGAGAGTTGAGCTCCGGCGAGGCGAATGAGAAGCGAGGAAGCCATCCACGTGCGGCAGCTAAACATTGCCATGAAGCTTGGATTGGACTCACGGCCCGGCGGGCTGCTTGGCGCCAAGTATCACCGGCCCAGGTATACCCCTACACGTGCGGCTACGCCTTGCCTTCGTTCCTCGCACTTACCTTGTCGCGCGATCATAGAATAACTCGAGTCAATCTACTGCGAGTGGGGTCAAACGCATGGAAGGTTGGGGCACGAACTAGAAAGAATCCTTCGGCGTAACCGATGCTCGACCTTGACGTTCGATGCAATCTCACATCATGCGGTGCAGCTCATGCTCAACTCCACCAATCTCGGTGGCTGAACGACCCATGCTCTGTCCAGCACAGGGTGGGAAGCATCTCGGAGATGAGGGGTCGGTTCGATGGTAGTAGGTATATCCTGGTCCACTGAGGCAATTGTTATGAACTCATGCTTCGTTTACTGGCCAGGAACTGGCAATCCGAAGTCAGGAACATTGCCCCGGGACCTGGGAAACATTCGCCTAATATTGTTGGTCAAAGTAGCGCACTGGAGGCCAGTGGACCGGATGAACTCATCAGCTAACCCGCGCTCTACATCAACCGTGAGCTCACTGGACTATACCGGCAGCGGGAGTGTCCTGATAGCTTGATAAAAACAGCCAGGAAAACAGACAACACACGCGTGACTGCGTATGTTCAACCTTGCTCTTATATCTGTACCGGTCAGATCTCTATCCAAACCATCTGCGAAATACCAAATCCCTCCAGTTCAGAGGCCAAGCGATCAATAACCGGGGATCAGAGACTCCCCAGGATACCAACGCACGCGTTCCTGTTCCATACTCTTCACGGTATCCTTCCAGTACCCTTTTGCATAAACAGTCGCTGAGCTTCCCCGCACGATCCCTGTTGATCCCCCGTGTATCAAAAGACGCTATGGGGTTTGACTCTGGTCTGACCGCTGTTATACGCGACCCGACATGACGCAACGACCCAATCACTGTTGATATTGGACGTAAGGTCTAATTCATGATACATGCATCAGAAAGCTTGTCGTTCAAGCTTATCCTGAGCCCTGTCGATCCCCTTCAAGGTCCTCATCGACCAAGCTATCCTGCAAGTCATTCTAAAGCGCGTACCTTGAGGGCAGCGGAACTTGGCAACCAATATATGACCCTGTCGAAGCCTACTTATGCAGGGCGGTGCCCCTGTTAGTCTTGATCAGCGAGATTTGGACACATTCTATACATTGAAGTTGGACCACGATCAGAATCTATTATGTATTCAGCAAATCCCGTAGTAATATGTGCGATGATTACCCCGAGGAATCCATCATCACCAGCAATACCGTCCAGACTACTACGCAAGCATTTATTGTTCTCGGGATGCCCTTGAACGACTGTTTATGAAGTTGAAGACATTAGTCGATCACCTCCCATATCCCTACTCCGTACCCTGTAGGAAACCCTAGATAAAGTCGATGGCCTATCCTGATATACAGGATGATTTCAGTTCTCTGTCACTAAAATTAATCTACAGTTTGTTTGCTCATGACAATCAGTTACATTAAATATATTGGGGCTTTGCGTTTAGGATCGAGAATCCTAAGTTTCGAAGAATATTGGTGCCAGAAAATATATAAATGGCGTCCGCTGCCTACAAGGAGGTTTACCAAAGCAAAACAATTACTGAAATTCCCATATCCCAGCGAAATATTATCAGAGGGTATTAAGGATCTTGACAAAAAAAATAAACATATCAACATGGTTTCCACAGTTCAACACTGACTTTCGGCAGCCTCCGACCCCCAGAATAGGTGTTTTGGGGTTAAACGGCCTCTGGCGCGGGGGACCAACCGATAATCTTTACGCCCCTCCATTGTCCCTCCATATCGCGCCCGCCAATCGTCCCATGCAAGTCTAGAATCACAAGGACAATATCCGACGTTGCAATCGATTTTGCTGCTATCACCTTGGCGAGGGAAAAAATCAATCTCGTCTGATAACCAAGCACAAGAAAGATATTGCGTGCTCGTACCTGAAAACCAAGATTTTCAAAGAGAACGCCACTCAACATCAATTACCAGCACCATGGCCCAAGATACAATTGAAACGCACCTGTCCAAGCGCGCCGCGCTTCTGGAGCAGGAGAAAAGCAGTCGACACGACTACGCCTTCAGTCAGCGCATGTCGCCGGTCGCGAAGACCGCCGCGAAAGTACTCGCAAACATCCGCAAGAAGGAAGTGGAGTCTGTATGGACGCCTGCATCTACGTCTGAAGGGAAACTCGACTTGAAGGATGTTACGTTCCCGGGTATGTCTTTTGCGCTGTCGAGAGAGCGCATGGAGAAGACGGTGTTGTGGAGGATTATTGCTGCGATGCCGAAGGGGTGTCTGCTGCATGCGCACATGGAAGCCATGATTGATATCGACTGGATGGTGCAGCAGGCTATTGAGTTGCCTGGGTTCTACATTTCGAGTCCTGTGCCGCTGTGTCCGGGGATTGGGTCTGCCGGGAAATGGTCGGAGCCGTTCCAGTTCTTGTATAGGCCTGGATTTGCCGGAGAGGCGCAGAATGGGTGTGAGGCCGAGATGAATATATGGCAGGCGGATTATACTCAAGATCAGCTTGTGCCGGTTGCTGCTGCGGCCAAGGCCTATCCTGGGGGTGTTGAGGCCTTCAAAGCGTGGGCTGTTTCGAGGATGACTATTAACGAGGAAGAGGCTTTGGAACATCATCATGGGATCAAGGATGTGTGGAATAAATTTCAGTCCTGTTTTGGCGCTATCGGTGGGTTGTTCTTTACGGAGCCCATCTTTCGACGGTGTATACCCAGGCTTTTGCAGCAGCTTCATGACGACGGCATCAAGTATGTTGAACTGCGTCTAGCTCCTTGCCCCTTCTACCGAGAAGGCTCGGACGTTGCCGAGTCTGATTTCTTATACTTCTTGCAATGCTTCCATGAAGAAGTGACTGCGTATCTGTCTTCTCCCCAAGGCAAAGGGTTCTGGGACGCAAGGATCATCTGGACCGCGATACGCAGTTTTCCCGATGAACCCATCAAGGAGTCCATGATGCAGTGTCTGGATTGTAAGAAGGCATACCCCTCTATCATCGCGGGCTTTGACTTCGTCGGCCAGGAAGACGCAGGTCGTCCTCTGGTCGAACTTCTCCCGCTCGCCAAGTGGTTCCAGCAACAATGTGTCGAAAAGCAACTTCAGATACCCTTCTTCTTTCACGCCGGCGAGTGCCTAGGCGACGGCGATAGCACCGATAGCAACCTAGTGGACGCCATCCTGTTGAACTCCCGAAGGATTGGACACGCCTTTTCGCTGTACAAACATCCTCTCCTTATCGACCTCGTCAAGGACAAGAAAATCCTTATTGAAATGTGCCCGATTTCCCATGAAGTTCTCCGCCTCACATCGAATATACTGATGCACCCGATGCCAGCGCTGCTGTCGCGCGGCGTGGCTGTTTCGCTGAATAACGACGACCCGGCCGTTCTCGGGCACGGGAAGAACGGGCTGAGCCATGACTTCTACCAGGTGACTGCAGCCTTTGAGAACACGGGCCTTGCGGGACTTGCAACCATGGCAGAAGATAGTATCCGATGGGCAGCCTTCGAGGACGAGACGGACTCCGAGTGGCTGCAGGGGATTGATGGCAACAGCAATGGTCTCAAGGCTTTTCGGATGACTCAATGGAGGTCTGCGTTTGAGGAATGGTGTGCGTGGATAGTTCAGGAATTCGGGGCGGAGCGGCTGGAAGCCCAGAACTGACAGAACCCATGGTGAGGAAGAATATATAAGCCATCCCATTGTGAATACTATACAAGATTAGACACATATTAAGCTTTACCTGTCAATCATGTCGTATAAGCTGATGTCGGCGACCAGGTCGAGACTTGGGAGAGTTGGCTGTGGAGCAGAGCGCGGAGTTCCTTTGCGGCCAACACCAGCATCCCCGGTCTTGGCAAGTTAGTGCGGTTCAAGCTGGAGCTGCTTCACTCTTCACTCTCTCAGTCTCGCCGAGTCCCCGCGACACTTTCCAGTCTTCCCACGACAACTACAAGAGGATCAAAGAATTCCGTTAACATACATCAACTATCCTCAGTATCTACGAGAATTACCGTCATTTCGTCACATGGCTCAACCACAGCCAGATCAAGCGCAGCCACCGCCGGCCACTCTCACCAATCCTCGGTTCACACTCGAGCTCGAATTCGTGTCCTCCCTCGCCAATCCGTACTACCTTTCTCACCTTGCCGTGAACTATCCAAGCCTGCTAGGGATATCCAAATCTGGTAACGAGAGCGAAATTAATGACGACAACTCAGACCCGGACGCCGAGGCCTTCGCAGCCTACCTTGCTTATCTATACTCCTACTGGAAGACGCCCGAGTACTCCCAATTCCTGACACATCCTGGTGCAACACTGCGCGCGCTACGGCTTCTTCAAGAAGAAAACTTCCGTCGTGATATTATTCGTCCGCAGGTGATAGAAGGGTTGGCGGGAGTCGACTTCAGCGGCGAGCAGAATGTGGTTGAATCGGGAGAACAAGATGCGGAGCAAAATAAAGCGGAACCGGGAAACGCTGAAAATCAAGATAGCAAGTCTTGATTATGCCTGTTGTGACAGGGATTGGACCTTTTCAGGGCGCTCTGTAGCCATCAAGAGCCAATGGATTTTGTTCCCTGGAAACCAGACGAACTTGCTGCAGATTGGAGGTTCTATGCAACCGAAATGTCTCGGTTGGGCATAATCTGTTTTAGACTGCGGCGTTATACTCCGCGTCTCTATTATCAATATGTGGTGTTTCTCGCGAAGGTAATGTCCACTGACACTATGTTTGGGCTTTTGTTGCATCATGTGTGACCGAGGTCCGCTTCCCGTGATTGCCCATCGAGATGCCGCCAGTTTCGAGGACGAGGGGAACGCTGATACGGAGCACACACCAGGTTCCCAGTACTGCTATCCTCGGAGAACCCGAGGGTGTGCATCCGTGCTTGTTACTCAACCAAAGCACCAACAGTGTGCGAAGAACGAGAAGAAGCTGAAGTATACGGCGTACACTCTATCCTGTCTCTAGGAGATTCTATCTACAACCGCGCACCAGTTGGCGTATCGACATCGTGGCTGGCAAACAAAAAATAAGACTGAAGAATGGAATGAGGTCCTGGGAATATCCATGGATAAAGTTACAGCTTCTTCGTTTGAATGGCCCCGGCGGCGTAACCCCGGTCAAACAGGAAGGCGCCAGGGTCGGCCGGGTGGTACAGACGAACCTCAATGTTTAGGGACACGACCGAGAATATTCCATAGAACAAATAAATAATGCTTCATCTCTAAAGGCTCCATAATTGCCCTCTAAACACTCTGCCTTCTGGGAAATTTGATCGTCAAGTCTTCGTCCGCTGACAGGGTGAAACCGACTCGCCGACCCAACCACGTTATTTCCCTGTTCCCCTCGTCACTCCCAAACGACAACTGTCGTCTTCTTCAAGCAACATTGTTGCGGCAGAAGGCCACAGTGCGCATTGGATCTCCTCTGCCGATGGATCTTCTCTCTCCTTGATGATCCGCATTATCCGCACTGATTGCGAACTCCTCTAGCCAGCAATCTCACCAATCTCCGCTCATCACTGCTGCGAGGTGACATCAAGTTCTCCTGAGCCCCGATGGTATAACAACGATCTCACTCAGACCCGCTCGCTCCGACTCCCTTCATTCCTCTTGGCTATTCGCGGACTTCTACATCGGACTGACCTGGATTTTTCGACTTCGTGGAACCGGTACGCGTATCCCTGGAGCATCCCCTACGGACACCATCTCAACATGCCGATGGAAACGGTGCGCCAGAAATGTCGGCCGAAACACCAGATACTGGTCCTTAAGTGCTATCCCCAATACCAAAAAGGGGTCCAAGATGTCAAACCGAATTCCAGCGAACTTTCCTACCTTCTTTACTATGTGAGCACGCGCCGCAGCAAGCTGCCCAAGGTCAGCGCCTTCCTGGAGAAAAGAGCCGCCCGAGACGTCTGGCGCCGTAAAATGGGGTGAGTTAGGAGATTAAAAACCAAGAGACCGTTTCCTGATGCTCCGTCTGGACTGTTCGCGCTGACTTTGAATCTCTTCGTTAGAAATGTCCAAGTTACGCTCCAAATTCTTAGCGCGCTCATTGAGAAAGTTCCCCGCGATCTACCAATTTTCGCTCGATCTGTCTTGACCGTTATCGAAACTGTGCTGCGGTCTCGTGATATCTCTATGGTGGAGGATTCGATCGCCACTTTCGAGACCTTTTGCCGGCATCAGGACATGGCTGCGCTGTCTGCTGAACAGGACTTCGCCAACCAGTACCGCGAAGTCGTCCAGATATATGCGGGATTTGCTCATGAGGAGGAACACCAGCTTCAGTCAAAGGCTCCCAGCCCTCCGCAGGCGATACGGTGGAAGAACGCAGGACTACGAGCTATCAAGGGAGTAGTCAGCTCCGAAGCTGGCCTGGCAGCCGATGGCGGTGATTCACTGCGAATAATACTACCAGTCATCCTGGAAAACCTGTATAATGGAGAAGACACAATGATCGCATCTCTCGAGCGCAAACTCCAGGAAACGGAGCGGCATGCGCCGGACCCAGCGGTACGCCGGAGATATAGCGCAGTTACCGTGCAGACCGTTGACACTGCAGAAGGCGATCCCGCTTTGGCGGCTCAGAACATTGCGGATGTCGACAAGAAAGCTGAATTAGATATGCGGCTACTTGCCCTGCGCTGTCTGGAACAGATCATTGTTAATGGCAGCACCCGTGGTCAGATTCGCCTCACCACAAGACTCGTGCTGGATTTTATTCTGCGAAAAGGACAAGCGAACAACACTTACCTATCGCTCGAAACGGACGAAAACAACTGGGCCACATCGTTGATTGAGGTTGTAGCCAAATGGTGCCCCGTTCAGGCTCGTTTCATCATTTCTACCGCTGCCATGGAAGTCCTATTCGAATTCCCGCCCAAGGAGAAGACACTGGATCAGGCTTATACTATTATTTACATCATCGACTACCTCTTGAAATCTTCAGTGAACATGATTGGGCTTAGCGTGATCGATGTCTTGCTGGGGTTGATGCGCTACATGGCAATCCTGGTCTCGCCGGCTTCTGCAAAACCCACCGATGAGCACCCGGTTGAAAACGAAAAGCCAAGCAACGATGATGATACCGAACTTTCTCACAAGGAGAAGGACCTGCTTTTACTCCTCCAAAAGTGCATCGGAGACCTCACTACGCACATCTACTATGGGGACCAGGTTGTTGATATGCTCAGGGCTATCTTGACTCGGATAAAACCGCCGCATGGCCAAGATAAGGTATCGCCTGCAGTACCTGAACAGCTAGACGGCCCTTTATCGGAAGCAAACCCAACATCCTTTTTCTCAACAAGCGCGAAAGTCTGCGCTCTTAGGGCTATTAAAAACATCCTACTTGTGGCAAACTCTCAGCGACCTATGGCGTCAGCCGGTGCTGAATCGCGGAACCCTGTTGGAATTCATGTCTGGGAGGGAACCCACTGGCTCCTCCAGGACCCGCAAAAGGAAGTGAGGTACGCGTACGTTGATGCACTCCTTTACTGGCTGAAACTAGAGACGAACAAAAGCGATCTGAAGCTGAAAGACCGATCAACCAAAACTGCTATAATGTCAGCGAGGCGTGATTTCTCAGATGCTTCAGAGAGAGGTGTTAAGCGAGCAACGGGGGCTCATCCGAGGGAAAAGGCCGTGGTCGTTGCTCAATCAAACTTCCTTCGCTTGCTGCATTTGACGATTTATGAAGTTGCTCTCCAGCGTCCGACACAAGAGACCGAGGTCCGTATACTACACCTACTTCTAGGCAGCCTGGTGCAACATCTTGGCATCAATGCGGCTAGATTTGGGCTACCAATGATCCTGAGGCTTCAAGACGACATGGCCACCTCTCAGAGTTTAAGCACACCTTCAGCTAAAGTGAACATTGGGAGCCTGGTATATGGTTACCTGTGGGTATTGTGTGAGACTTTCGGCCTGGACACTTCTAGGGTTGGACAGGAGATTGTGACCGAAATCGAAAACCGAATAGCTCGAAGCATTTGGTTGGAAGGCATCGGGCTCTCTTTCAACAGTCTTGAAAGCATTGTCGGAGAAGATCAACATGCTGTGAGCCATAATACCAGGGAAACGAATAACGTGACTCCGTTCAAAAGTGGTGTTGAAGAGTTCGTCCGCCGGATCGAGGAGTCTTACAACCGTACTCTGTCTGCTAATGATGCGCCAACTTCCCCGGGACGCAATTTGGGAAAGCCTGTAATAGAAGGACATCTAAACCCTGTCAATCTGCACTCAAGCGACCTTCTTCCATCGGTTGTCAGAGAACAAATGCTCTCGCCCTGGTCCAAGCAAAGCGCACTGGAAGCCGCTGAACGAGAAAAGGCGGAGGCCCTTTCTCTTAACGGGTCGAGAACAGGGACTTTAGGTATGCGCGGCCATGCGCACGCCAATGGTACTGGTAGTTCTACTTCAACAAACTCACCATCTACCGCCCACGTGGCGACCGCAGGTCTCCAGACCTCTCGGCGTATGAGCATGCCGGATAAGACGGCCACCCCAAATCACAGCTCCAGCAGAGACTCTCCTGTTCGTGTAAACGAGCTAAGGCGTGTTCTCTCTGTACAGGCCCCTGATAGGGATCGACGATTGAGCCCATTGCGGGGCCGATTAGATGCCTCCAGCGGCAGCATCATCTCTTCCAGCAGCGAGAGCATGGTCAGCGGCTTTTCCAACTCTGAATATGAAGGAGACGCAGTGTCAATCCGACCCCCCACGAGAGATGGACAGGAGCCACTCGATGGCGATGGTATGGAAACACCTAGGGCTCTGATGAGCAACGGAGGTAGTTACGAACAGCAATCAAGCACTTCTTGGGCTTCCTCCTACTCGATACCTCCAGTCCCACCGATTCCGCACGGCATCTCTATCCCAGGCGGGTTTCCCAACGACTCCCAGCGCTCCTTGCCTACATCGGACCGCCCGTCGACAGCTACATCACGTAAACAGGGCACGCTCAATGGAAAGTCTGCGGATAACAAGACTCTCCACAGGCAAAAATCTCGGACCGGTGCCGGGTTAGCAAACGGTGCTGATGTGCCAGAAGTAGCGATCAACGGTAAATCCACCGGGGCTCAATCATACGGCTTGCAGGGAGTAGAGGAGAGCTCTCAGCGGCGCAATGTAGAGAAACTCCTGGACGGGTTTCTATCATCATCGGACCCAGCTGCTACTCTTCAACCGAGAGTTGCTTCCAACTACAGTGGCCGACGCAATGTGACTGGCGGAATTGGACGCCCGCCATACTAGGCAACCTACTTTTACTTTCTCTTTCCACCTTTCCTTCTTTCTTGATTTGGTTTTTATGGCTATTGACTACTTCACACGCATTTATTTCTTTGTTCCGGGCTTCCTGCACATACTTCTGCATTGCTATTTCTGCCTGTTGGGCAGGCTGATATTCATTCCTTGTGCGGTCTGCACTATTAGATTTCCTTTATATTATATCCCTGTGATTTGAGCTCTCTGTTATGGTTCAGTGTACGAAAATTTACAGATTTGTGCGTATCTCTTTAGCTTGGGACTGTCATCCTTCTGGCGGTTGGTGTCATTCAAGATATGCTTCTGTCATGTTATGGATTGATCAATGACCATTAATTGCCGCAGAGGTTTTGTATCGGCAAATCCTCTTCGAGTAGTTTCTTCGTCGGCTGCGATGGTTCGAGCCATCCGTGGTAGAGACAGGGCAGATCACATGTGGGACGAGACTCGGGAGCTTCTCCGCATTTCGCCCGCGCCCCATACCGTCGTACCTCGCGCCTCTCTTGCTACATCTTACATCTCTTACCATCAACTCCAACATGCGACCCTTTACCTATGTCTCGCTCGTCGCCCTTCCATTCTTATCAGCCGCGCTCCCAACCTCGTCCTCCGAGCTCACCCCCCTCCCGCTCGTTATCTGGCACGGCCTTGGCGATGACTACACCCGCGCAGGCCTCAAAGAGGTCGCATCGCTCGCAGAATCCATCAACCCAGGGACATACGTGCACATAATTCACATCGGCGACTCCGCATCCAGCGACCGACAAGCCACGTTTCTCGGGAATGTCTCTGACCAAGTTTCTACCGTCTGCGCCCAGCTCGCCGCCGAACCGATCCTCTCCACCGCACCCGCAATCAACGCCCTAGGCTTCTCGCAGGGCGGACAATTTCTCCGCGCATACGTCGAGCGATGCAATAAACCCCCAATCCGAAACCTAGTCACTTTCGGCAGCCAACATAACGGGATCTTCGAATTCCAAGCGTGCAGCTGGGGCGACTTTGTGTGCCGGGGCGCAGAGGCCCTGCTCCGCCTCGGACGGTGGTCGAATCTTGTGCAATCACGGTTCGTTCCGGCGCAGTACTTTCGCGACCCCGTCGAGCTGGACGAGTACCTGGAGAACAGCAACTTCCTGGCGGACGTGAATAACGAGAGGGTGCTGAAGAATGTGACCTACAAAAAGAACCTGAGCAGCTTGAACCGCTTTGCGATGTTCATGTTTGAGGACGATACTATTGTGCATCCGAAAGAGAGCTCGTGGTTTGCGGAGGTCAATACGACTACAGGGGAGGTGACGCCGTTGCGGGAGAGGGACATCTATAAGGAGGATTGGCTGGGGTTGAGGGAGCTGGATGAGAAAGGAGCATTGGAGTTTGGGATGCTCTCCGGAGAGCATATGCAGTTGGCTGATGAGGATCTGAAGAAGGTGTTTACTGAGTATTTTGGGCCTGTGGAGGTCGATCTTCCGCCTGCGCAGGTTCATACAGAGGGTCTTGTGGATCAGGGAGGATATTAGAGATCTAGAATTATACTTTAGCTGTTGGACTAATCAATACCTATCCCCTCCCATATTTCTGGATATTCTAGCTTAATTATTGGTTTCTGCCTTCCTGTTCCGCCTTTTACCTTCTACCCCCGTGTACCGCCTTTAGTATTTTCTTTTATTTTTATAATTTTATACCTTTTATTAAGCCACTTCTTATTTAACTTTAGCTTTAGCTATAATTAGGCATGCCTTTTTATTTTTTTGTATTACTATATTTACCTGGCTTTATTTAATATACTTTATTTCCCTTTATATACTAACTCCGGTGGTTTTTTAAGCTTTTTAATTCCTAGTTTTTTAGGCATGTTAATCCCCTCCATGCACTAACTTTAGTAATTTTTTAAGTATGTTAATTTTTTTTATATATTAACTTTAGTAGTTTTTTAAGCTAGCTTAGCTTTATTTTTAGACTTTTTAATCCCTAGATTTTTAGACATGCTAATTTTTTTTATATGCTAACTTTAGTGGTTTTTTAGGCTATTTTAGCTTTATTTTTAGGCTTTTTAATCCCTAGATCTTTAGGCACGCTAATTTTTTTTATATACTAATTTTAGTAGTTTTTTAGGCTATTATTTAGGCACTTTAATTCCTAAATTTTTAGGTACTTTAATTTTTTTTATGTGTTAACTCCAGTGGTTTTTTAGGCTATTANAATTCCTAAATTTTTAGGTACTTTAATTTTTTTTATGTGTTAACTCCAGTGGTTTTTTAGGCTATTATTTAGGCACTTTAATTCCTAAATTTTTAAGCACTTTAATTTTCTTTATACACTAACTTTAGTAATTTTTTAGGCTATTATTTAGGTACTTTAATTCTTAAATTTTTATATACTACTTAGCTTATATTTAGTGCTTTTAGTAATATTTTACCCCCTAGTTAATTTTTTATAGCTACCTTTTTTACTAGCTTTTTTATAGTTTTTTAGGCTAGTTTAGCTTTATTTAGGCTTTATAATTTCTAGATTTTTAGGTATATTAATTCCTTTATCCTTTTATATTATTATTTTTACTAACTTTAGTAGTTTTCTTAAGCTAGTTTAACTTTATTTAGGCTTTATAATTCCTAGATGTTTAAGCATATTATTTTTTTTATTTTTTTATATTATTATTCTTACTAACTCCAGTGGTTTTTTTAGGCTAATTTAGCTTTATTTAAGTTTTTTAATCCCTAAATATTTAGGTATATTATTCTTTTTATATACTAGCTTTAATAACTTTTGCCTTTAATAATATTTTACCCCTAGTTAGCCCTTTATAACTAGCTTTAATCCCTAGATTTTTAGGTACTGCTTAGCCTATATTTAGCACCCCTAGTAATAATTTTTTAGGCTAGTTTAGCTTTATTTAAGCACTTTAATTCCTAGATTTTTAGGCACTGCTTGGCCTATATTTAATACCCTTGTCAAGCCAGCGATCTTCACCTTCCTAATCGGGAAATGGAGGTGTGACGGTAGCCAAAAGGCCAACATGGCTAGGCTTAGGCCTAGCCATCCCGATTCCATGGATGTATCCACTCTCCTCTGGTCACCTGACAACTAGCTTGCCCCACCAACCCGCTAGCGCTCGACACCTAACTCCTTTAGGCCGCGCCCGGGCTTGGCAGCCCGGAGCCCTCGGCTCCGGCCCTGACAACCCTTAATAATATATAATAAGGTATGTTCCTTTATTTTTTTATATTACTATTTTTACTAACTTTAGTAATTTTTTAAGCTAATTTAGCTTTATTTAAGCTTTTTAATCCCTGGAACTTTAGGCTAGTTTAGCTTTATTTAAGTATTTTAATTTTTAAAGCTATTTTTACTTAGCTTATATTTAGCGCCCCTAGCGGTATATAATTAAGCATGTTTTTTTATTTTTTTATATTACTATCCCTGTTAACTCTAGTAGTTTTTTAGGCTAGTTTAGCTTTATTTAAGCTTTATAATTTTTAAAGCTATTTTTACTTAGCTTATATTTAGCGCCCCTAGCGGTATATAATTAAGCATGTTTTTTTATTTTTTTATACTATTATCCCTGCTAATTCTAGTAATTTTTTAGGCTAGTTTAGCTTTATTTAGGCTTTTTAATTCCTAGATTTTAAGTATTTTAATCCTTAAATTAAATATAGCTTAGCTTATATTTAATATTCCTAGTAGTGTTTTACCCCTAGTTAACTTATTATTTTTATTTTTTTTATTATTTTTATAACCCCTTTCTTACTAGTAAAGTAGGTATAAATATTTAAAAGTATAATTATTATTTTAGGGGGCCTAGTTTATATAAGGTAAAGGTAATAATAAAAAAACTTTTATATAAACTAGGCTTATAAATTTATTTATTTAATTAAACTACTAATATAATTTTTTTATAGCCTTGCTAGCTAGGGGTGGTATTTTAAAAAATTATTAAGCTTACTTATTTTTAAATATAGCCCTAGTTAAAATAATTTAAGGCTTTTAATTATTAATATAGGCTTTATAATATACTAAATATTAAATTTTTTACTTTTAATATATTAGCTTATTTTACTTTTTAATATATTTTAGCTTCCCGCGGCCGGGATAACCTTATTTTTTTATAATTAATAACTTTAATTATATTTTAGTATGTTTTAACTAAAATACCAGGCCTATTATAATTAAAATATTTACTTAAATTAAGTTTTTTAAAAATATAAATATATTACTTCCCCCTGGTTTTTTTACTAAATATTTTTTTTATTTTTTATATTTTTTTTTTAATTAATTTCCTGCTATTACTTAATTTATTTTTTATATTTTATTATCCCCCGGGCCCTCGCCCCCCTTTTTTTTATTAAAAAGTCCTAAAATAAGGGATAATATACTATAATTATTACCAGGAGAAAATCCCTAAAAATTTTTATTAAAACTTTTTTTACTATTTTTTTTATTATTAGGCTATTTAGGTCTATGGCTAGCCAGATTTCTTTAATTTTTATTTTTATTACTATATTTAATATAAAAAGTCCTACTTTAAGGCCTTTAGTAATATAAAATATAAATTATACCTAACCTAAATTTATAATAACTATATTACTTTTTTTCCCAAGCTTAAATACTATTATATAAAGCCTAATTATAAGGTTTTTTTACTTAATTAAAAATACCATGTAAAATATAATTAATATTATTTTAGTAAGCCCCCTTATACTTAGCCCTTTTTATTCAAGTTTTATATTAATAATATTAATCCTAAAAATTACTTAATTAGCCTTATTTATAAAAAGTGTAGGGGTAACCTACCATAATGTAAAAAATAAAATACTTAATATTAAAAATATTAATATACTAACCTTATTTATTATTATAAACTAGCCTTTTTAAAAATATTTTATAACTTAATAAAGCCCTAAAAGGATCTAAACTTTAGCTATATAAATATTAAGTATATTAAGTATTATATTTTATATTAGCTAGTAAAGGTATTAATTTCCTATAATATTAAGTAATTTTTTAATAATTATTATAAAAATAATTTAATTAGGCTTTAGCCCCCTTTAATACCTAAAAATTTTTATATTTTATAGCTTTTTAGTTTTAATAATTATATAAGTACCATGTTTCACGCATAAATTTACTATATTAATAATTAGCTATTATTTACCTCCCTTGGCTACACGTAAGATAAACAGCTTGGCTATACTAAAAAATATATATTTTAAATTTAGGGGTTTACCTACTATTACTAGGGCCCCTTAAAAAATATATTATATATATTTTTATACTTTATTTTAAGCTATTTTATTAATTATATTAGGCTTAAAACCCTCTTATGCTAGTATATACATACTAAATTTTAAAATAGCTTAAACCCTATAAAAAAAGCAAAATACATACTAATTTATTAATATATAAGCTATTATTTACTATTTAGGTAATATATTTTATAAGTATAACTTATTTATAAAGGTATTTCCCTACAAGCAGTTAATTAGGTAGTATTAATTATATATTTAGATTTTTTAATATACCCGTAATATTTTATATAATAATTTTATTAAATTTTTTTTAATTTTACCCTTTTTAAACCTAATATTAAATAAAGCCAAAGGCTGCTAATTTAATAATATTACTACCTTAAATAAGGTAGCTGGTTTTATACCTAATATTATAAATAATATTAAGTATAATAGGTCCTATTAGTATATATATTTTTTTTATAATATTCCCTAAATGCATGGTATAATTATATTATTTATATTACCTAGTATTAGTAAGCTTTATATATAGGATTTAATTTAGTTATACTATAATTATTATATAATTAATTATATAAATAACATGCGGTTAGTCCTAAACCAAGTAGTTAATAAAATAAATAATATTTATAATATAGCTATTTTAAAAAACTTAAATTAATAATATTTTACCTAAATTTATTAGTCCTATCCCCTTTATTTACCCCTTTTTTTTATAGTATTTTATCCCCGTGGGGGGGTTAGCTATTACTAGGCCATGTAGCTTTTTAAAAATTAAAATTAAAATAGTTTAAACTAGTAAAAATATAACCTTACTAATTTTATATAAGTATATTAGGTAATATATACCCGGGCTAGCTCTTTTAATATTTTTTAATAAGGTACCATGCTTTAGTAATAGTTTATTATTAAGGCCTATTTTATAATTAAAAAAAAAAACTTAAAATAGCACCAGAAGCATTAAAAAAAAATCTATATAAATTTTTATTATAATATATAGTAGGTATTTTTATATACTAAAAAGAATAATATTAATTTTAATAAGCTAGGCTAGCTTGTTATACTACCTTTTACTTATATTAATAATAATTATTATTAAATAAATTAATATTAAAATTTTATAGCTATTATACAAGTATTTAAAAAGCTAATACTATTTATTACCTTTATAATTAATTTTAAGTAAAAAAAAATTTAATATAAATTACTTTTAAATAATAATAACAGGCTAATATAAAATTACTAGGCTTGTTTAAATTTAGTGGCACGTGTTT